ACACACACACAAATAACAACAGAATGTGAGCGGAGTTCAGAGGGAACGCCAGCATACTTGCACAGCACTCGCCCAGTTCAGAGGGAACGCCAGCATACTTGAACAGCACGGCCCACTCAGGTTCGCCCAGTTCAGAGGGAACGCCAGCATACTTGAACAGCACAGCCCACTCAGGTTCGTCCCTCAACCCTGGATTACTTGTACATAGGATGCAGAAACTTCAAAGCAACATGAAGGCAAAACTAACAATATCACAACTAACTCACCTAAGTATGTAAAAAAGAGAAGAAACACCTGAAAACGAGTTATGCAGCAACTATCCACGGTCAGAAGAGAGAAGGTCTCGGGTCGCTGAATGTCTCAGTAGCCTGTCAGTTTTGTGCCATATTATCGCACTTTCTGACCGTTTATCATCTTGTTACAGTCGTGGATAGTTGCTGCATAACTCGTTTTCATGTGTTTCTTCTCTTTTTTACATTTATTACTGGCTCAGTATCCGAGTTTAAATCTAACTCACCTACATAACCATTTTCACCCACAAGCTTGAGAGCAATGCGATCGGCGAGAATGGACGAGTTTCCGTGCGCGATGTTGGCGAAGGGACCAGCGTGGACAAACACCGGTGTGCCCTCCAACGTCTGCATCAGATTGGGTCGTATGGCATCCTTCATGAGCACTGCCAGTGCACCACAGACTCCCTGCACACAGCACACAACACGTGGAGTGGCAACGGTCATTAATTACACGGCACAAACCAAGAGGAAATGAGGGCCTCTGACTGTCACTGTAGAGAGTAGCTTTCGAGACTGCAGCCAGCCACAGTTACCAACACACACAAAAACTAGCAACGCCCGCTATATCCGCTATAGGCCCGCATTCGACTTTCCTATCAAATAAGAGCAATACAACCGACTGTAAGCGATAATCACTACAGTAAAATAGTAGGGGTCAAACAGGTATTCCAGGTACGTGCTCATCAAGCACGGGCAACCGTTAGGATTTCAAGCACCCAGTCAATAGAGCTACCTGTGCTACATGTTAAAGTGCTGGGAGCACGTGTTTGTGGCGGGAGTAATTTTTTTCCTGGTCCCACGACCGCGCTTGTGGTGTATCTCATTTCTGGGACAGGAAGGTTCTCTGGAGATGTGAGCAATCAAAAGACAAAGCGTAGTTCAGAGGAGGACGGCTGAGTGACTATTGAAGTTGTGATGGCTGTTCAACTTTGAACCTGCAGCATCACTTGACAATCGAAACTTCACCTGTGTTGATGTTCACAGGTCGTGGCTAACTTTATGATGTTCGCGGTTGTGGTGTGCTCTTTGATTGGATGAGCTTGGACTAGTCATACGCAGGGTCAAACACAGCACGCATGCCCACACAACACGGAGCGTAACCGCTGTAGAGCAACACCCGTTTCAACCGGAAAAATCAGTCCCAGAAAGTGGAACAACAGTCTGAACACTACAACTCACCAAATCTTCGGTTGTGATGGGCTCGCCACGTTTGTTGCTGGCAACAACCATATTGCCCAGGCTGCATTGGAATGCGAAAAGTTTACGAAAAAGAAGAAGAAAAGTGAACTCATTCGGCTTCCAGTCACACACAGAAAAGGCACGAGAAAGCAAAAACAACACAAAGAAAATGTGAGCATGTCCATTCGGTAGCAGGGGTCCAACCACATACATGGAGTCTTGCAAAGAAATGAACTTCCACAGCAGGAACAACCGGTGCGGCGTGTGAGTCCTCAGCCATATCTGTCAGGCCTTACTTACCGTTCCCTCATGTCACGGAGATCCTTGGTGAGAGCCAGAACGGCCATGATCTCACTGGCAACGGTGATATCAAACTGAGTCTAAACCAACAAATTACAGCACAACACAACAAACCAGGACAGGCAATCACATGTCATGACTATAAACCAGACATAAGGCAACACAAAGCCAGCAGGTACATGTATGAACCGGATGAGGTTGAATACACACGATGCACCGGAACAGATCAAAGAAACTATCCACTTTTTGCTCAAATTCCCAAACCATTACCCACCCGGTCAGATTCTGCTACTAAGGCTGTGTTTACATGAAGCGTTTCAACCCGGGTTGAGTTCGACCCGGGTCAGATTTCAACCCGCCATGTGCACAAAGTGAATGGTGCGTTTACATGACGCATTGCGCTTGACCCGGGTTGAAATTTCGCCCCGGGTTGGTTTCAACCCTCCCCCCAAGGGGAGGGTTGAAATCAACCCGGGTCAAGAAAATCGTACAAACGTACTTCTGTGCGTATCTCGCGCCAGGTTTGAACAGCACTGCAGATGCAAATTTCGCGCGAACGGATTCACGTGACCATACAGGACTGTAGAAGTGGACTTTTGGCGGCATATCAGTATTTGACCCGGGTCAACTGTCTTCATGTAAACGCTCGCCTTTTTTGTCTATCGTACAGACTTTCAACCCGGGCTGAACTCGACCCGGGTTGAAATTTCTCATGTAAACACAGCCTAAGCGGCTTGCACAGCACTCTTGCACATACCTCTCTCGTGATGTCTTTCTCAGTGGGAGACTGGCCAACAGTGATCTTTCTCAGATATCTGTCGTTTGTGTCCATCACACGTTGCCAAGTGATCGTGGACTTGTCAAAGTCCAGGCGAGCGAAACGGCCGATCTCCTCCTCTGTCAGCTCGTCCGGGTTGGTCTTGTCGATTCCAAGGCGCTGCAGAGAGGTCCCAAACACGCACACGCACACACACAAAAAGAGAGGGTGGCATCAAAACAAAAGTTGCATACCCAGGTGTTCTTCCTTCCGGCTGGCAACAAAATCTCAAAAGGTCACCAACAAATTGCTAACCAATAGCCACACGTGCCCATAAACAAAGAACTGAGGCTGTCCTGCACAGACACAAGTCACGCAGTTTGGGTTCTAGCCAGGCAGATGCTTGCGCATAACCAAGCAAAAGCAAGAAATTTCATGTTATTGGGTAGAAACAAACAATAAGAGGACAGAGAAAGTGTTTTAACTCTGAGTTTCACGCACTAAGCGATCATCAGAAAACAGTAATGAGTAACTCTGGATCAGTATTGGTTTATATAGTACCCACAAAGCAAAGTGTAAATGGCGGCATCATGGCGCAAATCTAAAAGTTATTGGGTAGATGTGGAATTACGATTACTGAGCTTGTGGAATGTTGGCGAGGCGCCCAGCCCAGCACAAGCTCAGTGAACACAAAAAAAGAGACCATTGCTCACCTTGAGGCGACCGAACTGGATATTAGAGAATGTACGCTTGCCCTTGACCTTGGGAACAAGTCGGTTGTACAGGGCCTGGGTGAAACAGAAGGAAGTGTTCAAAGCCCAGCATCACTCATTTGCAAGTATGGTAGCACACGAGATGCGCACACACAATAACCACACAAAGCATGCAATGGCTTCTCATTGATAGTGGGGCTTGTGTGGTTCCATCCGGCCAAATACAACATCTTTACGAAAGGTTCGAGTCCTGGTGGTGACAGTCAAAATGTTCTTCAGACTTTTCCCATTTGCACCTTTCCCTCAAACTAACGGATGCCTTTACAAACGATTAGCATTTGCTAGACATCCATAGTGGTGGTGACTTTGTACGTCCGCGCAACTTCTAGGTCTTTATAATATCCAGTCCACTACACGGGACTCATTCAGTTATCGCTACCAGAACTAATCGAGAGTTGGATTCGAACTTGGAAGAGCTTATTTCAAGTTATTTCACAGTACAGCTTCAATATCAGTGGTGACAATCCGAGCCTGGGTCTGACGTTGTGAAGAGCGAGAACAGACTGGCCTACCCAGTTTAAAATTTCACCATGCACGCGTGTAATGTGTGTGTGTGTGTGTGGGCGCGTGCGCGCGCGTGCACACTGCACACTACACTCTTCTACACAAGCCATGCTTGCCGCAAACCAAACCGAGTGAAGACTGCTCTTACCTGATCGGACTGGGTCGACTCATGGAAGATACGGGCATCAATAGCAGCGGCTGCAGCAATCAACAAGACAACCGGCAGATGTTCAGCTCATGCTTGCAGAAGCCTTCAACTACTGCTATCCCAATAACAATTTTTCATCAGATGATGCAAAAGGGGTGAAAGAAAACGCGATTGCGCAGAGTTATTGCAGGTCCTTATGCATCGCTCGATCAAAGTACATGTACTAAAAATTCTCTCTTCTCTCTAAAATTATGAAATTTATAGGAACTCACCACACAAGTTGTTGGCGGCAGTGATGGCGTGGATATCTCCGGTCAAGTGAAGATTAAACTGGATAGAAAGCACAAACAAATAGGGACTTAAGTTGGCAAAGGACACTGTACACGCTAGGACTACACACTAGTAGGACGTTCCGAGCAGCTAGATGCCTGGTAGACATTCCCAGGCCTAAGCTATGGCCATCGTCATCATCATCATCAACGCCGATGGAGCGTACACCACGCTGCCCACACAGGCGCTTTTTCTGGAGTGGTGCCACAGCAGTATAACAGACACATCCACATAGTCATACATGTGTTCTATGCCATGTAACTGTTATATGCATAACTATGTACATACTACATACAGTTCCGTTCGGTGAAATCCGACCCAGAGTGCATATCTGGCGCCCTCAACTTGCGCGCCATTGACACCCTGGATGTGGCACGAATTCCGCGGTACGTACACATGTACAAATACAATGATGTAATCGGAACTGGGTAAAGCACCAGCTTTGCACTTTGGGTCGGGTTTCACCGAGCACGACTGTACAGGCTACACACAGTGGCTGACTGGGCAGAGCACAACTGTACAGACTACAGGCTACACACAGTGGCTGAGTGGGCAGAGCACAGCACACTGACCTCGTCCATGGGAATGACCTGCGAGTAGCCACCGCCTGCAGCGCCACCCTTGATGCCAAACGTGGGTCCCTGTGACGGCTGACGCACGCACGCAAAGATGTTGTGATTGCGGTGCGCACCCAGAGCCTGTGCGAGACCAATTGTGGTAGTACTCTTGCCTTCACCCAGCGGAGTCGGCGTAATACTGAATAGGAAACAAGGTACACAAAATGATTAAGACCAGGAACGTCATCAGTCTACTGCTCCTCCAAATCACTGTACAACTGGAATGGGCATACAGTTCCGTGTTAGGTGTGATTGCAAATACAACAGCCCATCAACAGCTTCAACACCAAGCCTGCTTCAACACCAAGCCTGCTTCAACACCAAGCCTGCTTCAACACCAAGCCTGCTTCAAGACCAAGCCTGCTTCAAGACCAAGCCTGCTTCAACACCAAGCCTGCTTCAAGACTGGCCCAAACGATAACACCCCACGGTGTACTGAAAACGAAATGCCATGCAGACTTGCAGACTTTTTCTGAACAGGACTTCTCAACACTTGATCAACGGCTTGTCTGTAGAGACCGGCATCCGCAGGATCACACATGCAGCACAATGACTCAACAAACCATTGATCCATGAAAACAAAATTAAAAAATATCTATCAAAATCCCCCTGCAGTGGTCGCAAAACAGAGGTCCAGCGGTACGTGTATGCCCTGGTAGCGCACTATAGACCTGGACACTAGAACTCACCCAGTAACAACTACATATCGGCCATCTTTCACCGAGGATAGGCGATCCAGTGTGTTCAGTGCTACCTTTGCCTTCTTCTTTCCATAAAAGTCAATCTAACCACAAGTCAACCCCACAACAAAGGCACACAACACAGTAAAAAAATTCCAGCAGTAAAAACGTGCTCCGGCTGCATGCGCGCTGCGAAAAAAGGGAAAATCCCTTGTCAGTGCAGCGGTGAGAGCTGCAAAACTTCACTGTAACGTTAGTTTGTTATCGGTAGTGTGAATGTGCTTCACGGTTTAAATATCATCACTACTTCAACGTGCACTTCTATAGCTGGCGAGACGAGCAAGGGTACCTGCCAGTGGCCCTGCCTGTGTAAGTGTACCTATGTACCTATGTATGTACAATGTGATATGCAGTAGGCCAGGCACTCAACAAAAAGGAAAAGGAAACCACCAGATTACACGTTGAGATATACAAATATCGGTATGGTAAATGTATGCCTTTCCTCCACAAACCGAGACACTCATCAGGGAGTACAGGTCTCACCTCTGTAGGCAGAAGACCGAGCTCACGGGCGATCTCGGCAACATCCTTCGGTGTTTGAGCAATGGCAATTGACAAATCACTGTGAGATACATGGAGAGAGAGAGAGAGAGAGAGAGAGAGAGAGAGAGAGAGAGAGAGAGAGAGAGAGAGAGAGAGAGAGAGAGAGAGAGAGGTATAGAATGAAGATAATCCAGCTAAACAAGATGGGAAAGAGAATAGCAAGGATGAATGATAGCACGAATAGCAACGGGTCAAACAGCGAAAAAGGCAAAGTGTGGAGGAGGCAGACTGCTGCTAAACTCTGTGACTTACTTGGGAACTGGCTTCAGCTTGTTCAAACCTAGGTAGCGAATATCCCACTTGCCACCCTACACACGCCCAAGACCAAACAAAGAGAGAGAGAGAGAGAGAGAGAAAGAGAGAGAAAGAAAGAGAGAGTGAGAGAGAGTGAGAGAGAGAGAGAGTGAGAGAGAGTGATAGAGAGAGAGAGTGAGAGAGAGAGAGAGAGTGAGAGAGAGAGAGAGAGTGAGAGAGAGAGGGAGGGAGAGAGAGCAGGGGTGTTTCAGTGCACGCAAGCACAAGGTTTAACAAAATTACAACAATTGCCGAGATGCAACAAAAGATCTCAACCATTCAAACTCATCTACAGTCCATTTCAAAACTATAGACGCGTACCTAGGCAAAAACCGTTATGCCAGCATCTATACCACATAAAATCTGTGATCACTTTGTGCATAAATTTTTCCAAATTGGGCGCCTGTTATCCAATCCTTTAGAAACTATATGAGAGTAATTGTGGAGCGATCCTGAGCAATATTCCGAAAACTATTCTCAAAAAGTTCCAGCCAAATTTGAAATATTTCAAAAACCCTACGCGTCTATAGTTTTGAAATGCACTGTAGAAAGTAGTAATTTTTCCAAAATTCTGCTGCAATTCCAGAAACTTTCAAACGAGTCTACCATTATTGAACGCACAATGTACCTAGAAAACCCACGTGACACTACCAATCAAAACCTAGGAGAGCTATCACATTGGAACGAGAAACTACAACAGACTAGAAGACTTTGGTTTCTAACCAGTGAGCTACGCCACCAGCCAAGGAGTTTCACTCCCTGACAGAGTAGTTATGAGTCAGCGAAAGAAACGTGCACGTTGGCGGAATTCTTTTATCCATTTGGCGTGCCATGTTGGCGATACCAACAAGTTACAACAGCCAGACAGCTGGTAGAACAGTGCTCCTTCTTGAACTTGCAGAAGGAAGCATCAGCCAGCCTGGTAGGTCAGTGCCTATTACAGACCCCAGTTGAGGCATTGAATGCCTTCGACTGGAACGCAGTGGAACATGCTCTGTTCACCATTGCGCCCCGTGGAGATACTGAGCGCCATGTGCCGTGATTGATCACGAGCATACAGTATGTACCATACTTAATTTCCCGGACGCGGGACGAAAGTGCAAGTGACAGGCCTAGGCCATGGTACCATATGCATACCATAGCCTACACATTACATAGACTTTGAGACCTTGGTGCTATTCTCTTCCCCGCTCAGCCTGCACTCCTATCTATTGTCTAACGGTACACAATTTGTGTTCCCTCCATTGTAACTTACATTACAACTGCGCCATACACAGCATGCCCCTGATAACTTTTCCTCCTTTCTCTTTTCTCTTTGGTCTTGCTTCATAACTGTTCTCGTACACACTTTCTGCTCCCCTACATGACCCTACTTCCTACTACATGCGTACGAGAGGTACGCTACTTATCCCCAATTAGCCACACTGCATGCTTGGCTAATGCTTCCCTCCAATTAAGCCGCCGTTTAGGCTTTCTCTCTTGCTTCTCTTAGTGATGCAGTGCGTACAAGCAGGATTCAAGCAGGTCTCTTTCTGCACAACTGCAGCTCAGTTGTATGCACTATGCCACTTCCCACCTCAGATCTGCATCAAATATGATGCAATCCTGGAATTTAGCCCTGACAGACAGCCATGCAGAAAAGTCAGAAGCTGCACACTCAGGGTTTCATGTACTCTTGCTGTTACTAGCCATCATTAGCTGGAGAGGAAAGGAAATAGAGTGAGGGGTTTATGTTGCTATGCTAGTTACCTGGCACTTGAGGCTGAAAGCTCTGGCACACTTGACAGTATTAGACATGAGCATGGCAACAGTCATCGGGCCAACACCTGTGTACACGCACACAAACACATAGTTATTGGAATAAGACAGAGATAGGACTTGGGCACAGGCCCTTAAGACACCAGGCTCCAATTCATTGTCCCGCACACAGTTCTACAAATCACATGCACATACAACACACAAACACATAATACTTACCGCCAGGGACGGGGGTGATATGAGATGCAACCTTGGATGCTGACGCAAACTCAACATCACCGACTAGGCGCTTGCCACTCTTCTTGCTTGCATCTAGACCATGCAGGCCGGACCAGAAAAAGTAGAGAGCAAACAGTAAATCACAGCACAATATCCCCTGATGTATCAATATACAACACAACAGTCTGCACCACCTGATCAATTCTCTCTGTCATCAAGTATGTGTGTCACATACATACTACAACACGTCAACAGCGGCAGGAAACAGTGGGGTCAGTCCCCTGCTCACACACTGCTCAATGACAAAAAAGTCAGAGCCTTTCTATTATTACAAATAAGCTAGAATGAGTTTTGCCCGATGGTTGCGCAAGCGAGAAACTAGAGTCGCAACAAAACGGAAAACTGGTCGTGCCTTGTCGTGCAAGTGCAGCCTTAGGCAAGCACATTGCAACAGCAGCATGCAGCAACACACTGACTGACCTGGTACACTGTGAATACCACAGTCGATCACAACACAGCCAGGCTTCAGCCAGTCACCCTTCACCATCTCCTGCTGTCCGCATGCTGCCACCAGCACATCCGCATTACAAACCTACATACACACAATCCCAAAAATAATAATGAACAACAGCAAGGGGAGGAGGAGCAGCACCAGGAGCAACAAGTCTCGGGAGGCTCTAACTCAACTTATAACCCTGGGGGACTCTTGGTTATGAACTTATGATATGAAAGAACTGTGTTCAAATCCTGGACAAATACACATATTCCAAGCCTTTCCAGAAAGTCTTACAGTAGCGACTCTGTACCAGACTGCACTCACCTCTGCCTGAACATTAGCTGTTTTGGAATGACACACTGTAACTGTGGCATTGGCCCATTTCAGAAGATCAGCGACCGGCGATCCCTGGGCACGCAAGAACATAAAAAGAGAGCGTGGCACATCCAAAACAAAACTGAATAAAAAGAGTGTTGCTGCACAAGTGAAGTAAGCGTACTATTTGCTAACAATACAGCAGAACTGAACATAGCCACAACATGAACGCCGGTTTTGCTTTCAATACCATCTACTAAAACCATCTCTACTACAGTCTGCAGTACACCCATTACACCTGTTCCAAAACCAGGGGGAGGCAGTGTCTATAGCAAATACTCACTTGGTGAACTGCCACCTCGTCGCACCCATCACCATCATCGTCAATGGTTGGTACCAGTGGTGGATCAGTGCTACCAATAGCTGACTGGGACTAGTCAAGAACAGGACATTAGGACACATACACCGACGTTGCGCAAGGTGCCTTCTCCACTCAACACAATTGTGCACGATTCAAATGAACTTCCACGCCACGCGTCTGCCTTCTCCGCCATGGTTACAGCAACGGTAGTGATAGTGGCGATAGTGGTGTTAGACTGTCAGCAGGTTACGGTTAAAGACAAGACGGCTTTGACACACTGGCCCAATCTTGAACCAAGTACCAGCAACGTTCAACAATACACAGGTGCCTTCGCAGCAATACTCGGGTGTCTTCGCAGCCACACAGATGCCTTCGCAGCAAAATACAGGTGCCTTCGTGGCAATACATTCTCCATGTAAGATAGGAAAACGGCGTTAGGATGTTAGCGAGTCATGGCAAGCTGCTATTCTGAATAAGTCGCTCACTTCGACAAACTCATCCGAGGTGATAACAGAATTCATTCTGCCTGCTTCGTGCGGCATCGCAGAAATAATAGGCATGGTATCAACGAACACAGCCCTAAGCCTCCCCCGGAGATGTACATGTATAGCCAGCTCACATGAATTGAACTCAATCAACCATTATTGCATTACAACGTTAGCTGACCATGAAATCCGCATTGCACACGCATGCTCAGCACTCCGACAGCACGCACAAGCGCGAAAACACTGCAGACATCATCACTGTGAACTATAAATGGACAGAAGCAAACATACTTACCACAACACGGCTTCGACCAACAACAATAGCCTTACGTCCTGCCAATTCAATTCCTACAGACCGAGAGAGAGAGAGAGAGAGAGAGAGAGAGAGAGAGAGAGAGAGAGAGAGAGAGAGAGAGAGAGAGAGAGAGAAAATCAGAAAATTAAAAGGCTGACAAGTAGAAGCCCCATTTGTTGTTTGTACAGACGAGACGGTTATAGGGGTGATGAAAATATCACCATCATCTCAGTAATTCCACAGCCTTCAGTGAAACCTTCCACTGCCAATTAGAGAACAGAGTACTGTAATTTCACAAATTTTTGGTGTACTTTTATTTTCAGTACTTTCGGTGCAGCTGTTTCATACCCAAAATTTTAATACACCGAAGAAACACTAACACGCATAATCCAATAGGGAACTGCTTCTCTGTACCGAAAATTTCTGTTCACCTAACCTGGCCTTTTGCCCTCATACCGAAAAAATTGACCACCGAAAATTTCTGAAATTAGAGTACTCTCAAAACTGAGCTGTGGATAACATCATATGAATAGCTATTGCCACAGCCAACACACACACAAAATGGTCCAAGGAAAAAAAGGTGATACAGTAGACACAGCACAGCAGAACAAACACTTACCTGAATACTTGACTAGCTCCATGACACCGCACGGTGTGCACGGCACACGGCCTTCGGGAATGTCGCCATTTGCCAACCGTCCAATGTTGACCTCGTGTAAGCTAAAAAAACGTACACATGCGCACGCACGCGCGCGCACACACACACACACACACATGCATGCACACAGGCGCGCATACACACACACACACACACACGCACACACACACGCACGCACACGCACACACACACACACTTTATCAGTAAATACCACTACAACTACAACCGCAAGTAGATGGACACCAGATCCTACGAACAGCCCGCAAGAAAAGGTCGGCTTTAACGTCGGCATAAACCGACACAATGTCTGTTATGTGTACATACCCATCGACGTCCTTCTCCGGAGCTACTTGACGCAAGACAGCGGCAGAGTCTATTGGTGAGTCAGATTGCAGCGGCAGCTACACCACACATACACAGACAGACAAAACACACACACACACAAATAAATGAACACATGACAATGTGCTTTCACAGCACAGAGTAGAACCTCACTCACTCCCAACAACTTCAAAGTACATTTTACCTGTACATGTACATCAATTCCCTTCGGGGGTTATTCATGGTGGAATGAGGGTCATCCGTGCCAAGTACCGGGTATGTACTAGTAATTTGGACTCAGTAGACAGTTCGCTCACAGTATGATGCACAAATCCTATAGTGTAGTGGTCAAACAGGTACTAGAGAACCCGCTACCTAGGTGACCAACCCGATAGCAATAGGGTACGCGATAGTACTTCAGTAGAGTCGATACCACCCCTGGAAGTGGAAAAATTGCGCATTTCAACATTCTACATGAAAAGTGCAAGCAGATGAGACAAGAAACACAGTCAGTACATGGGTGGTATGTGTGGTATGCGTAGAGCTCCCTTGACCAAGTACTAGTCGATGGTGGACAGTGCTAGCCACAGTGCATGAGGACAAACCAGCCAGGTGTGCGCCGCCGGTCAACTAAGCACAATACAAACCCTGGGTGTGGGTGTGATCATGGTGTAATGCATGAGCGCAGGTGCATCATGGATTAGACTGCATTCAACACTTGTACGTTCGGTATAGGGTACCCCAAACCCCGACTCCATAGTGACGGGGCCCCGCCCGATAGCTTATAGGGTCTAACTGTCTTAGTACCTGTTTGACGACTACCATAAAGTGTTCATCGATTCAACACAACCCTATGCATGGTTCACATTTGGAATCAACTGGAAGTTCAACTTTAGGGTTCACGGCTTGCCACTAAAAGCACCCATCATATGCGCCTCCATTTTGGATTGTGGAGGCGAGCAACAGGCGGCGACAGCATCTCTCGAAGTAAACACATATCGACTCGAAGAGCGTACTTATTAGGGAACAAACGATCGCATCGAGTACTCGTTCGTCAACTCTGGCGATAGTTAGTGATTGTGTTCGAAAAGAGATCGTTAGTGACACGCAGCACAATCAGTGCATTAGTACATGCCTGGAAAGAATTCCAGCGCTACGGTACTGACTGTACAACTGTACTGTATGTAGACTGCACGTAGATCTACACGTACAAGTCATTGTAGTACATGTACACTCATGTATGCTCGCAGAGTGGTTACTTGCGTTAGTTCCGTAGAGTCGACTAGTCCAGCACTCTATTCCGTAGACTACTAGACTATAATTGTGGGCTGTAGTGTAGGGACTGCCGTGCCGCGCGATCCGACAGCTAGCAGCTTCTTGAACTTTTGTCCTGAACTACTTACCGTTACTTGTTTACTTGCAGTTTCAACTACTTACCGTTACTTGTTTACTTGCAGTTTCAACTGTCGTTCAGTTAGTTGAACCAACCACCAGCAGTTTTCGTTTATACTTGTCTTGTTTGCAAAGCTGCTGCTTTTAGCCACGACGATGAGTGTTCCGGAGTTGTCCAGTGCTGACGCTGTTGTCGACTCGCCCCTTTCTCGGCAGTCCTGCTCTTCAGTGTGGAAATTTTTCACACGAACCTCGGGAACGATACGGCGTGTTGCAGCCTTTGCAGGCTCTCGCTCTCATACAATGGGACATCAACGACGAGCCTCCACCGCCACCTGAAGACGAAGCATCCATCCCAAGCCAGCCAAGCAGCTCCTAAAACGGAGCATAAGAGTGACCAGTCCTCGCTGGACGGATTTGCAAAATCCAAGCCGTCAATGACCAAGATTTGTTCCGCTCCGCGAGCAGTGGCGATCACCGAGATTCTGTCCCGTTGGCCGTGGATGGACGGACGTCCCATCGCCCTTGTCAAGGACAAGTGCCTGAAGGATCTTAAATATGCACTACGTATTGATTTTTCCTTCACTTCTCTAGCAGCCTGGGCTTACGGAGCCAGAAGCAAGGCAACAAGAGACACGGTGTCAAAAGAAAAGCTGCAGCAGACAGTACAGTGCAGCACTGGCCAGCCCGGCGTTAGGTGTGCACTGCAAGAAGGACGTAGTCAGCGGGGGTATGATCCCAGCCTACATAACAGGGTTGCAGCATATCAAGCATGCACGCAACCTCAGCAACCAGCGGATGTCACCAGCATCAGCTATTGACAGGTGAAGGCACGCACAGGGAGTTACATAGAGGTGGCACCAACGGCACTCAGTGAGTGGAACATTCTACTGGGTGAAGTGGACAACATACTGATGCGTCAACGGCTCCAGTCGAGCGTAAGTGACATTTATGTATTTGCTGACGATGCCAACAAGGGCTATGAAGACCGCTGCCATATGATGGGAATACACTTGTGGAGCAGCAACGAGAGCAGTCCAGTAGGACATGTACTAGCAGACACACTGATTGCTACAGGCAGCGGAAAGGACCAGGCTCAGGCGGACTACCTTGTCCTTAACGGAATTGTCGGCATCACTACAATAAGCGGCACCATCGGAGACACGGCCAGCACTCAGTCAGGTAGTCAGCAGGGGAAGGTTGATGGGTGGCACACCATTTTTTTATCGAGTGCCACCCATTGCCGTAAATGTCGCCCTGCGAAATGCGGTTGCGGAAGGGTTTGGCTCAAGAGGCAAGATGACCGACTTCAACCTCTTCCAACTGCATTTCAAGGTTGGTTACATTCACCACCAAATGCCTACGTACTACCAAGCCTTGTATGCTTCGGAAGGTAGACCGACAGCCCCTCTTTGCCCCAGGAATTTGTAGAAACTAGATGGACTTACCTGCACGAGCAACTCTGCCCGTGCATAACGTCTTGGCGGAGAGACAGTTCAATCTTGCGGCAAGTAAGTGTCAATTATCGCCGAACGAGAGCGAGGTCAGCAAGCAAAGTTCATACATTTTCGTGCAAAATATCCTGCATGGCAACTCAAGCTCACCTGGTAGTGCAGTGACAAGTGCATACCGCCAGCAATCCACTAACCGCATTAAAGCCTACTGCAAGTCTATCAACACCGAGATCATCGAGCACACCAAGAAGAACATTGCAGCAAGGGGGAAGGCGTCCGGTGGCACTGCTGGTCGAACGCTCACGTCAAGAGAAGTTTACAGTGGTGTACAGGAGTGCCCATCGTCCAGGGACTCGCCATGCCGAAATGGTTGTAGCGTCGGAGGTGGACGGGAGAGACAGTACCGTGGTGTTCATCCCACCTTGGCAGTCAGCTGCAAGTCTGGCTGCAGAGCGCTCTTTTCCGGCTGGACAACGAAGCCTCCCTCGGCCTCACCGAATGTTTCTCCTCCATCAGCCTGAGCCTGCTAGTCAGGTGAGAATCAAATATTTATTTCTACTCGTTTCTTCACAGCAGATTTGTAGTTGACTCATCATGGTTGTATGCGCTGAAAATGTACAAAAATGCAGCGTGTAGATCGCTGCTGCTCTTGTCATTCTTCTTCTTCATGAATTCTGCACACCTTGTCGGCCAGAGTACGCACACGGAAAATATATGCGCTGCGCCCATTCGTGCTCGATTTGACAAACAATGGCGTGTTGTTTTGCTCTTGGCTTTGCCTATCCACTGACCGTTCAATATTCAACGGAAACGCAACAGCTTCCCCAGTTTACTTTGAGTCAACCGCAATGAATGCCGTAGAGTTAAAAGTGAGCGATATCGATGGAAAATGCGATTTGAAAGCTCCCCCGCCTGTGTGGTATGGGACATGCACGCGCCTGTCACGTGCATGATGCAACTGTCAACGCAAGCATGCCAATCTGTGAACCCTACATATCCAATGACCAGATCAGGTGACAGAGACAAAGCGTCCAGCAGGCAGCCAGTCAGAAAACGCAATAGCCATACCTGCACAATGATGCCATGCACTGAGATGTCATTGTTCAGACTGTCGATCAGGGTCATCAGCTGAAGACAGACAAAACATTTAACATGAGCGATTACAGCTAAAAGTGAAAACATAACTTGCATTACAACACAAAAACAAGATGAAGTTCAAAAATAATACAGCCCAACACTACCACACGTAACATCACTCACTGCCCTGCACTAATTCAAATAAACGAGAGAGCTAGCTCAGGACCCTCGCTGTACTCGGTCTTAAGTTATCTAGACTATCATACAAACAAGTTTTTCGGCTACTCAGTAAGTTAGCTGAGCTGGTCATCAGTCATGGGATACATGTGACCGTCCGCTGCGCCACTCGCCACCTACAGTCAGTCATGTGACATGCGGACATGCACGGCACACACACACACACACACACACACACACACACACACGCACACACACGCACGCACACATGCACGCACACATACACACAGATACGAAATACAGCGCTGTGGACCCTGGCTACGCCGCTACTACGTAACGTCCTTGCATAGCTTCGGGAACAATTAGCACTTCAGCACATCTTACATCTGACTGGGTCGAGCTGCTTGGGATCTTGACATGGCGAGCAAGAATGCCAACCTGTACACCATCAATGCAAGACACAAGATGAATCACTCATCAATGCAAGACACAAGATGAATCATTCATTAATGCAAGACACAAGATGAATCATTCATCAATGCAAGACACAAGATGAATCATTCATCAATGCAAGACACAAGATGAATCATTATCAGTGACATGCCAACAAGTAACTATGAAGCTCCAGCTCACTGGCATACAGCTGCACAAATTGTCAACATAGAACCCAGGGTATGGATCAATGGGCCAAGAACAATATCAACTTCAGGTTCTTGATGATCAGCACACCCACCTGCGAGTAACAGATAACCAAAAACATATCATGTACTTCGAAGTACATTGTATTTGGAAATACCCTGTGGGATGCTAACCGTTAAGAATCTGCAGTTCATGATGACATTGCAAAAATCAAATATCCCCACTCCTGCTGACCATTGGGAATAGAGAGATTCTGGAGTACGATTTTTCGTGCCAAAATCCGTGGAGGCGCTACGGAGTTTTATGAGTCGTTTTCGAGCAGTGAAATGTTCTGGAATACGGAAATTATGTATTTGCCGTCATTGCCTAGGTTACGGTCGCAAACACGTCATATTCCCCGCGCTATGCCTTTTTATTTTGAAAATTTGTACCGAAATCAATGTTTCTTGTACCAAATTTGCGAAATATCTTTCTGCACTCGATGACGCGAAATCTCCATACGAAACATGGTTTGTATGAAAGCCAGTTCACACGGATTATCCATGCCGAAAAATCGTATGAAGCACGCCTCTAAAAAATCTGTAGCGCCCACACAGATTTGGGCCTGGAAAACCGTACCCCTGAACCTCTCTATTAGAGCATACAACGCAACACCTGCCCTTCAATTAGAGGCAAAGCCCTTGGCCAGTGAGCGCCTAGCCGATAGTGAACAGTGCCTCCTGGTAACTGACTGCCACATCTGCCGCATAGACCACACCTCCGCTTACACACCGATAATAACCGACCACACAGCTGCTGCACACTGACTTCAACTGCCCAGCAGTCAGCATGCCATCTCAGACAACTCACCTCGTCGGCTGCCTTCACTTTCTGGCGAATGTATACATTGGAGTCCTCTCTATCACCAACCTAGGAAAAGAGAAGTGAAATTCAACAAAGATCGCTGTAGTCACTAGTCACTGAGTGATAACAAATCCATATCACTAACAACAGCAGCTACACAACTGCTAGTCATCTGACTATGAAAGTGGTGCAAGTAAAGTCTCCTGGTTCAACAGTAATCTCACCCTCTGCTGCACAGCCTTTCATCGGGAACATAGCAGCCGCTGGCTTAGCTAGCCATCCGGCATTGGCCGCTCCACTTTCGTCAACCAACCCAGCTGAGATAGTGAGGCAGGCACAACATGCTGTCAACAGTTGGATATAATACACGCATGCACTGTATTGGCCTGTACTGATCCTCTTCAGCTGGCTGGACCAGTTCTAAAGGATGGGCTTCAGGTTCTCTCTCTCTCTCTCTCTCTCTCTCTCTCTCTCTCTCTCTCTCTCTCTCTCTCTCTCTCTCTCTCTCTCTCTCTCTCTCTCTCTCTCTCTCTCTCTCTCTCTCTCTCTCTCTCTCTCTGTCTGTCTGTCTGTCTGTCTGTCTGTCTGTCTGTCTGTCTGTCTGTCTGTCTGTCTGTCAATGCCTGTGCCTCTCTCTCTTGCTGATTGGTCCAATCTCTACATCCCTGCTCTAGGATTGGCTACTGTAAAAGCAGAAATTTTCGGTGGTGTAATATTTTCGGTATTCTCCAAAATCGGCGGTTCGGTAGAGGGAAATTTTCGGTAAAACCCGTTCTCCAGGTAAGTAGTGTACTAGTACTACATACATACAGTATCGGTTGTACCGAAATTTTCGGTGCGTTTTATTTTCGGGAAAAATTGTCGGCACCGAAGTTACCGAAAATAAAACACCACCGAAAATTTCTGCTTTTACAGTACTACTTCAAGATGCTGCTGATATTTTCCAAGAATTCGCGCACTCCAATGCAGCCATTTACATATTTCTCAGTCTGAACAAATAAAAATTTAATGATCTGTGCTGCAAAAGTCTCTCTGGACATTCACCAAATATTAGGGCATGGCTCATCCGCAGGGTATACCAGTAACACTACAATAACGGTCAATAACAAAGAACTGGAGTAGATGTGCTGCGAGGTGCAGCAGAAAAGTGATAAGATAATGATCGTGAGAAATGTGTCAGCTAAGGTGTGTATGTGTGGAGATTGGTGAAAGGTGCAATGAGCTAAGAGGTTCGTGAGTGAGTGTGTGTGTGGGGGGGGGGGGGGGGGGGGGAGTGGGGCACTGGTGAAAGGTGCTAGGAGAAAGGGTAGGAGAGAAGTGAGGGAATATGCTAGCTCGATACAGAAAATAGAATGAATGCTGGGGGATTTTTCTTCCTCCCTTCCTGCTAGCACCTTTCACCAGCGCTCCTACTCTCGACATACACAATTTTAGCACCACACAAGTCTTATCAAAATTTAGCAGATGGGTGAAAGTCAGGACTCGCGGGTCACTCTTCCAAGGTCACTGAGCGTGGCTGCATGTACCGTAAAGTCCGCTGCAAACGCCCACACCATTTTTGCAAGATCTGCTGGCCTATACGCACTGACCCCATGCACTTTCACCCCTGCTGTACGAAAGTGCATCTCACACCGTAGCGCGAGGAGCGCTTTGCTACGGTTAACCATGTCCATTTTCCGGGTTTCAAAATGTTTTGGGCACAAGTTACGAGCTAGCTCCTAGTGATTTTATGATGTTGGTTGTCTATTTCGCAAATCCAAACGGGAGTTACTTCGGAATAACAAGGTAGTGATGAACAGGCTATTCCAGGAACCAAATACACTTCTGACGGTGTTTCAAGCCATCATTTCCAAATCACGCAAAGCGCAATGGCAAGGGTTTTTCTCGAGCACTTCAGAGTTTTCAACAAGTTAGCAGCGACTTTGTAGGTGTAGCTTCTGTGACATCCCCCCTGTTCGACTTGCAACTGCAATACTGCGACCTGCCAAGTCGTTGAATGACGCTTCGTCAGAACAATCACCGCTCCATTCTTACAATTGTAAAGCGCGACATAGTAGCACTGCAGAAATTCCATGATTTGAAAACCAGATGGATTCTACGGCATTACTTCATGGAGAACGAACTAACAACAAAGACGACTCATTCATCGTATGAAAGGAAATCTCGACCGAAGTTTTTTTTCTTTGCAGCAAGATAATGACAATGGCTTTTGCAGAGCCTCTTGGTGAGACATAGGCAATTTGTAGGCATTATAGTCGTTCTCGTACGCATTTGACTTTCATGCCAGTTTTCTACAACTATAATGACCTGAAAAAGACGAAAATAGTATGGACCCGCTGGGGTGGGCGTTTGCAGCGAAGTGGGCGTTTGCAGCAGACTTTACGGTACATGTACAATGAAATTCTTCGATCGCTAATATGTCCACAATATGAAAACGCTAAATCTGGGGTACTCTAATTTCAGAAATTTTCGGTGCTCAATGTTGTCGGTATGAGGGCAAAAGGCCAGGTTAGGTGAACAGAAAAGTTAGGTACAGAGAAGCAGTTCCCTATTGGATTATGTGTGTTAGCGTTTGTTCGGTGTATTGAAATTTTAGGTATGAAACAGATGCACCGAAAGTACTGAAAATAAAAGTACACCGGAAATTTGTGAAATCACAGTAAATACACACCTTAGCTGGCACATTTCTCGCATTCATTATCTTATCACTTTTCAACGGCAATGGTCAAAAATAAGGCTCGGCATATTTCTGCTAAGGAACGAGCACAGCAATTTAGTCAAGTGTTGTTTGAGGATAGAAGAAGGCTGTTTTGCCAGCTCTCGTAATCAGTAGTTGACCACAGTTGCCAATCGAGTATTGCCACTCACATGCCCTCAGCGAGGCACATGTTCTGTTTGCCATGCATGGCTTTATATCACTGCAATTATTATTTCGTGCTGTACTACATCTACTGAAATTGGTGGCAATTTCCGCAATTTTTGACAATATCCGCAGTATTCACCGCAAATTGTGGTATTTTACCTCACTACTTTTTTCCACGGTATTTCCGAAACACCTCCGCAAGTTTCCGGAGGGACAGATGTCTCAGGTATTGTACTATGAACAGAACATCTCTGCCTCAAATGATACGTTGTGTATCTAGAGTGCTACAGTGCATTCATAAACTATAGGCAGCGTATTCAGTTAGATTGTGGTGGTGTAGTTCAAATGCCTTTTAGAGCATTACCTCTTTCAGTCACCTCTTTTGGTTACTGTCCATCGTTCCACCACTTGACCTAAGATCTTAAATTCTAGCCAATCGGACAAGCTACGAACTTTGTATTCAAATAAGTAATTCGCAAGGTCAAAGTACCCTACAAGTAAAACGTCTCGAGTGTATAATTGCACTGCAGTAATGCATAGGGTGCTAGAAGAAACAATATCGTAGAGTTTTCTGTCTTCTCATTCTTCACGTGACTTGAAGTGACTGTTCTTTGGGGCTCACCTGGACAATGGTGAGACCAGGCTTGAAACCAGGAATGGCCTCCGCAAGCTGTGCAACCTCCTGGCTAAGTGTGGCAAAAATTTCCCTGAGAATTTCAAATGTTGGCAGAACACAAAAAGTAGCAATTCATGATTTGAAAACCTGCCCTGTGAATGCAGAGATGCTCAACGAATAAGGCTGATCATTACTTTGACAGAGTCCTGCCGGACAGCAGTGTAGCTGTGCCTTCCGCCGCACTCATCTTCGGTTGGGAAAGAACTACCTTTGCATCTAACTGTAAGGATTCGTCGAACACAAAATAAACGTCAGGCTCAAAACAATGAATGTCATGAGTTTGTTGGCCAACATTCCAACAATCATCAAACGTCACGTGCAAAATGCTTCCTTCCCGCGTTTGTCACGGGGTTTTGGCTTGAATCATGCTGACCGCTAAACCTAGCCACTCAGCTGTGCATGTGCCGGTACGCGGTAGCTACTAGCTAGCTGTGCACCTGCTAGCTAGCTGTGCAGTCAGCAAGGGTGCTCACTTTTTTAGTCTTGGGCCGATGGGGCACGAGGCGAGGGAGCAACTCCCTGATTGACACCCACAAATCTGATTCTGATAGATGGAGGATGTACTATGTCATGTACATGTAGATGGCAAGATGATTGAAGATACATGAGCCATGAGTCATGACTGTACACTTGTAACATACCCCCCCCCCCCCCCGTCTTTTACTGTTGCTGCTACCAAGACTTGCAAGATTCCATAACTCGGGGGGGGGGGGGGGGGGGGGGGGATGTCGGATATCACAAAGCGAAAGACAAAACGACTTCTCAAGCAAGCTGGTACATGTCGGCAGACCAGAAATACAGCTCAAGGCAGGTTCTGTAGAAGAGAATAATTGAAAACAGTTCTCGGTAGCCAAGTACAGACTTGAGACAGACACTACACTACAATGCCAACAACGTAACAAAGAGACGAAACAAACTTGGCGTGAAAAAAACAATATGAAGAAAACAGACTACTTTCCAAACACTACCGTAAAAGTAGTAAAGTACACAAACTACATTGTAGTTTCAAGTAGCAGAAGATCCGCGAAGGTAAGCAGCACAAACTAGTTCTAAAACAATTTATCGTGAATAAAACATGCTGAGATTGTGAAAGATAAAAATCAGGTGTGTGAGAAAGCCAATATCATCGGGACTGACTACATCGCGGAGATGTTGAATGGAATTTCAAAGCCTAGAAAAAGCACAATAAAGGTACTGTACTGATCACAAGGTGCGGCATGACACGAGTGAATGGTCGTCAACATGAAAGATCAACAGGAAGCACAGCAGCGAGCCATAACTAATTAAAGAAGCTGCTACTGAAACGCCATGAAACACACATACACACACACACACCATCCTTGTTGTAAGAGAGAGCGGGAAAGTATTTGGAGAGTCCAAAAGTAAAACAGATGTGTGAAGTTGTGGGTGCGCATTGCACCGGGAGAGAGACTAGAGGAACGAGTGGGGAAACCGTACTTTGGTAGCAAGCCAACCATGGGTATTGTTATGATCCAGGACGCATCAGTAAAAAAACCCCACATAGAAGCGCAACAGAAGAACATATTAAAAAGGTAAAGCCACTTTGGCAATGGCAAAGTAACTATGGTATAAACTATACGAGTAACACTGGCATTCCGGATGTCACATCGTAACGAAGTGCTATCCGTTACAGGAATGGTCCAACGCCAAAGACAAACAGCTCGGCAGGCCAGATATCCACTAACCAGGCACAAGAATTGTCGGCATCTTCGCCGAGTCTGGAGAGCATGGTGCTGGTTCAGAACTTGGCACTGGCGGGAAGCATGGGAGAGCGACGGCTTCTGCAAAGCCCGCGGCCACCAGTTCATTTCCTAAGTGGATAAAGCGATCTCCGTCAACGTTGAACAACTCAACTTCCATGCGCAATGTTGATTGTCTACATGAGCAGGGTGAACGCATAGAGCAAGAACGTAAATAGATACTGTCAAGACTAGAAGATCTATACATGGTTATGACAAGAGTACTGCAAACCTAAGAGTTATGACAAGAGTACTGCAAACCTAAGAGATCTATACATGCTTATGACAAGAGTACTGCAAACCTAAGAGATCTATACATGGTTATGACAAGAGTACTGCAAACCTAAGGCAGGGTACATGATAGCTTGTCTACCTTCAGTTCTGGACAAGAACTGGGATCGCCGCTAACACCACCAGGCCTCCACTTGAACGTATACCATTATCATTTACTTTTAGCATTCTTTCAGAAATTGTCCGATGACATTGCTATGTTCTACACTGATGTGTCCACTACAGGACTAACTAAATGTGTGACTCACAGTAAAATGTAATGTACAATACCGCTAGGCTGCCTGGGTAGGTCCTTACCTGGATAGAACCTTGGCTATCAAAACCCTGCCATCCGTCATGCGCTGCATTTCAGCCCTGTAGCAGGACACACAGCACAAGAAGGAAATATGACACAAATGAAGGAGTTCCACGGCACACGAGCTTCTACTACACTGGGACTGATCAGGAGTTGCACACCCTACGGGGGTGGGGGTGATGGACTCTTAGCGCTGGTTTCTTTTGAGATATGGATGACAAAATGTGTATGGAGTGGCAAGCAATGCAAACAGTGCTACAGATGTGCAAACCGGCACTTTGCTCACCACTGTACACTACAGTGGCACTGTACTGCCACTCAGCACAAAGCTTCTCAAATGACGACGTAATGGCGGAACCGCTATTCCACACACCGCACTGATCTCACAGCAGCACATTGGACATACCTAGCATCGGGATGCCAGCGCTTCGCTGCGACATCAACTTGCGCATCGGAGATATCAGATGCCACTGCCGACGTTGGTGGGGAAACAGGCATGATGTTGGCCAGGAAACACTCTACGGCCTGGAACGGCAAGTGAGTGAACTCCTGGTGCAGAGCGCGGATGTCACGGGGAGATACGACAGCCAGATTACCGTAGTCAACGAAGAACACCTGCTCAGATGGTAGAACACAATGTACAAGCATACACATACACACACAAACATGCAGACGTACAGACATACAGACACACACACACACACCATTGACCATTTGACGCCCATCAATGATAGCGATTCTACAGCAGAAGCCATAGCAGCTTGTGCTGGGATTGCACCATTCAACAGCTTGCAAGGCTGAAGAATTGACCGCCACTATTCAGCCTGGTCTACACCACATAGCTATGAAGTGGCTTTTTCTGGCCAGTGAATCCCTACTTTTTGGTCTTTTTCATTTTTTTTCACGCACACACATCACACCACATACTCCGGCTTGCACTGGCACACACACACACACACACACACACACACATAAACTTTGCTACAACCAAAAGTACAGTATGTACTCTTGCTATCACCCAAATTGTCATTGGTACATATCACTCATTGCAAAGACGCCAACTCGTTACTATGGGATGTTGAAGGCTGTGAGCACACCTTTATGTTGGTGCCAAAACCCGGGACGCAGAGGATGAGTTAGTTTGTCTTGAGTCTGCTCGTCGTCGTCGTCAACAATAAAGTAACTTTGAAGTCAAAAGTAAGCGTGGGAGCGGAGGAGATGAGGAGTTGGTGGCAGCGTAAGACGATGGAAAGGAGGCGGAGGAGGTGATGGACTGCGATTGAACCTGTGGACTGGAGCCTGGGACGGCAGGTACCGCGATGGAGCTGTACACCATCCCCAGTCACAGGGCAGCGCCGAGAGGTTCAACCGTACCCTGCTGACCATGATACGCAAGATCTTGGATGAGATCGTGATTACCCCACCGACATCGTGGCCGAGAGTGATTGCATCATGGATGACGTTCCTGTCTGTCCTTTCAGCGCCGGTGACAATGTTCTCCTTCGTCAGCCTTCCCGTCACCAGAAGCGTGAGGCAGCGTTTGAGTCGGGTTGGCTCTGAAGAAAGTCGTCACACCAACAACTGTTGTTGTGACGCATGCATCCGGTACTCGGCGCGAGAAGATCATTAATGTGGAATTGTTGAAAAGAGATGTCCACATCCCAGTAAAGCAGAGTATTTCCAGCGATGCTATGGAACTTGATTCTGATTTGTTCGTCTACGTTTCTACTGCTAACCCTGATCACCTGAGTTCAAGGAGTAATTGCACGGGTCACACAATGCAGGATGTACTGTTGTTTTCACGATATCTAACGTTAGATATCGTGAAAGCCAGGGAGTCGTAAAATACCGTATTTTACGACTCCCTGGTGAAAACACCAGTACATCCTGCATTGTGCGGGAGACACCAAAAAGTTAGGGTGCCAGTTTCCCATGAATGGACTGTAAGTAGCATATCTAGCATGGGCACAATCTTCCAGGGCCAAAAATGATATACAGTGGTCCCTTTATAATCCGGCACCATTTGTACTAAAGAAATTCTGCTGGATTAGGGAGGGTGCTGGATTAACAAATTTGATCTACTGTTGCAATGTGATTGAAGAGGATATTTTGGCTAATGAAAATTGTGCTGGTTTATAAAGTGCTGGATAAAAAGAGGGACGACTGTAGCACTTCATGGATTGACAAGAGCGTAGCTCACAGATCTCTGGGGTCTTGACCTAGGGTATGTTCGATTGTACGAATCCATCAGCCCCGGAACCGGATTCGCCAAATTCGTACATGTTCGATTGTACGAATCCGGATCCCGAGAGCACGGATTCGGATCCAGTAAACCCACCTCCCAAAGACGGATTCGACGGATTCATTTTCATGGTACGACTCGTATCTACTCAAAACTCCCAATATGCGTACACGAGGTCGAGAGTTCACCGCAATGCATACAGATACTACGGGATGAGCTGTAGCAACGCGGTTGCCAAGGCCTTGAAACGGATTATCGGTTGTGCACATTCGATTGTATACGTCCGATCGAAGTGATCTGATCGGCGGAGATCGGGATCCAGTTTCCACAATCGAATGCAGCCCTAGTACCAGAGCGTATATGTGGTGTGGTAGCCATGTCCCACCGGCAGCAACTTCTTAGCCGTTTTGCCTAGTTTGCCTATAATAGTGCCCATGACAGCCATTTGCTGGTGTGATGACCAGACTGCACTGGCTGTACCCAAGCTACGTGCCTGATTGAGCAGTATTCCAAGTACACTGCAAGCACAGATCACAATGCACACGACGAGTAAGTCACCTCGATGCTCTCCTCGGCTGCCTCCACAACCTTGGCACGGTACCAACGCTTGTCCTCGGTATTCTGTACAGCCACCAGCTCACCGCAGGCACGCAATACCAAGTCACCGCTGTACTTCATGTTCTTGTAGTGCTTGCTACAATGACAACACAAACGTAGCGACAACAAGAAGAACAGAGTACTGGCAATTAGAACTTTCTCCCAGCAGGTTAATATACCAGTACCTAAAAAAAAGCCCAAATCACCCCCACACCCTTACTGTCCAATAGGTACCGCTTGTGCACTACGCTTTGCCTATCAGAGGCATTGAGCACTCTAGCAGGTTAAGGCACACTGCCTCTGTGCTTCACGCTCCCACCCCATGGTGGTTGAGCACTATCGTTTTCACCCTGCAAGAAATGGAAACTATAAGGCCAGTACCACTTGGATATTCCCTGAAGAATGTACCAGTAACCCCAAATCACATACATATTGCCATGATATTGGTGGGACAGGCTAGCAGCATGGCATATGACATCATCATTTCAACAAAAACTGATCTAAAGTGCAAGTAGCTTTGGTGTCCAGATAACCGAGGCATACGCATATTTCCGATCCACAATCAACAGCCAGCTGTGACCTACAACAAAGCATTCATTCAGGCACTAAACAAACTGGAGGGACGGTGAGCTGAGTACGTACTTCATTCTGTCCACCATCGATGCCAGGTCTTCGTCCTCAGCCATTCCGCAGTCTTCTACACGTGGCACGCATGTACATGCCCAAACACATGCCCAAACACACACACACACACACACACACACACACACGTGTACCATAATGGTCCATTAGGGAGGTTGGAGGCAGTTTTGGTCAAAATTCATTTTTTACACAGTGTCTTCAATTCTGTGGATGCTCCCATGCTTGAACCAAAGTATCACATTAACGGATACGGTGACACCTAGGTTTTATTGTGTCCTCAGATTCTGCATGTGATTACCTTGTTATTCAGCTAAAAAGGAAACAAATTCAATGAGAAAAAGTCATCATCTCTTACTTTGAAATAATACCACCACCATCACTATGATCATAGACACTGCAATTCAAAAACGTATACCTCTCCAAATTTCGCCCGTGGGACTTCACCAGGGAGTATAAGGAGAGCTATGATATTTTGGAAGTGCAGTGTCTGAGACTGTAGCCATGGGGGTGGTTTTAAGAGTTGACTAATTGGCTGCAGTGGAGTTTCCGAATATTGGAGAAAGTGACCAAGAGTCGAGACATATTGTGACAAATGGCTGCAGCTGTTGCTAACTAATATGGGCACACATAGTCTCCACGACAAATTGTGGTCTGATTTTGGCAATAGTAGTGACGGCTATCAAGCAACCAGCAATGTTTCAAATACACAACAGGCAGGGATGTCAAGCAGGCATGGAGAGACAGCATCACAACCAACTCCCAGACCTATCACAGCATGCAACGGGAAAGAACCCACTCTGCTACACATTGAAAATCCATTTGAATCGCAAGCAGGAAGATTAACAAACAGGATATACCGTAAAGTCTTGTATAAAAGCCGAGGCTTCTATGACTTTCTTGGTGAAATTTTGCAGGCTTTTATACAAGACAGGTATTTCTATGTATGTCAACACTAAAACCAGGCTTATGTGTGATTTGATGGGCCCAAAATTGCGGCTTCTATTCAAGTGCGGCTTTTATACAAGACTTTACGGTACATGTAGTCATAATTATAGCTATCCTGTGCACTCCCCCCCCCCCCCCCCCCCCCTCCAACACACATACACGTAGGCATAGGTACACATGTGACATCATGACATCAAATACTCGTACCGGTATCATCTTCCGTCGACTCAATGCCACCAGGGCCAATCAGTTTGTTGCCGTACGGCAGCTGGATCCAGAAGCGGTCAGCTTCCACCACCACCGACACTACCACTGCCACCCATTGGCCAACGGGCGGCAGTGCCAGGTTGTAGTTATGGCAGAACACAAACTCTTTGTCAGACGTTACCAGGCCTACACACGCAAGAGAAGAAAGAAACCAAGGAACCATAAGTACCATTCCAAAACACTATAAGTAATAACTCCCGCATCTCGTCTCTAAAGTGTTTGCCCCCCCCCCCCCCCCCCCCCCCCCCCTCCTCCCACACACACACATGCAAAACAAGGATGCCCAGGTGGCTATATTACGTTGTAGGGTATAGCGTGACATAATAGTGGTGCAGGCACACCATCGATAATGTGAATACAGTTAGGGATCTCAGCGCGTGCAGTGCGCAGGGTGTTTGCGCATACATTGCGTCATCGAGTTTTGAGTGCAGCTCGCGGACACAGCAGAAAAATGGCGACGGTCGATTTTCGACACTAGGGGACGCGGTGGACACTAGCGGAATCGTCATCTTCATCGTCGTTCGAACATACTTTGTAATTCCCGCCGAAGGACAGCGTGGCCAAGGCGATATTGCCCCGGTCGATTTTCCTATAATTTTCCATGCGGCAAGAACCCACTTCAGAGAGGATTGAGTCAAAAATTCAGACGTTTTCTCCGGTTAGATTGTCCTAACTTCGATTTTCAGTGCATCAGCCATCGCGGACATCGCCACCATTATCACTCGGAGAGAAGACATCGCTCAGTAGAAGAGGTGTTCACGCTGCGTCCAAGAGTGAAAGATTGTGCTCTTTGACCCTCCATAGTTCCTCTGAGAGAGTGTCTGGGAGATAGGTAGCTTGGAGATGGCCGTAGAACGTGCTTTCCTGGACGCAATATTTAGCCATTTCTACTGTCTTCTTCAACTTGATTTATTTCGAAAAAAATGTTCTTTTCCACGATTTCTGCACTGGACACGTTTGGGATCGAAAATCTCACCTGCGCAGACTGGCTGCGCAGTTCACGCGCTGAGATCCCTAATACAGTGTGGTGTGGAATCAATCGTGCTTGTGGAATCTGCACGCTTACCCTTGGCGTCATGGCTGAATCGACAAGACTTGCCGCGCACACATCCACGGCCAGACATGAAGTTACGGCAGATAGCACGGCCCTGCTTTCCACCTTCAAAGATATATACAGCACAAATGCGCACACAATTGCAAACAGAAACACACTGTCCCTTATTAAAATCACAAACAAGCCGGCGCGAAATCAACACACAGGGATGACTCCAGACCATTTCAGTCATGGCCCTCATGGACGACAGTTAACAACATCGACAAGCGGGGTAAAAAGAGCAAGAATCTTAGCCTAATAGAATACAGTCGTCCCTCTCCAATCCAGCACCCTCAATAAACCAGCACAATTTTCATTAGCCAAAATGTCCTCTTCATGCATGTTCTAGCAGAAAATCAGATTTGTTAATCCAGCACCCTCCCTAATCCAGCAGATTTTCCGCGGCACAAATGGTGCCGGATTATAGCGGGACCACTGTACTTCAGTCAGAGCAGCAACTTCCAAAACATGGCAAGAGACGCACCGTATTTCCTCGATTATAAGCCGCACCCGCACTTTTAGGTTGGAGCCATATCGTTTCAATATACTCACATAAATAGGATGTCACACTGGATTGTAAGGCGCATCCCCTTCTTCGCCCGAGAAGTTGAGTGTGAAAAGGTGCGACTTATATTCGGGGAAATACGGTACTACAAAGAGGGCAAATCACTGACTCACCATAGCCAGCCACCGCTTGTCCAGCGTTGGACAAATCAACACCGTAACTGTTGCTCATGCTCGTAAAGTCCTCGCCCATCGGGTCCCAGCTTACGAGAGCCTTTTGAACAACTGGGTCCGCCAGTGCGGCGCTGCTAAAGCCTACGTCCGCTGTGGGTGTAACACATGACAAACAACAACAAACAAAAACAGGGCATTCGGATAAGAACGTGCACATGCCAGCAGATATACTTACTTACCGTAATTCCGCGCATATAAGCCCATGGGCTTATATGTGAAGTAATGCAGTTTGGGGATAAAATATCCAATACGAGGTGAATTGCTATTTCTGGACATTGTACATTTCTGGACATTTCGAGTAAAATAATTTTTCGTCGCGTGTAGAGTCAAGTCAGTCAGGTTGATGAAGTTTGTTCTTGTTGTAGTTGACAGCTGGGCTGTTGTAGTTTCTCCTCGTGTCGGTGCCTTGTTGATAGCCTTTTCTTGGGAGGCATTTCAACGAGTTTTGTGGTACTATGTCGCATGAGAATTTTGAATTTTGAGTAAAATAAGAAGTGATGGACGAATCATTGGCGTCCCCATGTGCACTTCACATCAGACGCTGTATAGTCTTGGACCTGTTGGCTGGAAGTGTGAAGAGGCCAACTGCAGTCCACCAATAGAAAAAATAACAAAAATGGTGCAGTATAAGATGCCCATTGACGCTATTTTACTTTCATGTCCAGATTTCCATACACTGAAATTTAGGCCAACAAATTGGCCTGTTGAAAACATCCTGCCATAAAGTCTCTGGGATCACAGCATGAGCAATTGTCTCATATTTGGAAAGATGAAGGATTAGGCCATACAATAGATACAAAAAGATATGAAAAATGTAAAACACACAGCCAGTGGGCCTCTATTTTATTTTCATGTCCAGAAATTGCTATTCACCTCGTAGAACAAGTTCGTTTTTTAGCCCATGGGCCAATATTCGAATTTTGAAGGTTCACGAAAAAGTACAAGTCCGTGGCCATAGTGGGTCTACCATACTCTACTGGTAAACTGCACTGACCTGCTGTACCATGGTAGGAAGAGTCCATATTGTGAAAACTTCTACTTGACACGCGAGTTGCATTTGTGTCTGTTTATTAGCCCATGGGCTTATAAACGGAGGTGGGCTTATATCCGGATATAGGCCTGTGGGCTTATACGCGCGGAATTAGGGCACCTACACGGACTCCCATCAAGATTCGAGTGAGTTACGAATGTTTGAGTGCATGCATGTCCATCAACATCTGGCGGTCAAGTTTTTTGTATGTACCCGTACAGAGTCCTACTTATAGGTTAGTGCATGGCAGGGAGGACCTTATGGCTTGTTAGTGCCCGACATTTCTACAGTTCTTACTAATCATTAGCAGCACAACAAGCACTCGCAAAAACTCACGCTTGCCATCATCCAGGAGCTGGTCCAATTCAAACTGGTCACGGCGAAGTTTGGTGTTGAAATGGAAGTCGTTGGCGTTGGTATCGAAGAGATTCACGTCAATCGAGTGCAGCCACGGGCGAGTGGAACTCTTCGGATAGTAATAGGCGACGGACGTCTTGTCTTGCAATGTTGATGATGGTGTGTTCCTGTGGGCACTTATCAAGTGAGCAATGAGGATACGGCCGTTGCTGACATAATCCTCAAGATGCTGTGTGGCCTTATCACACCAAACTGACATGTCCTGGTCAATGAGACAAGCAAAAAAGCAAACAAAAGCAAAAAATATATCAATATTGTGTAAAAGGACAAGTAGTGTAATTCATGACAGGAAAGCATGACCACACACGCCAAACAAATCAACTGTTACCCAATGTGCTCCCCCTGTGTCTCATTGCACGGGCCGTAATACTGTACAGTACAGCTGTACTGACAAACATCAGCATCCCGGTATGGGAATAGGCCCGAGGCTATCAATTCACCCTACAGTCATATTAAGTCAACGCACTACTGATAGCGCATATCGGATGAGGAGGGGGAGGGCAGCTGCAAGCTACTTGTAAGAGAGTAGCTAGCCCATGCCTGCGCCCGTGGACGACCATCCAAAACACCGTACAAGACAGTCTGAAATACTGTTTGCTACAAGTATTACCGGGTTTAACCAAAAAATAAATAAAGACAGAAGAAAGAAGAGTTCAAAGAGCGCATGGCCTACCTGAGTGCCCGACACCCCATAGTCCGCAGTGTTTTCATCAGAAAGAATTGCCAGTGAGCAGCGCACAGCCAGAATGGGGATGCGGAGCAGTTCATCAGGTAGTCGACGGACATGCCCAGCTCCAACAGTCAACACCTCGCCGTAGTCGACGAGCTGTACGCGCAGCTGTTCAACCACCGACTGTGTCACATCACCACCATCGGCCACCGCACTGGTCATTTCAATTCCCATGCACACACCACGATACCAGGTATCGTCCTCCGTGCAGAACACACAGCACGGCTCAAAGATCTGCGGCGTAAACATGTCCACCTCACTGTCACCATGCAGCTTTGACAGCAGCTCCGTCACCATGTTCAGCTGCACAACGGGCTCTTTCGAAACAACATGCAGGTAAAACTCCGAAGGGCCAACAGCCCGCGACATCATCACCTTCAAGCTGCCATTTTCAACAGGAAGACATGGAGGCTGGTAGGATGGAAGGTTTGACCCTGACGCCGAATCAACATTACTGCTGCCTTCGCTGTCCGCACACTCTCCACTGTTGGCACTGTCGTATTCAATAGAGTTTAGGCGATTCTGAGATCGCTTCTCAACATCAATTGTGCTGTTGCGCACCGCCGCTCTACTGAGATCTATTCGCGATAACGGTGATAATCCGGTTCGACTTTTCTGAGTCAGGTTCTCACGGCTTGGTGACCTGTTGCATACCTCCTGGGAACTGCAATCGGATGACGACGGCGCATTCCGTTTTCGCTCACCTGCACGGCCACCTCTGCTGCGACGCCGTGTTTGCGCAGGAGAGGCCTGCGACTGAGAGCCGGTGGGTTGACAGGCAGAAGCAGAGGCAACTGGCTGCGCGTGACGGGAATCACCAGTGCTTGGGTCCCTGGTATGTGTTGTCATGGCGCGTGAGTCGGCAGCAGCAGCAGCATGCTGGCTTACTGAGCCGGCTGTCACATTCCTGCTAGTAGGTGATTCAGAGAGCACAGTGTGTGAGGTGGCGGCGGTCTCCCTTGTGTGTGCTGATTGCTGTAGGTTGTTGTGGGTCGATGCTATATCTACATGGAATAAGTGGCAAACATCAGCAGACAATGGAGAACAGAGGTGAAGGGCAAGATGATAATTAAGTGTGCATGTTTGCATGTATGCGCGAGTATGTGCATGCTTGCGAGCCAGCTGCCCTGGCATCACTGTGTTCTCAGGTAAACCCGTGTTCTCAGCTTTCACTAAAATAAGGCTTCAGGCCAACAGCCCCAGCAAGGAGTCAGTTTTGCCCTTTGATAACTTCTGGTCAATTCAATAAATAAGTGCTGAAGTATCATGTATGATGTAACACACATGTGTGAGTGCTAATGGGAGAGTGTGTGTGTGAGTGTGTGTGTGTGTGAGAGAGTGTGTGTGTGCACGCGCGAAAGAAAATCCAAAGTGAATGAGCAGCGTGCCGAGGCGGCGCAGCAGTAACAAGGAGAAACTTGAATCAAGGAAAACTGGCTGTAACATAAGGTCACATAGGCAGCGGACTACACCACCATACTATAACATTTCCAAGAGGACACAATGTGCCTGTTATTTACCAATGCTGCTGATATACATGTACTTGTAGTATAAAGAAATGAGTGTGCTTACCAGGTGAATGTGCTACGTGATGGTGCATCGACGGAGCGGAAGAAGAGGATTGCTCTTGGTCACTGCTCAGTGAGGCGATGTCCTCCGCCAGTTTCTGCTCAGCCGCTCGAGACAGCAGCGCAAGGCCACTCTCAACAAGCACATTTCCGACAGAGAGGCCGCTAGGAGCAGCGTCATCTGGTGGAGTGCGCAGCTGAACGCAATGTGTGGGAATGAGTGGAGTGTCACGGCGGCTAAGGATGGTGCCTGTCACCGTGATTCCCGCTACAGTCGTTGCAAAGAGCTGGGATGCCTCTTGTGACCATATTGATGAAGACGATGACAGAGGCCGAACCTCCGACAGCTGGCAGTGAACAGCATGGAAAGGAATTCGCTGGAACTTCTCGTCCAGTAGCGCCAAGCTGGCAACAGCTGCCAGCTCAGTGTTTCCGTAGTCCACATACAGAACTGCGCACTGGCCATCTGCAGCCGCACCCAATACACACACACACACACACACACACACACACACACACACACACACACACACACACACATACAAGTACACGAGCGTGCACACGCACAAGAACGCACGCACGCACGCATGCAAACACACATACAAACACACAGGTGAGTAAAACGATGGCTACACTTGAATACTACAAGACACACAGGGACTCTATACAAGATAATGTGCTGGAGTTGACAGTGCACAAAGGCTAGACCAAGAGAATAAATCAACAAACATGGAATCTTACTGGGCCGCACTTCAGTCACAATAGCGCGGTACCAGGAATTGTCTTGGGAAAACTGGGCAGCACACACCTGTCCAGGTATGATTGCATTGCCAAGCTGCCTAGGGCCATTCTTCTCAAAGTGATCGCTGTATGAAAAAGCGAGAGAGAGAGAGAGAGAGAGAGAGAGAGAGAGAGAGAGAGAGAGAGAGAGAGAGAGAGAGAGAGAGAGAGAGAGAGAGAGAGAGAGAGAGAGAGAAATAAGCACACATACACACATGCACACTCTCATACTGTACTTGTTGACCGCCGGAAACTGGTCGCGTGGGTCTCCCATTGGGAGAGGGAGAGAGATTCACATGAAAATCGTGGAAAGATGACTCAATTGGCCAGTGAACTGCAAAACAGCCGACACCCCCCCCCCAGCCTACGAGTGGACTAAAAAGTATGCCCTAACACATGGGCTCATGTGTGACAAAGGTGGCAGGTACAACATTACACAGCCGAGCCCGATGGTAACAGACCCAATACTATCTGGCACAAGTGTACCCATCAACTAAAGTAGCTGGCGCGCACGCACGCACGCACACACACACACACACACACACACGCACACACACACACACACACAAGCACACACACACATGCGCATGCACGCTGTACAAAGGACTCTGAAGCCCAAGCCTGATAAAGGAGACACACCACATGGATGTGAGCAAGCCTAGTTATAAAACATGTGTACAGAGGGCAGTCAACATGTAGTTCATAGCTGCATAATACTGCTCGGCGTATATTAAATGATGTAAAACATGCTCTCTTACCTCATCTGTGCCATAAAGTCATCCAGCTGACTACTGGTTATCTGTACCCAGAAGTCATTAGGGCTGCTCAGTTCTATGACGAGACCGGTGAAGACGTGTGTTTCTCCCAGCAGCAAGCATGCTGGGTGGTAGCGCTGCTGCGGTTCTGAAAGCGCCGAACTGGTACTTGTTGATACAGCCGAGGAGACTTCTGACACGGAGACAGCACTTCTAGAAGCCACTGTGCGAGCTGGTGGCGTGATTTGGTGCACACCAACGGAAGGCACCGGTGACCTCTCTTGCCCGTGCTGCTCCTGTTTTGGCTGTTGGCGGCATTGCTGATGAGGACGACTTTCACTGGTGGGTGAATGGTGTGTTTGATCAACAGATTGCCTTGATTTCGATGAGTTAGCCTGGCGGTCCCTAACATTGTTAGAATTAATGATATACGCAACCTGGCGTAGCTGGCTCTCAGGAAAACGGTTGACCCGCTCATCTTGTGCCTGTGCCGCTGGTGGTGGTGTTCCTGTTACAACTGCTGCTGTTGCTGCTGCTACTGGTGCTGCTGCTGCACATGCTGTTGTAGCTATGGCTGGTGCTAGTGCTGCCTGACCTGGTACTTTCTTTGCAGTTGGTGCAGGCCGTGCGCTCTGCCCGTTAGCATGTGCTCTTTGCAAAGCATGAGCACTGGCCTAGCACATAACAACACGTGTGCACAAATATACATGCACACCACACACACACACACACACACACACACACACACACACACACACACACACACACACACGCGCACGCAAGCACACACACACGTTGAGTTGGCAATCATGACAAAACATGGAAACTCGTACCAGATAGAGTGAGAAGTTGACTGAGAACACGACAAATACATGTACACAATAATTAAGAAAACGTGTTTATTGAACGGACGGTGGTCCCTATCCCACCAGCAATCCCACGCCCAGGCACGCAGCCAAGGGGATGTAGGCAATCACATGGTTTCACCGACAGGCTCCCAACATGTTGAGTGAAAATCTCAGCAACCACTGACATTGGAACATGTTGAGTGAAAATCTCAGCAACCACGGACATTGGAAACCATCCTGAAGGCAAGCAGTAGTGGCAGTTTCCCCGGCCTGACTGCTGACATCGAACCGTGTGGTGTGTATTTGTTGTCGCTTTACACTGCACGGGGGGTTATAAACTGAGTACCGGCGCGAATATGACCCTTGACAACAATGTAATATAGCACATGTACCAGCATGTAACCATGGTACCCCCCCCCCCCTTGCTGACAGCCTGGCTAGGTGCCCGCCTACACAAGGAAACAGACAGTGCACCGACTTCTTCACATAGCATACCTGTTCGGTGCCATTCAGCCTATGGCCAACAACACTGCCTTGCTCCTCAGCGTCCTCTCCATCATCATCATCCTCGTCATGGTCGCTGGGCAAGACCTCGCCCCATGCTGCACAAAGCAGAGTAGTTAACACACGTTGGTACAACCAAATGGGTAAAGGAATGTCCTTGGCTTCAGGGGCATGCGAAACCCACCGCCGTGTCAACAATATCCAACAAAAATTGCAATGCATTGAATCAATCATCCAGTCAAGTATATGGCAGGATCTACACATATGAAGAGACGAGGTCCAGTCGAAATGCATTGCCACCTTTAAGTTTGCCGGAGTGCATTATCACTTTTAAACGTCTCATGCCAAAGCAATCAACAGAAAACTGATAACAAAAACCCGGAGACTGATCATTACAATACTCACTATGCGTGAGTCATGGCGCAAACATTGGTGAAGATGACACACCAGGCGGCGCCCCAAATGCAAAACACAAAGATGTAGGTGAGGAGCTCCCAGGGGCGTGGGGCAACCGACGCCTGCAATTCCAGTCCTTACCAAGCACGGAAGATTGTGCTGCTGCGACTGGCAATAAACATGTCATTCAGGTCACGCCAGGCTTGAAGTTTCAAAGGTAAAATATGCTCTCACGTTGACATTTTGTTACCAGCTCAGTTTTTGTTGTTGAGGTTCTTGGGATTCTTTGCATTGTAGAGGATGGTCAGCTTCTCACCTCTGCAAAGGTAGCACCATTTGTCTTGCTGGAATACGCATACGCTCTTCTATGCATTTTACACCGTATGGTAAGGGGTTCCTGAGCACGCTGCACGCTCTACACAAGCTTGATCAATTCTGTGCTGTTTTGGTACCATTCGTGCCTGAAGCTCCGGGTGTACACGGTAGACCAAGGAAATCCTTTGCCTACGACGTCTCCTGCGCTGGCGCTACCATGTGCTCTGGTGTCGAGTGAAGTACCGGGCACAGTTTCGGCTATGGACACAGCATCACCGATACCAGCAGCTGATGAGAGACCATCCAACAGTCTGAGATTGGAGGCATCAAGGCTTTCGGAGAACGAACAAGCGTCAGGCCGATGGATCGAGAATGCGCCTGTGACAGCAACAGCAACCTCATCACCAGCAGCAGCTAGGCCAACTACGCATCGGATGTGCCTGCCACCATGGCATACAGCGGTTGACTATGGTGGTGGTAGGAATCAATATCCTAGGTACACGTACAGGCCAGGCCCATAGCAAATAACGACTGTAGGAGCAGTAGGTCGTGGAGACCTCCTGCTCCCACGGGCTACATACAGTGAGGCTGATACTCCTGAACTTCTTGCACGTCTCGACCAAGGCACATATTCTTGGCTGACAAGGATGCTACGTTGGCAACATCCTCATTACCACTGGTGTCTCTAACCTACACGAGGTGCATGGACATTAAACGCACTTAATCAGTGTTAAAAGCAGAGCTGCAGCTCAATACATGGGTACTCAAAACAAAGACTGATGATACGTACCATCTGGCACCACAAACTGAGGCAAAACCTTTTGCCTCAAAGTAGTCTTCAGAGATACCAGGTCCAACTCCCAAAAGCCAGAGGAGCCGCTAAGGATATCAGCTGAGCTTGGACACTCTGCCAAAACATTCACAGATGAGTCCAGGCACTCCTCCAGCTGACGACTCGTTGCTGGATACTTCGCCTGGAACTTCTTAGTGTCAAGTTCAAATAGCTGCAGTGCTTCTTGCTCGGCCTGCCACAGACAACAGTAGAAACAAGACCAAGCAAGAGCTCAGTGACAAGTCAATACACTCCAAAGAAAACAGTCAAAACACAACACCTTTAGGACTTTGGTGGTGGCTGTGGTGGTGTATGTGAGTGAAAGAGAGACAGACAGACAGACAGACAGACAGACAGAGAGAGAGGGGGGGGGGGGAGTGAAAGAGAGAGGAAGAGGGGAGAGAGTTCAAAGTTCAAACGCATGCACAAAGATGCATGAAGGTGTGTGTGCATATATCCCCAGCACACGCAAGTGGATATTTTCAATCATGTGTTATTTGCCACCGTCTACAATACAGTAGTTTGAATTACAAGCACATTTTTTTCAAATTTCGTCAGGACAGAACACTGAGGGCGCAATCATACCTCACGCATTGACTGCTCTAGTATCTCCAGTCGCTCTAGCATGCCCACCAGACGGCCTTGAATTGACGATACAATATTATTCACCACTTGTACACTGTCTTGTCTAAGCTGAGCAAGGTACAAGTCAAGTTCTGCGAATGTGGAATCGATGAGACGCATCCCCTGCTCCACGATACGAGGTCCATGATGAGTCACAACAGAAGTGGTCAGGCCCGCAACCACACGGCGACACGAGTCTACATTATCACGGCCCTCTCTTACTCGCGCTACCTTCTCCTCAATTCTCTGTCTGAATTGGTCAATGGCCTTCTGGCCAGGCTTCTTTCTCGACGTCATGAATGAGCACAAGTGCAAAGAGCTCCTTTGCACTGGAATCACAACAGAACACACCCTCCACAGGGAGACTTTTACATGGCAAAGAACTGTAGTGGAAAGACAAAAAGCTGCTATGCGTTTACAAAGTAATAAGGCAAGGTCAAGAACTAGAAGTAAAGTCTAAAGAACCAATACAAAAGATGTTTGATTGTTCAAACTATCAAAGACGGTGTTTGTAAACAAATCAAACATGCCAGACCAGAGGAGTGGTGGTAGCACATGTGGGGTGGCGCGTTATTTCAAAAAACGTTTGTACAAAAACAAGACGTCGATACGCGATGTACGTCAACTTTTGCAGGAGTCGTCAAATGACGACTTCACTCCTGGTTGCATCCATGGCAATCGGGAATGGCGTTCAACGTTTCGGCGATGTTCAGTTCGACTTCAAAAACAAGATACCAGATTTTTCAACTATTAATATATTATGCATAAAATTACTTCAGATTATTTTTACTTCGTTACTCAGCTCCTGATGTTTCTCGTTATATGCAAACGAAAGGTAAATTGGTAGGCCATGGGTCGCGGGCGACGCCCGTCTTCGGGGAGTAGTGACTCTGACAGTGACAGAGATCGCCGCCGCAAGAAGAGAGATGACCGAGGTCGTGATCGTGATCGTAGAGAAAGGAGCAGGAGTCGTGATAGAGTGCGGAGGAGATCGCGAAGCAGAGACAGAGAGAGGGCCCGAGACCGCGACAGGGATAGACGAGATGGGCCTAGAAGAGACCGTGATCGTGAACGGGACAGAGATAGAGACAGAGACCGGGCTCGCAGGCGTAGGAGTCGCAGCCGAAGCCCATACCGCCGCAGAAGTCCAGGCAGGAGGCGCAGTCGAGAGAGGAGCAGAAGTAGAGAGCGTGCTTCCCGTCATGCCAGCAAGAGCCCAGAACCTATCACTGGAAAGCGACAATCACCTGCACCTCCTCTTGTCAAGACTGAGACAAAAACAACCAGCAGCTCAACAACAACAACACCAGCATCCACAAACAATGCACCGAGTGCTTCTGCAAGTTCTGATCCACCTCCTGCGAAGCGTACCGATAGCGGCAACCTGGGAGAGGAACAGCAGATTGATATGGTGATGGAAAGGCGAAAGAAAGTGGAAGCTTGGCGTGCAGCTCAGCGGCAAGCCAAGGACGGGACTGCAGAGACTGCAGAGCCCGTGTCGGAAGCAACAGTGAAAGAAGAGCCCATGAAGGAGGAAGAAGAATCTGAGCCAGTTGTGCAGAAAGGCTGGACATTGGATGATGAGGACGATGATGATGAGGCAGAAGAAGAAAATGCTGGTGAGGAAGGTGAATCAAAAAAGTCTGAGGATGATGAAAGCACAGCAGTGGATATGGGAACCGAAGGCGATGACGAGGAGGATGACATTGATCCTCTTGATGCATTCATGCAGGGCGTACAGCAAGAAGTGCGCAAGATCAAAGGAGTCGATGTTGATTCGGAGAAGAAAACGTCCGGAAAGACTGCCACTATCGTCAAGACAGTGGTGACGACGGTGCAGAAAAGTCAGCCAGTCGTGACGAAAAGTACGAAAGGAGAGCTAATGTACAACAACCAAGATGCATTAGAGTACAGTTCGGAAGGTGACTCGGATGCTGAACTGAAGAAGAACATGGCTGCACTGAAGAAGAAAGAGAAGGGCAGCAAGAAAGAGCTGGCCATTGTCGACCACAGTAAAGTGACGTACAGCGAGTTCCGCAAAGACTTCTACGTCGAAGTACCCGAGTTGTCGCGCATGACTGAGGAAGAGGTGAATGCATTCCGCGAGGAACTCGGCAATGTTCAAGTGAAAGGCAAGAATTGCCCGACACCGGCCAAGACCTGGTCCCAGTGTGGTCTGAGTGCACGTGTCATGGACAATATCAAGAAGCTCAAGTACGACAAGCCTACACCTATCCAATCGCAGGCCATCCCCGCGATCATGTCCGGCCGCGATGTGATTGGCATTGCGCGTACCGGCAGTGGCAAGACGGTGGCCTTCCTGCTGCCTCTGTTCAGGCATGTTTTAGATCAGGAGGAACTGGAGACGGGCGACGGTGCGATCGCTATTATCATGACTCCAACGCGAGAGCTAGCGCTGCAGATCTATGCGGACTGCAGGAAGCTTGGCAAGGGTCTGAACTTGACGTGTGCGTGTGTGTACGGTGGCACCGGTATCAGTGAGCAGATTTCCGAGCTGAAGCGCGGCGCTGAGGTGATCATCTGCACTCCGGGACGTATGATTGATATGTTGGCAGCCAACAATGGCCGCGTGACCAACTTGCGCCGCGTCACGTATCTAGTGCTGGATGAGGCTGATCGCATGTTCGACATGGGATTTGAGCCGCAGGTCATGAAGATCATTGACAACACTCGACCTGACCGGCAAACAGTCATGTTCTCCGCCACGTTTCCCCGGCAGATGGAAGCTCTGGCACGGCGTATCCTAAAGCGCCCTGTGGAGGTACAAGTGGGCGGCCGCAGCGTTGTATGCGTTGACATTGTGCAGACTATCATGATGATGGAAGAAGAGGACAAGTACTTCAAGCTGCTGGAACTGCTTGGACAGTACCAAGAAATGGGCTCTGTCCTGGTCTTCGTTGAGAAGCAGGAAGACGCTGATCGGTTGCTGAAGGAACTCTTCAAGTCCGGTTACCCGTGCATGTCCCTGCACGGTGGTATGGATCAGTCAGACCGTGACAGTGTGATCAGCGACTTCAAGCAAGGTGTCACCCGCCTGCTGATTGCCACGTCTGTAGCGGCGCGTGGCCTGGACGTCAAGCAGTTGATTCTGGTGCTCAACTATGCGTGCCCCAACCACTATGAGGATTACGTTCATCGCGTCGGCCGCACTGGCCGCGCTGGTAACAAAGGCTATGCTATCACCTTTATCACATCAGAGCAAGGCCGCTATGCTGGCGACATCATCAAAGCACTGGAGCTTAGTGTAACGCCTGTACCGGAGGAGCTGACACAGCTGTGGGACGATTACGTCGAGGAGCAGAAGTGCATGGGCCGTGACGTCATCAAGATGCGAAACAAAGGCTTCAAAGGCAAAGGCTTCAAGTTTGACGAGTCCGAGAAAGCTCAGGCACAAGAACAACGTGCTCATCAGAAAGCAGCTCTTGGACTCCGTGATTCCGACGAAGAAGAAGCAGCAGCAGGTAAAGCTGCAGATGACCTCGAGGAGCAGATTGAAAAGTGGTTCTCATCGCGTCCACGGCCGAAGGAGAGTCGTCACCAAAAGAACAATGTTAACAAGTCCTCGCTATTGCCTAGCAATGCCCAGGCGGGTGGTGCCTCGTCCACTGCGCCGCAAACCGAAGCACTGCGCCGAGCACAGGCAATTGCTGGCAATATCATCACGGACAGGGGCCTGGGAGCTCAGCTGGGTGCCGGTGGTTCCTCGTCTGGCCTGGATACCATCGGGCAGGTTATGCGCGGTGATGCGGTGCGCTCCGTGTCCGGCGTGGCTCTGGCTGCTCAGCGTGCCGTGCAGATCAGCAAGGAAAGAGGTCTGGCTACCACGCAAAACACGTCTGGTGTGTCAGCATCCACCGCTATGACTACTGACAAGGTTGAGGAAGAGAAGAAAACGGAGGAGCAAGTGAATTACGAGGACGAAGTGGAAATCAATGACATGCCGCAGCAAGTGCGCTGGAAGGTGACGTCTCGAGATTCCATGGACTCGATCACTGAGTATTCCGAGTGCGCTGTCACAGTGCGTGGTGTGCACTTCCCTCCCGGCAAGGAGCCAAAGGAAGACGAGAGGAAGCTGCATCTGTACGTTGAGGGTCCAAACGAGCGTGCGGTGATGATTGCGAAGATGGAGATCAAGCGCATCATTAAAGAAGAGATCCGTCGTCAAGCCAGCACGCTTGCTTATCAGCGGCAACCTCAATCCAGTGGCCGCTACCAAGTTCTTTAGTCTACAGCATGTCACTAGTAACAGATGCAAAGAAGTCAAAGCATGCTTACTTTTCATCAAAATATTTTTTTCATGTTAGAATGTTCATATTGAAAGCTGAAAACTCATTGCCCACATTGATAGTACAGATCCGCATTAAACTTAGTGTTGATACACCAAGAACTCATGAAATTCACCATTTTTGAATCTGTCAGGCGTCTTGCTCCGTTCTTTTCATGTGCTTGCTCATACCAGTAGTATGATTTCCTTGCCAACTACATACTGGCATGTTGCAAGTTTTCGTCTTTTTTTTTCAACAAAATTTAATAACTTGTCTTGAAACTTCTTTCTTGCTGTTTGTTCTGTTGTTGCTACGCCTTGAACGTCTATACACATACCTGCCTCATTTGTGCATTAGTGGATTGTAACGTCACCTTCGTGACTTGTATGATCTTTGCTTTGGCAGCTCTACGTTTCGAGTCTGATAATGTGACATCTCACTGGAAAGACACGCGCATCATAGCTACCGGTAGATGTTCTGCTCACTGGCACAATTCTGGAGTGAACTTGTGACAGCAGACTTTACGGTGGATGTCATCATGGTTATAGCAAGAGTACATGAAACCAAGAATGTGCAGGTCGATTGGTTGCCGCCATGTCCAAATTTCTGGATTACATCATTTTAGTGATATTGTGCGTACAAGCAGGAATCAAGCTGGTGTCCTGCTGCACGATTGCCGCTACACCACTTCCCATTGCTTTTCTAGACCAACTACATGTGTGGTGTAATCCAGGAATGTCGCCCATGCAGAAAAGGTCAGAAGCTCAACACTCTGAGTTTCATGTATTCTAACTTCTTGCCCCTTGGTCATATCAAGAGTACACCAAAAGGTTTATGTTCTCTTCGTCATGTGGATACTTCTCACATGATGCAAAAGGTTGTTGGGCCGCCCACATTCATGCACTGTTTCATCATCATCGGTATTATCAAGACTAGAGTAGATCTACTCTTGGTATGATGGTCATACTAAACTCTAAAGGATCATGTCATACCTAGTACCAAGAGTACAACCCCCCCCCCCCGGTTTTGTACTCTTGCTAGTCCCTGCGGGAATTTGAGGAAAAATTCTCGAAAACTTACGCAAGAAACTGCGTCAGAAAACAACAACAAAAAATGCGGCGAAAAGTGTGGAACTCTGTTACTTGCCAGGAACCCGCGGAATTCTTTGCAGAAAATTGCGGATTTGGACCAAATCACGAAATTTGTTGCGAACATACAAGTCAAATAGCCTACGTGATTATGGATTTATGGAAAGCACTGCGTAAAAAGTGCAGAAAGTGTAGCGGCCTGACTCCCAACCAATACGTGTAGAAAAAAGTGCAGAAAACAACAAAAAAAACGCGGGAAATCGCGAATATTACAGAAAATTGCGGGTTTGGACCAAAATCGCAAAATTTGTTGCATACGTGGAATCGCAATTTCCTCGAGGGACAGTCATACACCCAAGGCCAAACCACTGTCGTGTGGCACTGACTGCCCAGTGTGGGTGCAGGATGAGAAGAACTGCATGCATATAATTTACGTTTGGAGAATTCTTCAAATAAAGTCTAAATGAATCAAATAACCCCGTATGATCAGCACACAACAAAATTTAATGTGCCCCGGACTTGTGAGAGTGCTTCACACTCAAAGCAAAGCTTGCAACCAGGAAGTACTACCGGTGCTAGTAAAACTACTAGAGTAATACTATCGCTACTCCCTGCTTGCAACACATGTACGCGTGGACACTTGCATGGTTCCTAGCCTCGGTCAAGCACATTAATAATATGCTTGACCGAGGAAAATACACAACAATTAGTCCTCAATTTTTACGTGCAAGTTTATTATAATAAGAGGGCTCTGTAACTACTATATTGCGTAGTAGTGTGTTTGCACACATGTGCTGCAACTTCTGTGACGTTGACTACAAATACATGTAGAAGTGCAGCATAAACACTATGAGAAGGCTCTGCCAGTTCTCAAGCAAAAGACTGCAGATCACATTCAGTGGACCAACAAGGGTAACAATTTTGTACAAGTATATCCAGTTCAAAAAAAAAGAAGAGAGTAAGAACAAAGTCATGTACAGCCAAATCAATCCGATTTCAATGGTTGCTGTGTGCGTAGTGACAAAACGATAGAAAAGACAACACGCTGTCGGTTAAATACCAATGACAGTAAATGTAAGAGTAAGAAGAACGTGATAAAAAATGGCAAAAAGCCAATACAAACTAGACAAGAACAACAATGTCACATAACCCAAGCAGGCTACAATTTCGGGCAAATTCAAAATGATAAATTGAAAAAATATGAAGGCAACTCGTCCTTCTGCCAATGGAGAAGTCGTTTTATGCATGAGCTAGTATTCCGAGAGAGACTACAGAGCAGATATTGCTGACACCCCGATCAGCAACATGACAGAGGAATATGAGAATAATTTCATGGGCCAGCTTCAATGCCACCATGCAGAAACAGAAACGTTTTGTAAAATCAGTAAGGAGAACATGATGCAGGGAAGGGTCAATGGCAAAACTCATTACAGACAACTTTTTAGAGATCATAGCAGGAGTGTGGCCTCAATATCAATATGCAAGCGCGTTTTGGTAATGAAATATCTGTGAAGTTATATGAACACTGCCTGGCAAATGCGTATGGACAGACAAGGATTAGTTGGAGGGGACTGGATCTAGGAGTGACTTTATATCCCATATCTGCACGCACGCACGCACGCACGCACGCACGCACGCACACACACACACACACACACACACACACACACAGAAGAAACAAGGCACAAAGGAGATGACAGGAAAGAAAGGGTAAAGTCGCCAAGTGTACCACTGTACAGTTACACACTAAACCAAGATAATGTACGATCACTAAACTACAGCCATGACCAAGGCTGTTCCCCTCTGCTCTGACTATTGGATACTCGCCACTTGTACAGACACAAACCCGACAGTGCCACTTTGAATAGCGCATGTTCTCTAGTACAACTCACAAAGGCCTCCACTACTAACACAGTCCCTATTATAGACGAAGATGACAACTTTGACAAGAGTTAGTTCATTTCACTGTACACTACATACAAGTGACTCATGCCTTCAAAAAGGCGCAACAGTGCTGCGCGGTGGCACAAAATTGAGCCAGGGATCTAACTTATCATTGTCTTTCCAAACTCACTGCTAGATAAAAAAAAAAGGAGAAGAAGAAAAGGGGAGAGCACATGTACACATACACAAGTGTGCGCGTGTGCGTGTGTGTGTGTGTGTCAGAGGGAGAGAGCGAGAGAGAGAGAGAGAGAGAGAGAGAGAGAGAGAGAGAGAGAGAGAGAGAGAGAGAGAGAGAGAGAGAGAGAGAGAGAGAGAGAGAGAGAGAGAGAGAGAGAGAGAGAGAGAGAGAGAGAGAGAGAGAGAGAGAGAGAGAGAGAGAGAGAGAGAGAGAGAGAGAGAGAGAGAGAGAGGAAGAGAGCAAGAGCACTTCCACATGGCAGGCCACTGTGCAGTCTGACAGCACTCTCAACTTCCACTGGTACGAACCTTGATGGTATTGTCGAATCCACTGGTAATCAATCTTCTCTTGCTAAGGTCAACTTGCAGATATGAAACACGATGCTTCATCTCAAAGAACTGCGCCTTGGACACTTTCCTACAGACATGGCATGGTAGAAATAGTACATGTAAAACGGTTCAAAGAAGAGCTCGTTTTAGCACATTTTAGAACAAGTAACTTACCGTATTTGCCCGTAAGTTACTACGTACTGAACTTAGCAGCCACATGAGTACTAACTTTCGGGGGTGGTACTATCTTTCGGGGAGTACTTTTTTTATCGGGGGTAAATGACACGCAGTGGGAAGCCTGCGCAACTCTAGTGTCCGTGCATATGATGTATGTACTGTACGGTGTCTGTACATGTAGGACGGGTACGAACTTACTATCTTTCGGGGGGAACTGTCTTTCGGGGTGATAATCTGGGCAGTGGAAAGTGTATTTTTTATAGGGGGTACTAAGTCATTGGGGAGAACTAACTTACGGGGAAATACGGTAGTTATGACATAGCAGCGAAGGTCCAGTCAGAACGTTACATACCGGTAAAAAGGGCATACACGTACAGTAAGTATCGTTTATAAAGTGACCGGATAATTATAATGATATACCGGTTATAGTGATAGAACACGTCAAAATCAAAATCAAATCAGAAAAAATACAGCTAAAATATCACTATATACACTATTATCGGCTATACCGATATATCGCTTATTGTGATGGACTTCAGGAAGCAAACCATATCAAATGTACAGGAAAATATCGCATATAATGATCATGATGATCAAGAGTGATGATCACACATGTCCGTTTCTGGCTGTGCTACCCCTTGCAATGTGCTCCCTTTGTATGCTCTTGTCCGTTTCTGTATGCACATGTCCTTTTCTGGCTGCGCTACCCCTCGCTCCCTTTGTATGGTCTTGTCCTTTTCTGTATCTTTCTGCATGATCTTGTCCGTTTCTGGCTGTGTTGCATCTCACGATGATGTTGCCAACTCACGTACACAGCCACTCATGTCTATTTCTGGCTCTACGCAACTCGTTGGACACGGAGTAGATCTACGTGAGTACGGATCCAGCTCAGGCTTTTTTGGAGAACACGCTGAAGAAGCAGCCATGCCACATGATGTATGGAAGTAATGTACAGTCTGTACTCGTACTGCACTGCCATGCACTGCTCTGTGTCATGCACTGGTACACAGTCCGCGGAGCATGCATGCACTTTCGGCGTGCTTTTTCCAGCGTGTACGCATCATTTCATGTGGAGTCATGTGCCATGTGTCGGTCAAACATGCAAATCGGCTATAGTGATGCACCGGATATAGTGATAAATTTTCGAAAATCAAAGGGGCACGTTATATCCGATATTTACTGTACAAGTATATCAGCCACACAGATACAGAACAGCGCATGCAGTGAAGCTGTCTGCAACTATAACTAGACTGATTCTGAGCCATACTCAGTGCCATCTCTTGTAGACATTTTGCTATTCTCAAACAAATACACACAACTCAACTACACTGCGGTATCCATAACCAGGAACATACACCGAGAGAGCAGAGGAGAACAAGCTATACGCGTGACTTCGAATATCACGCTTAGGCAATCATCAGACAACAATAATAACCGGAGACAAGGTGAGAACTGAAATATCAACACTGGATGCGAGAGATCCAGTGACACAGTCATGCAGTGGACGCCACTGCAGCTATACAGTATACATGTAATAATATGTTGTATTACGCAGTGAGTGGATTGATCTCCTTCAGTGTTTGTATTTCAGCTGTCATCAGTTACTAGTGTTGTTTGACGATTGACTCAGTGTGAAACTCGGAGTCAAAGCACACAACTTGTTCTATTCTGTTCCCAAGTGAGTGAACTACTCTGCACACTGACAGGGACTGGGCAGTGTCCACTTATATGATACCAGAAATACAGATTTACAAGCAGCTCGTTTGCGCCATCTCAACTTACTCGGAATCATCCATATCCTTGAAGCAATCATTGCACACACGGACTGGCATCTCAAAGCCAAGCGGAGGAATGGGCGACGTCTTCATGGTACAGGGATCACACATGGCCTTACCGCAGCGTCGGCAATGATGCTGGAACACGGAAGATGAAATGCCCAACCACACAAGCATCGGTCAAGCACATCGCATATACAACACAACAAACCTGGCTGATGAATTCAAACACAGTAACAACACAATGTAGATCAGCTGACAGAGCCAAGTTAAATATGTGAAACAGATCAGTGGAGCGACTGTACACTGCACCAGCTGATTCTCTTTGATAGCAGTGTTGGCTATTAAAGAGTAACCACACAGTCAGTCAGACAGACAGACACAGACACACACATTATACACACGTACACACATGCTGACAGACTGAGAGACAGACACAGACACATTAGCTCAGGCACACAAGTCACAAGCACGGACGTAGACTGGCCAACAGACACAAGCGCATATGCATAACACACTGCACACCTGTCGGTTTACTGCAAGCTGCTTGGTTGCCCACATCTCCCTGAAATTCCAGAAGAAGGCAGATCCACAACGTTGACACGTGTCACTTTCTGTCCACTCCGGTGTCTGTAGTTTGACAAAACACAAAACAAAACAAGGCAGAAAGAAAGTCTAGCAAGCCAATCAAAGGACCTCTGCTGAGCAAAGTATGACAGTGGAAATTTCGGTTTTCCCACAAAAAGACTCGCTGCTTCGCCTGCACAAATACAAACGAATACAAGTCCAAATACCGGACAAAGCATTCTACCGTGAATTGGGAAAAGAAGGAGAAGGATCACACTTGTCAGCACTTACTTCCTTTCTGTCGGCAGTCATGTCCCAGACAATCAGCATAGCATCATCTCCACTGGAGAAGAGCTTCTTTGCATGGGGCACAAAGTCAAGGCCACGCACCTTCTCACTGCAGAAGAATAACCACCGAAGACAACAACATCAGGCTACTGTATTCGCTGGAGGTTTGTGCGCAGTTTACACACATTAACAGTTACATTGTATATGAACACAGTATGTTACTTGTTTCAATTCAAACACTCACACACATGGTCTCTCGCCTGTAAACGTCACGTCAGGTTCACCTATTTTTCGGGCATGGCCCATTGTCACGCGCTGTGTTAAACATGGCAACTAGTGCTGGGATTACAGCATTGAACAGCTTGCAAGGCTGACTTTTTTTCTCTTCTTTCTCGCCTGGTATTGCACCACACAGCTGGGCAGAGTAGCACACCACTATTCTCGCCTGGTATTGCACCACACAGCTGGGCAGAGTAGCACACCACACAGCTGGGCAGAGTAGCACACCACTATTCTCGCCTGGTATTGCACCACACAGCTGGGCAGAGCAGCACACCACACAGCTGGGCAGAGTAGCACACCACTATTCTCGCCTGGTATTGCACCACACAGCTGGGCAGAGCAGCACACCACTATTCTCGCCTGGTATTGCACCACACAGCTGGGCAGAGCAGCACACCACTATTCTCGCCTGGTATTGCACCACACAGCTCGGCAGAGTAGCACACCACTATTCTTGCCTGGTATTGCACCACACAGCTGGGCAGAGCAGCACACCACTAACGTTATTCTCGCCTGGTATTGCACCACACAGCTGGGCGGAGCAGCTTTTTTGGGCCAATAAAGCCCTATTTCTCTTTTCTCTTTCTTTTCTTTTTGCCACACACACACACACACACACACACACACACACACACACACACACACACACACACACACAAACACACAAACACACACACGTACACACACAATATTTCAACAGATGTATCTGAACAGATGGACACATACACACATGCATGCAGTATTTCCAAAAGCACTCCCTTCAATCAGATTCAGCACAGCAAGCAGTATTATAGTATTCAACGTACACGTGCCCATGTAGCTCCAAAGCTGTTCCCTTCTGGCTGCCAATATCCCAGACAATAATGGACTCATCGAAGCTTCCTGAGAACAGTAACCGATTGTCGGGATCCCAGGCAAGACTGCGAATACTGCCTGCAAGCAACGAAGGTGAACAATGCGCACATAAGTGGACAAGGCCAACATCTACATTGTAGAAAAACAACAAGTTTCCGCCCGCCAAGAGTCATCCTTATACACATAACCAGAAATAGCAATACAGTACTAGTACATGAGCTGAATTTTACAGGTGTACGTACGGCCTATGCAGCATGCCAACAATACAATGTAACATCAACACACGGAAATGAATACTGGTATGGCGTACCTGAGTGCCCTTTGAGGGTAGTTACATGTGAGAGGTTTTGCTCTTCCAGCTTCAAAACGTTGATTTGTCCAGCATAGTCTGCTACGAACACATACCTGGTGACTGGGTCAAATCTGACAGGCACCCGAGTGAAGGAAACATATCAGCTCTGCATAGCAACAAAAGCTAATAATTATAGCACGAAAAAATGAAAGCAATATCAAAGGTGTAGTGAAAAAAGAAGGACCAAAGGTTTACAAGTTATCCGTTGTCTGTTTTATCAAAGGTGTAGCCTCGTCATTTGCGATACCAAGCCGTTGTCGGTGAGTGAGTACGCACAGAATGCAAAATGGCAGTGTTTCCAGTTAGACGGGGGACTCGCAGAAGCTCCCAATAACATTCATGGACGTCTACCGCACAGCGAGGCCAGGGTGTTGCAAGCCGGCAGAACACCCACACTCCTACCTTGTGATTTTAAAACTCTGCAGTGACACACCCCATTTTAAAAGTCGGAAAAACTTAGTGCGTATGTACACGGAATGTGGCAATATACACTGCTCTTCTGGAGAGCTCATGAAGGCCATAGAACCCCCCCCCCCCCCCCCCCTGCTACAGGAGCGGAAGCGAGGATACTGTACAGCGGTGCACCAAGCATCGGATTTGAAGCCACCGAGCCGCCGTCCAGTGTCCGTGCAGTGCCACTGGAAGTACTTGTCGCGGCCAGCAGTCAGCAGATAGTTCATGTCCAAGGAGACCGACACATCCGTCACACGAGCCATGTGAGCTGTCCGACATAAGGAGTGAGAGAAAAACACGCACATTGAGAGCTACTATACAAGTCACATTGTTATACGGCACAGCACATACTACCACAGTAAAGCAACACAAAGCAGGCCAGAGCCGCAGTAGCCGCAGCTCGCAATCGATCGTGTAAGCAGATAAGAAAAAAAGGACAGTACTGCAGTGGTTCTGTGCATAGAATTATCATAGTATGAAGAATTCAGCACACGAATCAACTACAGTCCATTTCAAAACTAGAGACGCGTAGTGTTTTGCAAAATTCGATGGGATTCATTTAAAAAAATTAGTTTTTCTCCAGATTCCGTCTCTGCATCGCTTCACAATTCTGGCTACAGTCGTCCCTCTCTAATCCGGCACTTTATAATCCAGCACCCTCGATAAACCAGCACAATTTTCAGTAGCCAAAATGTCCTCTTCATGCACATTGCAGTAGTAAATCAGATTTGTTAATCCAGCACCCTCCCTTATCCAGCAGATTTTCGTGGCACAAATGGTGCCGGATTATAGAGGGACCACTGTATATACTTTGTTTTCGCTACAAATGAAGTCTATTTTTAGGCCAGGTTTTCCGGTTTTACATGTAATTCCTGTTTTGAAGGGTTTGACCAGTTTGTTTCGGATTTTTGCTCCTGCTGAGACAGTGCTGCGCCCAGACCATCGCGGGTGCATTTTTGTACGGGTCCTGGTAGCCTCATGTTTTCGATCCGTGATTTCCAGTACAAGTGTGGGGCATTCGAATCCCATCACGCCTCCTGCCTTTTTTTCTCTTCTTCTCTGCATGTTTTGGATCTTGTTGGGTGAAATACAGTAGGGATGATAATTATATTTTCTCTTTTTGATATGATTTGAGCCTCCCTGTTCCCTTCGCCTGACACAACGAGTGACAGTGGTTTCACTCACGCCAGTTGCAAGGTGAGTTCGACGACGAGGATTTCGGATACTCAAGCTTCGATCAAAATCTAGCTCTTGTTCGAAGAAACAATGAACACGACTAATCATATCTTTCTCGGCATCACTGAGATTCTTACGGGCCTTGGAAGCCATTATAGTCAGGCACTCAGAAAATGCAAACAAGAAGAAGATTCATTTGAGACTTTCATTTCTTTTGAGACTTTCCTCACACCTTTTCATTTGCGACTTTGCGTGTTTTGCATCTTTTGTATTTCCCGCAGCGACGAAGAAAAACCTGAAAAACACATCTGAAAACCAGAAAACACTCAGGCAAAACTCACGGCTGTCGTGCGCTACAGTACGTACGACTCGTACGTATGAGTTCACGCGTCTATAGTTTAGAAATGGACTGTAGGCCTTCCGTACCATTACTTTTCAAGTCGAATACCTGACCGCCAAAGTGCCGGTTATAAGGACTTACTTGGTGCCGTGTTAATCACCATTGTATTCGCTTTGAAAAGTAATTATCATAATACAGTACGAGCAAAGCTATCATCTTTCAAAACTATCCCAGACCCTTGACTAGTTTTACAGGTCTTTGCAGGTGTGGAATGATACGTTTGAATTCCATACTGTTCCGAAAGCTACTACTGTAAACCCCGTTCTCACCTGAGTAGCTGCGCTTCAATGTCATACGGTTGAGATCATCCGCCAACAGAAACTCCTGTAGATGACACAACATAACACAGCATGGAACCACCAAATGCAAACCCATATTCAACTCACTTACGGTGACTTACCAGACACCTTTTCTCCAACGTTACTACAGTATAAGCACTGTGCTCATAGTTTTTTCAATACCCGTAACCCCCCTATACCCCGAGCCTATAATGGAGACTATGCGTTTGTTGGAGACTGCCTGCAGCATATGTCATCTACTTACAGCGTGTCCAGGCTGGCACTTATTACATTTTCATCCTCCTGGACCTTTTGGAGGTCTGCAAATTACCGTATTTTCCGGATTACAGTGGAGTATTAGCCGCACCCATATTTTTTTTGTCACGAAATGCAGACATCTAATTTGATCTTCGTAGATACTAAAGCCTTCAAAAACTTCAAAAAAAGAAAAAAAGGGTGAATTACTGGTGTTTAACGTGTGGCTTATACTCCGGAAGATACGGTAGTTCAAAGTCGTTTGCGTTTAGTTTAACCCCAAACTAGTCAGTATTGCGCCATCACAGTGGGAATTTACGATCCAACAGCATATTCCATTACAGGAACTTCACTTGCAACTCGTACAATAATTATATCAAAGTGTCCTAAACCTGTGCAAAACTAGGAATAAAACTAGGAATAGTGCCCAGAGCCAGAATGAACCTGGGTATATCTGTTTCAGTTTGACACATGAACATTTCTGCTGTGTGTGTGTGTGTGTGAGTGTGTGTGTATGAGAGAGAGAGAGAGAGAGAGAGAGAGAGAGAGAGAGAGAGAGAGAGAGAGAGAGAGAGAGAGAGAGAGAGAGAGAGAGAGGGGAGAGAGAGGGGGGGAGAGAGAGAGAGAGAGAGAGAGAGAGAGAGAGAGAGAGAGAGAGAGAGAGAGGAGATGTTCCAGCCTTACCACGACTGTCCCTGTCTCGAGGCCTGCAAACAACCTCTTCGATGTTCCGTCATAGTCCATACTCGATGCTGGACCTGTGTGAGACACAGAGTGGAGGTATACCATGGATGCAACTCAGCATAGCCAGGGGACACCTGTAATTAAGCCCCGGGATTATTACGGTATTTTCAAAAACATGAATTTCGAAGTCTGAAGAAGATGTTGAACGGTCTCTGCTGGGATGACAGCTACACCATAGCTCAGTGGTTAGAGCAACGTTGGCCTCAGGCGAAGGTCCCTGATTCGAGTCCTGGTGGTGACAGTAAAACATTTCTTCAGACTTTCCCCGTTCGCATCTTTCCCTCAAACCAATGAATATTTTCAAGTACAATATTATTTTTTATAATTGGGCGAGTGTGTGTGTGTGTGGGGGGGGGGGGGACTAGAGTACTGCCACCTAAGTGTTATCTAGTGTCCATAACCAAGAGTATGCAGCTGTGATTATGGGTCAATGACATGCTGCCTTCATTACATAACTCGCCTGCATCACACCTTCTACTCGTGCACTAAAACCCGCAATCTCTTCTACCAGCACAGCTATATTTCCCTGCTTCGTTCGAGTATTGATGTGACCTCTAAATTTCGGGTGCATGAACTCCATTTCCGTACGAAAGTTGGATTCAAACCACAGGGAAAGAGTGGTGTATGATTTCCGCAGTGCACAAATGTAGCTGCATAATGCAATGAATGCAGCGCCCCACAAATCTGGCGCATAGAGAGATCACAGTTGCATACTCACGGCTATGTACTCTTGATGTTACATGGGGATATGCCTGTGAAGTCCCAGATTGTTAGCATACAATAGCACAATCATGTACCTTCTCATTAACCTACGGATTTGGGATATACGTTAACCCTTTGTGCCTCCACTAAGATGACCACAACAAGAAATGCATTTTGTGTGCCCAGTGTTCGATTTTTCCATGATAACATGGGGCGGAAACCTGGCTGAAATCCTGTTCTTCGCTACTTTGACCCATTTTTAGCCAAAAGCTAGTTCATCTTTTGATGGACTCTAGGCGCAATGATTTCACATGTAACACGGTAGGTTTAAAGGCAATGCCTGTGTGCAAGGCATCACATACACAATTATCCAAAAGTCTCAGAGAAAACGAACTTGGTAGCTGGAAACCGTAGCAGATCAATATTGACGCAATGCCCCAGCTAATTCCCCAGTTTGTGGCTACGTAATGTGGGCAGTGCGCCGTACCAAACCCCGTATGCAGAGTTGCATAGTCTCGGGGTTATGCATTATGGACTCTTGGTACTACAGTACCAAGAGATGCAAGCTGAGCATGGCTTCAAACAAAACAAAAAATGCCCCCCTCCCCCCAAAAAAAGTCGTTTTCCTTCACGCACAAAATGATGGAAATGATGGAACACTTTGCTTCTTACATGGACATGCGTGGCAAATGCTGGGCCAGTAGTCACCGCTGTCCCGTTTCAGCCAAACACGAATGGTCCTGGATGAAGTAGTACAAAGCCAACAGAACATGTTGAACATGCTTATTCTTGTGTAAATACTATTTTCCACTTTGTACAATAGTACTGAGACTGTGCCAACAAGACAAGGCATGTACACATCGAGCATAGTGATTAAACTCACGCATCCTCCGATACACTGATCACAGCGTCTTCGTGAGGAATGGCCATGGCGGCATTCACCGTGCCAGAACATCCTTCCAATCTATTCAAAAGAATAGGTTTTGCTCTTCGACGTTTTCCATCTGAGCTGGAAGATGCGCTACGAGTTCCAGCCTCCGCAGACGCCATCACATCACGAACAACAGAACAGAGCAGTAGGACGAACAGCCAAACTCCCAATGGTAAGAAACTAACTTGGCCTCGTCGGTCAGACCTGAAAATGTCAACAAAGTAATACTAATAGTTCGAAAAACAAAAAATTCAATAACTCAGTAGAGTCTACACTACAGACTAGACAGTCAGTCAGTAGATTCTCCTGGCCCAGCCTCACTCAGGTACCGGTACGCGGTAGATCTACCACTACCAGGCCTGGTACGGCACTGTACTTGTGTATGGTGCACCGGTACGCCGCGGTGCAGTGGGTCATGAACTCACGCTACGCCAGCGCAAAAACTGAAAAAGAGATCTCGACCTTTTGACCACTCGTCACATGGTCACCGTGCGGCGCTTGTCGGATTCCATGGAAACCAATCGTTCCCAAGCACGTGCGCTGCTCTTTGAAAGAATAAAAAAAAATGAGTTCAAAAAAGCACAAACAAACGCTTGCTGTCACCTGCCTGGTCACCAGAACTAACAAATACCATAACTAACTTTCCAGGTGCCGGTCAAATGTCTTACAATTGTAGTGTTTGTTAGTGTGCTGGTATTGGCAAGTTTCCCATTTATCAGTCATAGATTGGCGATAAAATTGGGAGAGCTGGTGGCTGAGCTGGCAATACTTGGACAGGTGCTTTGATAGCTCTTCTCAAGCATTCTCCTTCATCAGGATTTGGCAAGTGAATGCTGCAGCAGTACTCGTACTTCAGAGCATGGAGCAACGTGCTGTAGTAGTAGCCGCTGCCATTAGTGCAGTTGGCGTTGTTGGACTGTTCTATTGGCTGTATAGCAGCAACTCAACAAGTAGCAAAAGTAGACCAAGCCGTGCCAGGAGACCTGCACAGCGCAGTGCAGTGCGGAGAAAAGTTGCGGCCGACAGTAGTGGTGAGCAAACTGGCAACACCGATGCTCCCAAGCCTATTCCCGATGTTCAGGTTGCATCTGCTGAACCACCGGCATCTGAGGACGAAGAGCCTGTTTCATCACGGGATACTAGCGGTGCAGGTGCTGCTCATGTCGGTAATGTACCCACGATACGTGATACTGGCAGCTCACCAAGCGTACACTATGCCCAAGAGCCTACTCCAGCACCTACAAAAACAGTAGCCAGTGCTGCAGCTGCAGACTCTACAACTGATGCAATGCCAGAACTAGAAGACAACTGTGGATCAGCTGTAGCTACCGCCGCCATGCCCACTGCAGAATCTCCATCATCCAGCATGACTTCCCCTCGTTGTACTAGCACGTCCGGCCTAACAACATCACCTCTTCACACCAAGTATCTACCTGGTGTATTCCGCTACGAGCGGACAACACCGTTAACCGAAGACTCGACCGTTCGCACTCAATTGTTGGTGGATGCCGCCTTGCTTGGGCGCTTCATCGGCAGGAATGGACGCAACATCAAGCAGTTGCAGCAGATGGGTGCATCGGTTGATATGGGTCGCCAGGGTAAGCACGGACAGAATGATGCTCAGATATGTACCGTTTCCGGTCGTCATGCGGCCGTTCAGGAAGTCATGGAGCAGATCGGGGAGCGGTTCCCTTCGATCGCCGAGATCCAAATCACACTCCGGAATGACAAAGAAGAGTATGTGCGTGACCGATGCCCTCACCCAGGATATGCACAGTGGCCAAGCACAGCGGAGCGTGGCCTGACCGATGTTGCTATTGTGCACCTGGACAGTCCGAGCCTGTTCTGCGTCCACCTGTCCAAGGACGGTTCGATTCGCCGCTTGAACGAACTGTCTCAGTTCATGACTGCCTTCTACAATCAGGCTGTGAGAAGCCGAGCTGATTATGAGGACTTGACTGTTGGGTCCTACTGCGCTGTTCCTGTCAAGGCCGAATGGGCGAGAGGCGTAATTGTCGGCGAGGACGAGCAACAAATGTGGAAGGTGGAACTGGTTGACTTTGGTGCAGAGATCTTGGTCTCCAAAGCTGTTGTACGGCCACTGAGGTACGTTGTTTAGTATTGCATGGACAGAGTTAAACTCAGTTAAGTTAAAGGGGAAGTTAAGGCTAAAATCAAAATTTCACCAATTGTAGTCTTCGGGGTGCTGAGTCGAATGGTCTTGTTCGAGGAAGCTGAGACGCTCCCTTCCTACTTGAATCCCAATCGAACTCGCGCACTTTCACCGAAACTGGGTGACTGCGCCCTACTAGATGGGGATTTGTATGCAAAATTTCACAAAAAGCGCCATTTCGTTCTTATAAAAGCACGGATGACCGCGATCGGCCCATATGTTGTAGTCTTTTGGACGCTGAGTTGACTGGTTTTGGTCCGAGAAAGCTGCGATGCAGCTTTCCTCCTTTATTCCCAATCGAACATGGTTGAAGAAGCGGTCACGTGCTCCTGCGTACACCAGTCACCTGGTCACCGGGCCAGCCTAGCGCCTGCAGGGTACAACTTACAGCCTGTTTTGACCTTTTTTGGGTGCACTCCTGTCACTCGAGTTGAACCTTGGTGTGAAAGTTGTCGCTTGCTGGCGTGGTGACCAGGTGACTTGGGTACGCAGGAGCACGTGCCCGCTTGTTCAACCATGTTCGATTGGGAATAAAGGAGGAACGCCGCATCGCAGCTTTCTCGGAGCAAAACCAGTCGACTCAGCATCCAAAAGACTACTACATATGGGCCAATCGCGATCATACGTGCTTTTATAAGAACGAAATGGCGCTTTTAGTGACATTTTGCATACACATCCCCATCTAGTAGGGCGCAGTCACCCAGTTTCGGTGGAAGTGTGCGAGTTCGATTGGGATTAAAGTAGGAAGGGAACGTCTCAGCTTCCTCAGACCAAGACCATCGACTCAGCACCCCGAAGACTACAACTGGTGAAATTTTGATTTTAGCCTTAACTTCCCCTTAAACTAATATTGTGCGTGCCCAGTTTTCAATGTCCACGTCCATTTGGATCGATTCATCAATGGTCGAAAGCACCCTGAGCCAGAATCCAAAAGAATGTTGCTCCTGCTTAGTGGCACCTGCATTTTTAGCGTGTGCAGCCCCTGCTAAATGCCTTTTTATGATGTCACTAGGCCAGCACTTCTACACAGAATCATTGCCACGGTATAGGCATGAGAAAGAAGGAGAATATCTCCTTATCAAAGTATTAAACATGCCATTTTCTCAAAGACCAAATTGCTTTTTTTTAGAAGAAACAGGCATAATGTATTGGGGTACCAGGAACTGAGTTGTTTGTTTCTATTGCACAAGCTTGTGTATGTACTGTTCGAGTAATGTCATCAAAAGGGCATTTTAGCAGGGAAGCACACCCTAAAAAATGGAGTTTCCACTAGCAGGGAGCAAAGTCCTTTTGGATTCTGGGTCAGCGTGATGTTAGCCATTGATAGACCGCTATCAAATTGAGCTTGTCGCGGATTGTAACTAGGTTTGGAGACTTGGTACGGCTTATTTCTGCAATGTTCTAGTGTGCAGATGTTTGCTGTTTCCAGTTTATGGTTATGTGTGCCTATCAATATTTTAATTATTAAATTGTTTTTTTCTCCTGTTTCTTCTCAGGCATGAGTTCTGTGCTGTGCCTTTCCAGGCCGTGAAGTGTCAGCTAGCCCATGTGCGACCTCGCTTTGGTAAGATTGACTTTCGCTCTGTGTTTGGTTGTGAGTACTAGCAAGAGTACATAACCAAGAGTGTGCAACTCGACGATCCCCCAGCCCACGGCGGAAATTTTTTATGACATCAGTCTTTGGCGGCTGTTTGGCTCGCTGATGCCATCATGCGTAGCCAGAGATCAAAGTACAAAGAATTTGTACATCACAGCTACGGTAGTCGAAGCAGAACAACGGACTATAGATCGATGTGTCCTGAACCTGGTGAACTCTCACCGTATCTACTAAAAATGCGTGGGAAAGCATACGCACTTGATCATACTTCAGCCAAAGAATGACGCAATAAAAAAATTCCGCCGTGGGTGAACCCATCGCAGCTCGTGATAGGAGTTGCACACTCTTGGTTATGTACTCTTGGTACTAGTACACTCATACCTCGGTTATCCGGAACCCGAAGTTACGAGCACTTCGGCCTACGGGGCACCCTTTGGGTGAGTTTTAGTGGAAATATTACTACTCTTTTCAGTCTTTTGTCACTTTTCGTGGAAATAGTGACGTCATATGCCATATTTCTGGCCTTTCCCCATCAAAATGTATGTGATTCGGAGTTACGGGCAGTGCCCGGTCCCGGACCGCCCGGATAAGCAAAGTATGAGTGTAGCTGCAATGGGACTTGTTTTAGATGGCTGCCAGCTTTGGGCACCACATTTCCACAAGATGGATTTGGGACAGTTCGAGTTGACAGTTGTATACAGGTGGAATTCTGATAATACGAATTTGGCTTAGTTACTGTAAGAGTTGAAAGTTTAACGAGTCTCGAATTTAGCAATTAGCAGTTCTCACTTTGCGGATCCAACAATGTCATCACACACTCATCTCTTATAGCTCTAGAATATAGGAGAGAAGGAAAAGTTTTAGTTAACGTTTCTGATGTTTTCGATGGAGGTTTACCTCGTTAAATAGTTTGACTTTTGTGCCACTTTAGAGATCCAGCCAATGCGATCCCCGCATACTGTAAATCAACAAAATTAATATTCGGTGCATACCGGTGTTTATATTTGGCTTTTATCGGCCTGGGCCGTCTAGGCCTAAAATATGCCGCGGCTGAAATTTGGTTTGCAAGTTTCAGCGTGACAGCGTATACCGGCAACAGCAGTACAGGCTGAACATTTAATGCGGCCGAAATGTGTTTTCGCCCTCGGAGGCTGAATTTTAAGAGCGCCGAATTTTTTAGACTTAACAGTAACTGTGTCTGATAATTCGAACCTCGAACTGGACAAGTACGGCTTATTAGAAGTCCCACGGAATCCGCTTTCATAGAGAATGTGTGGGATTCCTGCTGATAATTCGAAATCAACAAAGTAAAATTCACTGTTCACTGTACACTGTCACTGTACTGGCCAGTTCAGAGTGCACAAGCAGACTGTACTGGCCAGTTCAGAGTGTGTGTAATCTGTGTTCACGCTGCATATCACAGCAGCTCTGTGTGACGGTGTGAGCATCTCGAACTGCATGTTTGTGTTGTGGGCGAGAAATGGTGCTGTAATGTCGTGACGTGGTTTTCATTGGGTTGGGCAACCAGGGAGTAGTAAAATACGGCACTTTACCACTCGCTGTTTGCAACCGTCTCTGGCTGCCCCAGCCCCGGCTGAGCATAAGTGTACAGAACAGAACGTGTTCTGTACACATCAGAGCCAGTGCACGCCAAGCAAACACCACCCCTGTTCTATTTCAATCATGTTCTGGATCGGACCAATTAACCTGTATTCTTGTGCGTGAGTTCCAGCTGCAAGCTGCACAGTTTAACTTTGTTTACCCTGCTTTCTTTCTTGCCTTGCTGAAAGGTGATGGCAATGCCTGGGACAAGCTGCCCACACAGGTCTTTCAACTCTTGACAGAAGGCATTATGGTGAAGGAGATCCAGTGCCGCCAGCTTACCACATCAAGCAGCAATGGACACCTCGACAGCGCCAACGACACACCTATCTGTGTTGAGATGTATCTCAAACTGGATAAGCAGGAGGTTGGTGATTAATTCTCGCATTCGTCCACGTACATGTATAGCAGGCTGTTTCCGTGCTATGTATTCCTACCTGTGTCTGGTTTCAGATTCTTCTGAACCCTCGCCTTCTTATGTAGTTACCGTACTCACTCGATTAGAAGCCGGGGGCTTCTATTTTTTCAATACCAATTTTGAGGGGGCTTTTATTGTTTCATTCCATTCCAGTATTCCAATCGAATCTCTAAAACTTTCATATTCACAGCAACTCGTTCCCGAGTTTGTTTGCACACACGTCGACCAGAACATGCACGAGATGTTTTTTGCACACTTGACCTTCATACATGGCACTACCTGGTCACCCCATGCTTTGCGAATAGTAGTCAGGGCTTCTATTCGAGAGGGGCTTGTATTTTTTCAAACAGTCCTTGTAGGGGGGGCTATTATTCAAGAGGGGCTTCTAATCAAGTGAGTACGATATGTTTGGAATGATAGTGGGAAGAATACCTCGCTACTATAGGTTGGGCAGAGAATAGGTTGAAGTTTCGCTGTTATGATACGTATGCCGGTACTAGTCAGTGATATCTAGTGTGTCTCTAGGAAGCTTGCACGTTCTGTCTTTAAAAATGCTCATGGTCGATATCCGAATGTTTGGACTTCCTGTCATCATACTCCGTTGACATATCCGTGAAGCAAGTACTACTGGGAGCGTGCGGCTCCCGGCAGTGCAGGTGACTGCTCCGGGTGGTCACACAATCGACTGCTTTTGTTCTCTCTGTTCAATTGTGTGCCTCGCTAGGAGCAAGTCTTTGTCAACCGCAGCTTGGTGGAACGTGGCTGTGCCAAATGGGTTGAAGCTGCCTAACCTCTGCAAGACAGTACCATCAAGATCATCAGCCGCTGAGCGCATCAAACCACCAAGTGTGGAAATCCCTGTTTGATTCGCATCAAAACATTCGGATGTGCTGAGTGCAGGTTGGCCTCCAATCGGCAGCGACAGCCAGCAAGGCGCCAGGATTAGATTGTCTTATTTGCATTGCCAAGTATTTGTGTGGTTTTACGCACTTGTGTCAAGGTTGCTTTGTGTCTCTTCAACCTACTTTCAAGCATACCAACCAACGATTTCAGAATTGTTTATATTTTCCCCGGTCAATGCTGACGAATGTGCTTTTATCTGCCGGGCTGATACCATCATACCAACATACGGGCGCACACCCACACTGTACCATCTCAATCCACTAGCTCTCAGAACAAAGTTGTGACTGATGTGTCACCTACCATTGAAGTTGTGTGTATTCTCTTTTTAATAATGGCTGCTGTCCTCCCTGCAAGCATAGGCAATCGTTTTGCTTTCCTTTTCCAATTGATTTTTAAGACAAGGGTGTTCGCGCATGCACCGTTTTTGAATAGCCTGGCCCATACATGCCATTCTGAAGGTGCATATTGCATAGAGACCATCATAATTGTACATCTATCTTTGACTTTGAGCTGAGTTTCTATTGATTGCTTTCAAATACTATTCCACTACAAGTATAATTATAATTTTCCTCCTGGAAAAAGAGATACACCCATCTCTGTACTCCCTAGTCACTACTGCAGTACTGGACAGTGCAATTCTCCCCCATGACTAAGGGAATCCAGCGTTCAAGTGTGCATTCCATTCACGCAGTGCTCAGTCATGGTGCTTTGGCCATGCAGCACTTGGCGCTACTGTGCTCACGAGAGTGAATTTCACCGGCCAGCACTGTAGAATGTTTGCGCCCAGTGATCCAAGTGGGGAACTGTTTTGATGACAAGTTTGTTAGCAAAACCCAAAGCAGGGAGGTAACACATGCAACCTACAGGCACAGTTCAAACCAGGCAGAAGTAAAATACAGTTTTACTGCTCACTGATTCAAATCAATAGTAGAGACTGTCTGTGCACCACATGCGTTGGGCAGACAAGTGTGTGTTGAGGTGAGAAAAAAAAGTTCAGTGGCACAACTCGCGACAGTCTACTGCACACATGTGTAAGGCCTCACTCACATACAATGTACCGGTATGTGCCTACCTAGTACCTGTGTGCATTTGGCATTTTGTGGAGCATTTTTCTATGCCGTGCGTGTGTTGCTCAGCAAAAGGCAACACGTGCAGGGAAACGGATGTTATCGTATACAGCAGTGTGATGTGTTGACCCGACTAAGTTCTGCTGATGCACGAGTTCTTGTCTAGTGCATCTTGAGTTTCTCTCAACACGAACTGTACAACTCAAGAGTTTAGTTACTAGTACTCTGTGTGCATCATGTGATGTGTTGACCTACTATGCAGGCAGCTACATACATTTGTTGAGTGCAGCACGCTCTCTCTCTCTCTACAAGTACATGTACCTTGCAGTGAATACTACTACAGTGCTGCTCCATGAAATCCGATCAAGTAAGCAAGTGAATGCCAAGCCTGGACCTGTACTGCGAACACTGCGATGGGAACTGGTGTAGAGTACAAACTTGATTTACGCGATCGGATTTCATTGAGCAGCACTGCAGAAAGAGACTGGTATTTTTACTGCAAGCGGTGCTACATGGTACCTCCCAGCAGAAGAACGACATTGGGCGAGTGGAAATCGAATTCAACATTTTCATTATTAGATCTGGCTGCATTACAGTCATGATTGTCAAACATGCAAAAGAAGAGGCTTTTAACACCCACGCATGTATAAGTAGTAGTGATCAAAATGCATTAGAAGTACAATTTCTTTGCTTCCCAGCAGCAAAATAAAAGGATGCACCTGAACGGTGTGTGACGTGAATAGACGTCAAACTTAGGACAGTAAACATTTTGTCATTGTCAATAACATCCTTTGCAAAGGATTACCAGCGGAGTGGAGTGTAGGAGTTGAAACTAAGCAGTGGCCAACATTCCGGACATTGACTTCATCTCTTGTGCAAAGTTCTGTACAGAAGACGGAGACAGTGCCAGGCATTGACAAATGTACACGTACACATGCACCGACTGCACCCGCACAATCTATGACGGCATAATATTTTGGCAACAAAGACCGTCCGCGAGACTTGCCATGCAAGTAGAATGATCAAAATAAGCATAGCACTGGACTAAGACTACAGCAGACTTTGCTATGCCACTCCTGCTGCTGCTGCTGCTGCTGCTGCAACTGATGCAGAGCACAGTGTATGCCTACAAACTGATCAAGCCATTTCACGCAACACAACTGTACAGACACGTATTAGCAAGCACAATGCAGCATATCTAACAAGTTAACGCCAGCTGACCTGAAATTCTGGCACGCTCATTTCCACGGAGCGCTCGATGATGTTGCCAGACGGCTCTGCTACTCGCAGGAGAAGTGTTACAAATGGTGTATTGAGACCGCGGCATGAACTACTGGATACAGCCATACCCAACTTCCAGTCAATGTTCAATAGCTGCAACACCAGCATGTGAATACATACACACATACACACACACACACACACACACAAACACACACACACACAAACACACACACAAACACACACACACACACACAAACACACACAAAACACACACAAAACACACACAAAACACACACAAAACACACACAAAACACACACACACACACACACACACATTGTAGGTGGCCGGTAGGTGTGCCTGAACTGTTTGTCTGCGTTTCCACTTCATGATTTAAATGAGTAGGGACTACCAGGGCTGGCCATTGCTGGTACCTGCACCTGCTATCCCAGCCTCGGTATGCGAGTACATAAGTGATACACGTACGTGAATAAACTCGGAAGAAGAAAAGAAATGCAGTCTGAGTGGTAACGTAAAGACCAGTATGATGTTACCATCAAACATCCTCTCCGCATTATCCTGATGAGCAGTCGGACCACTCCCTGCATCAGGTAGAGGTGAATACAGGCGGTGTGCCTCGAATAACATGACCCATATGCTATTGCCAGAGTATTGGTGGTGGATGTACGGGTGGCCAAAGGCGTGCACCACGCTTGAACACCACAATATACACATCAAATTAAACAGCACTGATACATTGCCCTTTCTGCAATCAATCACGTACATATATACATGCTTATACCTCACTCCATATTCACCCACATACAATTGGCCATCTACATAAGTGGTGAATATTGCTGAATATTCACCGCTTATATTCACCACTTATATTCACCACTTTTCGATACTTACATTGTACTGTAAAGAGAGCAGTACTCGGTGCTGCGCTTGATTCCTCTTCAGTCAGCGCACCGGAGCTGTCGAGTGCCCTAGAAAATGTCTACGCACACTTCCGCAGACAGGACTTTTCTGAGTACAAACGAAATTCCTTGCTTGCCATTGCCGCTGGATCCGCATGTGACCAGGTGCTGACAGTGAGCATCTTCACAGACGGAGCGTTCCAGCGAGCAAACAAGGTTTTGGACGCTCAACATGTCAATGGCCCGATGATTGCGGATCAAGCGACAAGCCAGGAATTTCGTTTGTACTCGGAACAGCCCTGTTCAAGGACGTTAGCGTAGAATTTTCCTGGGGCACACAACAGCTCCGAAGCGCTGCCTAAAAAGAAAAGAAGTGAGGGTAGAACAGCTTGGCTCGCTGTTATAAACCGACTCCCGAATTGGCGCGATGATTGCGGATTGGTCAAATCTTCGCGTGAAACGAAACCTCTCTCTGATTGGTCAAATCTTCGCGTGAAACGAAACCTCTCTCTGATTGGTCAAATCTTCGCGTGAAACGAAACCTCTCTAATGATTGGCTTCCGCCACAAAGCTGCACGAGCGTGTTCTCCATGGTGATTGGCACGAGCGTGTTCTCCAAGGTCGTCACCTCCCATGCCACATGCACCAGTACGTGTACACGATCGATTGAACAAGATTCTGAACACGCCGCCCTCCGATTCAGGCAAGAACACGCCAGTCGGTCTGAAGGCTCAGTGAAGCAACAACGACTTACGTTAGTTCTGCGTATATGTACATGTATGACCAACAGGACTCGTTTGTTGGGTTTTAGGGACGAGAGGGTGAATATGGAGAGGTAAAAGTCTAATATTACCTTCAGCCTCGTGAATATTCGCCCATATTCACTCGGCTTCAGGTAATAATTATTATATACATACATACTACTGCACATGCGTTGCTCTAGGAAGGAGCGACGCGTGGGAGATCTTACCTGCCCGACATTGAGAATCTTGCTGGCAGCAGAGCCCTCCATGAGAAGCTTACCCTAGAGGCATACACACATACATACATACATGCATGCCATTACTTCCAAGTAGATACAATTCTGCTCGGGCAGAGAGATAGCCCAGAGAGCACAGTGCTCCATCCGCTTTTAAGAACTATTGATGGCTTCATTTACTGATGCTCTTCTTTACACTCCCCAAACTTTCAAAGAACTCTTGCAGCGCAGCATGCAAACACACTCTGCACAACACATGCATCCCAAATCCCCAATACCATGGTTTACCAGCTCATAACGTTTTCAAAATTCCTTAAAATCTGCCTGAATATAAACATCTTTCTAGCGAATGCAAAGTAGCTGAGCTGAAATGGGAAGCCAATATGGTCCTAATGGCGTTAAGAACCACCTGCCCAACGACTTGCCAAATTTGTGCATTAATGTCACTGCAATCAGTGCAATGCACGGTGGTACTCACACCAAACGCATATCGGTACCGGTACTGTAAGATACGGAAGCAAAAAACGTGTCAGTACATATTCAGCCCATGAGATGAGGGCGATCGGAGTTGTGTCTTACCTGTACATGCCATAGCTTCTTGATGGCAGCGAGTGAGGCGTCGCTCCATATCCGACTAGCCTGCAATGCAGCAAGCAAGTCATCAGGAGAGGCCTGGCCTGCTGCCGCCGACCTGATGGTTGGGAACAGGAAAAGAAGCAACATCCATACGACGTACAGAACCGTACATGGAAACTTCCAAGCCTGGACGGCAGACTGACATGGCGACATCTGACCAAGACACACACTGCCTGGCACAGACATGCGTTCGACCACAATATTACTCCATACATGCAGAATACGCTTTGCAGGATCTTCACTAGTAAATCTAGTACATGTACATTGTACCTGGCATGGTTTGCCACATTATATTGCGCCTCCCTTTCAGTGCCATGTCCGATGCATTCACTTTAAGCAGGAGCAAGATACATTTACAGTAGTACTGGTACATGTAAGAGCTCAGATAGTTTCAACAGAACATTCAAAACACCACAATACTAATATCTCCTCCCCCTGAAGAACTACTGCAAGCAGAACCCCCCCCCCCCCCCCCCTGTTATGCTACCCACTCAATATCGCACAAGTGGAGAACCCCTGGATAGGCTACCCGCCTCTGGGTCATCCCTCAAACGAGAGAGCTTGGAAGCTCAGGGCCCTTCACTATGCTTTTTTTGCCTAGCTAATCGTGCATGTTATTAGAACTGATGGAAATGTGTTTTCCTTTGATTGGCTACATCATTGTATTGCAAAACATTTCAATAAGTTTGAATGAGTTAGGCAAAAGTATTTGCAGAATTTATTGCGGATTGCTATTTTTCTCTCACTTCATCCACTTTCGGTTTGCTCCTTCTTTTCCTTTTTATCTCCATATAATCGGATTTTCTGGCTTTTTGTAGTATTACATTGACCTGTTGAGCCAATGAAGTAAAATTATATTCCATACAATACGATACGAGTTTCGATGGAAATGCGCGAGTTCGATTGGGATTTAAGTAGGAAGGGAGCGTCTCAGCTTCCTCGGACCACGACCATTCGACTCAGCACCCCGAAGACTACAACTGGTGAAATTTTGATTTTTGCCTTAACTTCCCCTTTAATTAATTAACTGTTGCTGATGGCCGAATGCATGGCGCCCCTCGGTAGGTGGGCCACCTCGGGACAACGGAACTGCAGCATGTCCGCGAATAGGCCTACGCCTCCTTTCAGCGCCCCTCGGTAGGTGGGCCACCTCGGGACAACGGAACTGCAGCATGTCCGCGAACAGGCCTACGCCTCCATTTCGGCGCCCCTCGGTAGGTGGGCCACCTCGGGACAACGGAACTGCAGCATGTCCGCGAACAGGCCTACGCCTCCTTTGTTACTGACGCCCGATACGCTTGGCCGAGCCGAAGTCAATCTCCTTGGCGCTGGGCGTGCCGTTCTGCGATACGCCAACAGCAAAGCTCAACGGCTTGATGTTTCCATGCAAAACGCCGATGCTATGTACATGTAGGTACATAATGCCACACACATTCCAAGCCGTACCGCTTATCGAGACAGATCAGATGCGGTTGACGCGCGCCTGTTGTAAGTAGCTTCCGCCCTCATCATGTACCAGCGCAGGTCTCCAAACGGAAAATACTCACATTCCAAGCCGTACCGCTTATCGAGACAGATCAGATGCGGTTGACTGAGGCCTGGTTCGACAGATTTGACGACAAGGATCTCTGTCTTAGCTCGCTTGACCAGCATCGTGTCTACACTACGCAACTACACTATGCAACTCTTGAATGCTCGATGCACTGCACTATCGGCGGTGCATGCAGATTTCTCTCAGGATGCGATGCTTGACACGCGGCGCGCACCTGGACACTCGTAAACAGCCAGTTTGACTAAGGCGCTTTTTTAAGGCCTGGTTCGACAGATTTAACGACAAGGATCTCTGTCTTAGCTCGCTTGACCGGTATCGTGTCTACACTACGCAACTCTTGAATGCTCGATTCACTGCACTATCGGCCTGCATGCATTCCCCCGATACACTTCGCATACATACTCATTCTCGTAATGGTACGGTACTCTTGATGGTACGGGACAGGTACGGGATAGTGCCAGATGGATGGCACAAACAAACAAACACCAAATGAGTCGTATACATAATACGACTCCCTGCTATACATCTATATACGTTACACACAATAGCGAGAGTTCTCTATATACGTTATATATTATTATGCTATCGGCCTACATGCGCTTCCCGGGCTGGTCGACAGGCGGGCCAGCCAGCCTGCTAGTGGGATCTCGGCCTTGCACACAAATCCACACAAAACCTGTTGTGCGTTTACATGTCAAGCGGGCTGGCACTGCGAGGCGGGATCCCGCCCCATGGCACCCGGGATCCCGCCCCAAGGCACCTGGGATCGATGATACGGGACGGGACAGGTACGGGATAGCGCCAGGCATGCCGGCGGCATAAATACACACCTTGATGATACGGGACAGGTACGGGATAGCGCCAGACGGATGTCCGCCCGCCACAAACAAACATCAAATTAAAGCTGTGTGGACCCTGGCTAGCGCCAGACGTTACTGAAGTAACGTCTTCTGCATAGCTACGGGAATAAAGATAAAAATAAAGAAGGGAGCTCAGGGGAACAGCCCAGGGTGCATTCGAAGTGGTTGCCGGCTATCAGGGTGGAGCATGCCTGGTATCCGCCCACGGCAGTTTCACAATGTTCGGCGACAAACTCATCTGAATTACCTGGCTCCCGAGCATGGCATGAACCAGTCAGCCTACACCCCTGCAAATAATAACCCATACCACTGGATCATGGAAATGTGCTGCAGTGCCTAGATAGGTTTTGCTCAATATGCATTGCACTGTCTGCTGTTTCTTCACTTACCGAAAAACGAAGGTCAATGCATTGACACCACTCTGCAGAGCCTCTTTACTAACAGAGCACTGTCTCTCCTCCAGAGTCTAGAAAAAAGAAGGAGAAAAGAACACTAGTAGCCATTATCGCCGCTCTTGCTTGCAAAACATCACCTCTCTAAGGGCCCGGTCACACATGCACTGGGGTTCGCTTCGGCGTCGAGGTTCGGCGGCAGCGAGCCTGGTGTCGCTCCAGCGAAACCGCGTGTGTATGGTCACACATACAAACAGGGCACAACTCTTACTTTGGCAGAAAGTGAGAGTAAAGTGGACTGTGGTGCATACGGTACGGAGAATACATGTAGATGAGGTCAATGACTTGCACGCATTCTTGTTGCATGGACATCATACGCATACAAATTTCTCGTAGCAAGTCCATAAACAGCAGACCGTGGTGTTTTCCGCTGAAGCGCTTCCGCAGAAGCGACAGTCTCGCTTCGAAAATTTTGGAGGAAGCGGATTGGAGTTTCCGCTGAAGCAGAAGTTCCGCTTTTCGCCGTTGCCATGGTATTTTTCGCTCCTGCGACCTCGCTTCAGCGTATACGCTACTTTCGAGTGCATGTGCGACCGGGCCCTAACTGCTGTGATGCCCCAAGCATGAGCAAACTTGATCACTTGGTTCTTCATACATTGTACAGTGCTACATGCACTGGGTGGGCGACATCGGTGCACCACGCATTCAAAACACTATAGTGTAATACACAGGCACACTGAATGCAGATAATTATAGTCACAAGGGTGTACCTGCTGAAATGACACAATGTTAATGGTGCCCACTTTGTATTGCAGGAAGCGGAGAACTTCAGAACACTGCAATGGGAGTGAAGAACAGACAATACACACAAACACCACCATCACATTGCAAGCCTCCTTTCATCTGGAGAACGTCTGAGAATCGGCAAATAGAGAGGCTCAGTGAGTCGCCGTCAACTGCTCATAGATCGGATCTATTTACACAAGGGCTGCTTGATTCACAAGGAGCCCCACGGTCACACTGCCCGATACTAGCAAGTAAACTGTCTAAAAGGTAGTTCCTGGCACCGTACACATTGTACTTGTACACATTCAGACGCTCATTCACCATGCTAATTGCAGTGCACTCCCTCTCATTCCCCCATGCTAATTGCAGTGCACTCCCTCTCATTCACCATGCTAATTGCAGTGCACTCCCTCTAGCTGACCAACGCCAACAAGTCACTGAACCTGATTTGTGCATTGCACAATTCGAAGCAAAGCTAACTTGATTTCATTTCATTCAGGAGTTTGCAGGGACTCACTGCGCCTTTTCAATATGGGAGTTTATCCTGGTGAAGAGAACGGCAATCATCAACTGTACTGGTGTGCGAAAGCTTTTCACGCTCTGCTCAGCAGTCGCACGGCTGCCATGTGGTGTCACGGACGTGGCCCTTCTGGTATTTGTGAGTTAGGAGGACTGGGAACTTGCTTATCGTCTTCTCCATCTGTTCGACATTTAGTATTGAAATCATAGGTCTTCGTGACACTATCATTACAGTTCCTCGGTGCTATCTGTCACATGTACTGTTGAGATTATATTTATCTGTTGAGAGACTAAAACGAGTGAAGTTCGCTGTGTTCCTTTCCATAATCCATTTCTTGTCTCCAAGTAAGCATTGAAAGAGTGAAAATACATGTACGAGTTATGTAGTTGGGCATAGATGATCAGAATCAGAACGATGCGCCTTATCAGAACATGCCCTCAAGAAAGCTCGCCCGAACGTGTTCGTATAACCAGTGTAGGACTGTACATTATACGATGGTGTAAAGTAAACAGTATAAAATCAACTACTTATTTGCCGTGCAGGCTTACCAGCTCAGCCAAGCAATCCTGAGGTAATTTGTTCAACGTTTCTGCAGCAGCCGAGAATCCTGAAATGGTCAAGCCAGCAACACATGAATCTTAAAAACACAGTCCTTTCCGTGCTCCTCGTATACACCACCAGTATTCTATTACCCAGAGGGATGTCAGAGAGGAGGCCTTCGCCCATGATCGCTCCTAGAGCATTTCGAAAACAAACCTACAATCACTGAATCAGTACTGTAAAAAGTTTCAAATAATTATTGTTTGGTTTGTGGATTTAATTTTGTGACACACGAATGACGAATGACGGCAAAACCAAAAATGCGAAGGCTGTTGCGAAGCCGCCTTGGCGTCCACATCACCATGATCACAGTCACACCACACCTGATTTATTTCGAATCCCATTCAGGATTCATGTTCAGGAAACATACACGAACAGGTTCGAAACTGGGATTTTTACTTTGACAAGATAAGAATGAAGGAGTTCACAGGTGTTGTCTTTCAGTATCAGTCACTCACTCACAGACGTCTGCTTGAAAGCAATGCAATCAGATAGCGATTTCGCCATGCTTGATTCTTATCTTTTCGTACACCTCTGTGTTTGCTTCTGAACGACTTCCTGAAGAGGTCTTCTCGTCCTCATTTTGAACTTTTTCGATGTCAAGTTGTAGATAACTTATTGAATAGAATACTAGTAATTAAACTTTTCGATGTAAAGTTCTAGATACCTTTATTGAATAGAACAACTCCTGATCGAGTCCTGAATGAATGTCACTGCATCGTATCGTGCTACAATTTAAAGTTTACTAGCGCTGGAAAGAGAATGGCTAAAAACACCACGGGAGAATCTACGGTCAGTCAGGAAAGCGAGGATGCATTTAGAGATCGTATTAATCTGGACGTCATCAAACGAACTGACTCACTAGCCAGAAAAATACTTTTCACATCTGACAGCTCCTGTCTATTTATCTTCAACACGGACACAGAAGTATGGGTGAGTTATGTGCAGCAACATATAAAACTCCTTGGGGTTATATTACTTCGAAGTAGATACAGTCCTGGCAGTATGGCGGTAAACACACGCCTGCCCACACACGCCTGCCCACACACGCCTGCCCACACACGCCTGCCCACACACGCTCTCTAGGCTGCAAAGTTCTGGCACAGAGCTCTCCTTCTCACCACCACCACCATCAGCTGCAGTGGTGTCTTCAACTTCATTCTCCCGGGTCAAGCTCCGTATGAAGACATGCAAGAAGAAGATTGCCTGATGAGTCCAGCGGGGACGAAACGTACGTCGCAATCGAGCTATGTCGTTGCTGTGTCATCATCTATGTGCCATGCGCTACTTGATGTACCAGCCTGCTATGCCGGATACCGCCAGCCATGCATCGACCAGGCGCCAGGCGCGAACTGATGGTGCTGGTGGTGAGAAGGAGAGCTCTGTGCCAGAACTTTGCAGCCTAGAGAGCGTGTGTGGGCAGGCGTGTGTTTACCGCCATACTGCCAGGTGTGTCTTTACCACCATATTTATCAACCATAAGTACAGCTGCAGTGGTGTCTTCAACTTCATTCTTTTAGCTACAGTCCATTCATAAAAAGATGAACTTCAACTACAGACTAGTTCTAGCTTTTGGCCATAAAACATGGGTCAAACCAAGAGTGCATAAACAAGAGTGTGCAACTGTGGTTATGGGTCAGTGCGCGGCGCGCTGCCTTCATTACGTAACTTACCTTCATCACGCTCTGAGAGCATGCATTCAAACTCACAATTTCTCGTACGAGCCCATCCGTTTTTGCTCGATTCGTTCCAGTACCTACCCCATCTCTAGATTTTAGCGCGTGAACTCCAGTTCCGTACAAAAGTCTATTTCAAACCAGAGGGAAAGTGCAGTGTTTGATTTTCCGCAGTGCGCGGACTGCAGCTGAATGATGTAATGAAGGCAGCGCGCCGCGTATCTGGCCCATAGAAAAGAGATCACAGTTGCCATACTCTTGTTTATGGACTCTTGGTCAAACTGTTAGAGGTTTTCAGAATTTTTCCTGCAATCGGCCATGGAATGCTCTTCTTTCTGAAGTCTATTTCTCCAACAAGGAAGCCGTAGCCATGGTAACAAGAATAGGATTTCGGCCTGGATTTGCCCCAAAAGCACTGAATTGGGAAAAACCATGAAATCTAGGCCGTTTTACTCCACTTGCAACAGTACGTGAACTATGCGGTTTGAACCAGAGAGTAATTGGTATTGTACTACTCCCTGGTTCGAACACCAGTTGAGGTACCTATTTGGACCCTTTTCAAATATCCCCTTTTTGCCGCACTGCCATGTACAATAAAATCACGAAAAATCTCCAAAATATTTTAATACAGCTCACCATAGCCGGAACCGATCTTTTTATGAATGGACTGTAAGGACGTACAGTCAACTTTGCGTATAGCGACACTCGGCGGGGCATCAGAAAAGTGTCCTTATTCGCGAAGTGTCGTTATATCCGAAGTCTCAATATATGTAAAAAGTTAGAATGTATATGTAAAAAGTTAGAATGGACTTTCCTCTGGGCATGGAATTCCTGTCGTTATTCGCGAATTGTCATACCGTATGTCAGCGCCTTTAACGCCATGGCCTTATATTCGAAACGCCGCTGCTTTCCTAGATATTTTATATGCGAAATGACTCACCCACTACGCCATGCCATAAAAGTCAAAGTCCACGCAGAAATTTCAATCGAAATCCACTTGTTCACCCTTCCTGCTGGGCTGTAAGGTTGTTAGCATGGTACTTATTCCTTCATTTTTACTAAACGTACCTCAAACGTCATTTTATTTATGAAGCCCATGGCTTTATAACTGAGACTGGCTTTATAATCCAGTATACCGACATGACTTTAAAGGTGCGGACATACGGTAATATCCGCAGTCGTTATAAGCGAAGTTGACTGTAGAACTTCTTTTGAACCTAGCATTAGGGAGTTCACCAAGAAAGTCAAATTTGAGAGTTGGCCTAATAAAACGCTCGTTTTTCTGAGATAGGGATATGCTAGAAATAAGCTTTAAAGGGGAAGTATACCCTAAAATCAAATTTTCACCAGTTGTAGTCTTCTGGGTGCTGAGTCGAATGGTCTTGGTCCGAGGAAGCTGCGACGCTCCCTTCCTACTTGAATCCCAATCGAACTCGCGCACCTCCACCGAAACTGGGTGACTGCGCCCTACTAGATGGGGATTTGTATGCAAAATGTCACTAAAAGCGCCATTTCGTTCTTATAAAAGCACGGATGACCGCGATTGGCCCATATGTTGTACTCTTTTGGACGCTGAGTCGACTGGTTTTGGTCCGAAAAGGCTGCGATGCAGCGTTCCTCCTTTATTCCCAATCGAACATGGTTGAACAAGCGGTCACGTGCTCCTGCGTACACCAGTCACCTGGTCACCGTGCCTGCAGGGTACAACTTACTAGCCTGTTTGACCTTTTTTGGGTGCAGTCCTGTCACTCGAGTTGAACTCGAGTTGAACCTTGGTGTGAAAGTTGTCGCCTGCTGGCGCGGTGACCAGGTGATTTGGGCACCCAGGAGCACGTGACCACTTCTTCAACCATGTTCGATTGGGAATAAAGGAGGAACGCTGCATCGCAACCTTTTCGGACCAAAACCAGTCGACTCAGCGTCCAAAAGACTACAACATATGGGCCAATCGCGGTCATCCGTGCTTTTATAAGAACGAAATGGCGCTTTTAGTGACATTTTGCATACAAATCCCCATCTAGTAGGGCGCAGTCACCCAGTTTCGGTGGAAGTGCGCGAGTTCGATTGGGATTCAAGTAGGAAGGGAGCGTCTCAGCTTCCTCGGACCAAGACCATTCGACTCAGCACCAAGAAGACTACAACTGGTGAAAATTTGATTTTAGGGTATACTTCCCCTTTAAATGTTTATGGTCAAAACTCCAAAGCAATCCACAGTTATGGACGATTGAATTCGGCGAATTGACAATTTCTTCAGTCCTAGACAGCAGTACAAGCATGAATGGGGCTGGTGTGGTTTTCTTCCAGCACTGCACTATCTGTTGCGTACATGTGGGTGTGAACAGAAGTGCACGGCGATACAGGATGTGCGCATGCATGCCGTGCGCATGTATGCCTTGCGCATGCGTGCGCACTTCCACAACACGCGCTTTCATCATCACCGCTTCTCAGCGTTTGCAGTTCACTCAATTTTGTCGGCCGCGGCTCCGGGAAATCGCTGTGGACTGGTTTCTGTGATCATTTCCCTTCTACCGCGATGAGCCTAACTGTTCTAGAACCCTCTTGTTTTATACTATTTGGAGGCTGCTGAACACAACAATCGGGTGTTCCTCCCGGGGCCGAGCATGCATCTGGTCGAAATTAGTACTTCGCAATGCCCCTGCACTCGAGGGCAGTGTCTGCTCCAGCGCCGGGTGAGCCGGGTAATCCACCCGGTTGGGCGGCGCTTGGACCCGGTTGAAAATATAGTACCGGGTCACCTGTGACCCGGTTGGTACTGTCGAACTTTGAAAGGACTGACTACATGGCTTGTATGTGTCAGATACTTCTTCTTCTTTCGTAATTTTCTAATTCCTGTCCTCTCTTTTCTATATGCGGCTTTTTCCATTCGCCTTTATATCATTGGGCCTAGTTCCCGTTTATTGTCCGAATTAAAAGAAACCAACCAACCAGGCTACCGACCCGGTTGAAATGGTTGCGCCAGGTACACGTGTACCCGGCTGTCCTACAATCCTAGAGCAGACACTGGAGGGGTGTTTCATCTTAACCAAGTTCTACTGTACCGTGAAGTACCGCCAGAGCGCCCCGTCTCGCGAGAGCGCCCCACCTTGATTTTACAGCCAGAGAAAGGAAAATCGTATGGCAGAGTGCAACGAAGTTTGTACGATGTAAGAAGCTTAGTGTACTAAGGTCACACTTGGCAGGTTTTTGTGTAGAGCTTGTGTCCGCTCGAAGGTACGAATTGACTGCAAAACGTGCTATATGTGTACAAGATTCATGTCGTATGACCTACAGACAGCAGACCACCTCCACAATACGACCACGAAAGGATGAGATGGTGGGGCGCTCTGGCGGTACTTTACGGTATATGCGTGGGCTCAAAACCAACTGCCCATACTACTAATGCATTTCGACCAATTCTTTATCGGGTCGGGCCAATGTTGTCTGCTTCACTGGTCTGTCCTATCTGAATCACGTTTGAGAAGGCCGACACAAGCATGAGGATCAAGCCCTGACCCTATCTATCCCAACGAGGAAATATGTTTTTGTTCTCTCGCTGTGTGTTATTGCAGGTGAAACAAGAATCAATTGCAGGGCCTGTATTTGTATATGAAAGGTACGCTGCTGCTGTCGGTTGAGCCACATGCCCGTGAGAATATTGTGAGAGGCTGTGCTTTGTAGCTGCTGGGGACGGTTGCGTGCATTTGTATACATTTGAGCACGTGTAGCTGTGTGCATTGTCAATTGTACAGCTCTGTACAGTCAAACAGCTTCCATGTTGAGTAAAACTACAGTTGCCTTGCACCATTCTAGATTTCATACTTCCATACCACTGCATCTGTGAAAAATGAAGAACTTAATGTAACATTGTAACATGGAAAAATGTGGGCGCAAGTTATGAGATCGAGTCCACCAACTAAACCAGATTGTTGAACAGTCAGACGTGCACAATCTAGCACAAAACTGACAAGGAGTATGGAGATATTCCACGGCATGAAAGTCAGCTTGAGCACTGCTCGATAGCGCTAGCCAACGGCCTTCCAACTTGGAAGGTTCAGGGGTATTAGTGCTAATTCCACCGTCTGACTGTTCGAACTCTGGTTTAGTTGGTGGACTCGATCGCCTACCTTGTGCCCACATTTGTCCATGTTTAATACAATGTTTTCCTTGGCTCACCATCATGTATAACATTATCGTGATTTTTGTGTATAACAGTTACTGGACAAATAGAAGTTTGGGTTAATTAGAAGATTTTCCTGGAAAATGGGGGGTTGGTTTAGTTTTAAAGGGACTCTACTTACTGCTGTGTTGCTACTGTAACATGTTGTGTTTGTTTGTGGGTGTTCTGCCCTGTTCAGAGGTGGGGATAGCTTGCCTCGGTATGCATTCATGATATTATCCACTGTGAAAAGGTTAGAGCAAGAGTTCTTTGAGTACGTCTCGCCGCAGATGACGTTCTCCAAAGCAAATGAAATGAACGTCATCACATACCAGTCTCATGCAGGTATGAACTAGGCCTAGTATGAACACAGGTGTCCTGTCATCCTCCCTTTTGTTTGTTGTTTCTCCATGTGTCTGGTCTCCGGGCTGGAAGCCTGCTGGAGTGCCTTTGTAAGCAGGAGTCAGTGCCAATGCCACTGATATTGCTGCTGCTTTTTGTTGTTGTTTCTCATCTTAATCCTAAAGGTCATTGTTGTGAGCTGATACCGTTTTGATAGTCATGTTGGGTGCCATTGATTCCTACAGTACACTGCACTGTAGTGATGGGCTTTTTTGTGTGTGTTTTGCTCTGCGTCACTACTGCAGACCCGAGTGGTGTTTCCAAGCTCAAAGGCATCTGGATAGCCTCTCCAGGGAGCTGTGCTGCACTGGAAGAGAAACTAAACAGGTGCAGTACTAGGTCATGTAACGTTAGCTATAACCAAGACCTCTCGTGTATGTTGAGATAAACGTACATCGGACTGAATCTATCCGTGCACTACATGCACACGGCATGTACAAAACACATGTCTTTCTAGCTCGCCCAAGATTGCTTGCAAGCTTTCAAGCGAGTCCGATCAAGCAATAATGGAAATTCATACCGGGGAAACCATATGAGTGCTTTTCCATGCCTCTCTGGGCTCAGAGTGAGGTTTGTAGCCACCAGAGTAAAAGTCTTTTTCCAGGGTCACAGCCGCACCAGAGTATAAACCACATGTTACATCCAGTTCCTATGGAGGTAGCGCAACGGTGTAATTGGCTCGGATTTTTGTGTAAAAGTTGTGGCTCTGGCCCCAGAAACATGGTGCTACTGAAGTATGTCCTGCTGGAATTCTGATATCCGTATGTACAAGACTCATTGACATGTGTGTGTGCTGTTTCTTTTTAAAACTATTCTTTGTATTTGTTCAATGTTGTAAAAAAAATGTTGACTCACCTCCACCATTACACTGCGCTCTTAGCCAACTAGACCCTCCTGCACACAATCGTCACCACTGCGAGGACACTTCCGTTGACGATATTGATAACTCCTTCAGACAGTTGTTTCGCTAATACATAGCTCATCAGTGAAGGTAGATGTTGAATGATTAAAAATTAAAACATAGACCAAACTGCTATTATAATTATAGGGTTTTTCACATACAAAACTGGCATAGCTGAGGTGATAACGCGGGAAAAGGAAAGTGTGAAGTACTGTTGACGCGCATGGGACATGCATGCAGCGTCAGAAATTCGGCGCGGAAAATCAATCACTATGACTATCAATGCAGAAATAATGTGCCAGAATCAGTGTACTGTGTAGCGAGTGAGAGTCTGTGTATTGCACTTGTCCGAGCGCCATGAAGGCCTGCAAACTCACCTCACGAGGCTGTGGCTGTCGACTTCGGCGGGTCGTAAGGTGAGTTTGCAGGCCTTCATGGCGCTTGGACAAGTGCAATACACAGACTCTCACTCGCTACACAGTACACTGATTCTGGCACATTATTTCTGCATTGATAGTCATAGTGATTGATTTTCCGCGCCGAATTTCTGACGCTGCATGCATTTCCCATGCGCGTCAACAGTACTTCACACTTTCCTTTTCCCGCGATATCACCTCAGCTATGCCAGTTTTGTATGTGAAAACCCCTATATAATAGCAGTTTGGTCTATATTTTAATCATTCAACATCTACCTTCACTGATGAGCTATGTATTAGCGAAACAGCAGTCTGAAGGAGTTCTCAATATCGTCTACGAAAGTGTCCTCGTAGTGGTGACAGTTGTGTACTGGAGGGTCTAGTCGGCTAAGAGCGCAGTATAACGGTGGAGGCGACTCAACATTTTCTTCAATGGCTGAGAGCGGTGTCGTACCCTGTGATGATGTTCAATGTTTTTGTTGTTCACTTAGTCTTGTGGATGAAATTGGAGGTCCTGCACAGCCAGTCCAACAGGTGAGCATCAATACTGTGTGCACGAGTGTGTGTGAAAAATAGGGATTCACTGGCCAGAAAAAGCCACTCGAGTTGCTATGTCTAACATAGTTTGTTCGCTATCATCGCTTCGGCGATGGGCAGGAGTATGAGTGTGCGTGCGTGCGTGGTTTGTATGCCTATGGATATGGTGCGTGTGTGTGTGTGTGTGTGTGTGTGTGTGTGCACGTGTATGTGTATGCACATGTATGTGTAGGTATGTGCACATGGTTACCTGAGGGTCGTAGCATCTAGAGAGATGACACATGCACGACACCGATAGTGTACCCTAAACAATGGACTTTTAGACCCCGGATTTGGAGGTTCTACCTGATCCTTGATTAACTGTAGTATGGAACACGCGATAGTGATCAAGGCCATGATATGTTGACCCTTCACTCAGTGTCCCTAGACCATTTTCCACCCGCTGATGTGAACAGAAAAACTGGCATGCGCAATATAAAAATCATGCTACCGGTACAATTGTTTTTGTCGTATGATTTTATTCTGCCTTAATCCTTGCTCTTATGACTTGGTGGTGGTCACGCAGAGTGTTACGCGCCACGGTTCTGTTTTACGCCGGGTAGATACCTTCCGTAGGGTGAAATCGATACGCTGATGTGTGTGTGTGTGTGTGTGTGTGTGTGTGTGTGTGTGTGTGTGTGTGTGTGTGTGTGTGTGTGTGTGTGTGTGTGTGTGTGTGTGTGTGTGTGTGTGTGTGTGTGTGTGTGTGTGTGTGTGTGTGTGTGTGTGTGTGTGTGTGTGTGTGTGTGTGTGTGTGTGTGTGTGTGTGTGTGTGTGTGTGTGTGTGTGTGTGTGTGTGTGTGTGTGTGTGTGTGTGTGTGTGTGTGTGTGTGTGTGTGTGTGTGTGTTGTTCACAGGAATCTACTCCAGCTCCTGTCAACGTCATGGAACTTCTTAGCAAAGCTCATCAAAGAAGATTCAGCGAGCAGGTATTACTATGATATCATATGGACTAGTAGTACTATTGCGTGAAGACTTCTCTCAACGACAGTCAACTTTGCTAATAACGACTGCGGATATAACGATAATTCACGAATAACGACAGAATTTCCATGCCCAGAGCAAAGTCCATCCTACCTGTATGCATATACTGAGACTTCGGGTATAACGACACTTCGCGAATAAGGACAATTTTCTGATGCCGAGTGTCGTTATACGCAAAGTTGACTGTACATGTATTTTGGCATCCGTGTGTGAAAATCACCTCTGCATGCCTGCATAGTCGTTTAACCGCGCACCTGCTCCCCCTGCACACCCACATACACATACCGCCAGTTGCAATATTTCTATGTGGACACAACAACGTCCGAATGGCCACTGTACGTTCACAGTCATGAACACTGAAGCCAGCTACCGTCCCAGTACAGTACAGTAAAACCTCTAACTACAGTGCATTTCAAAACTATAGACGCGTAGGGTTTTTGAAATATTTCAAATTTGGCTGGAACCTTTTGAGAATAGTTTTCGGAATAATGCTCAGGATCGCTCCACAATTACTCTCATATAGTTTCTAAAGGATTGGATAACAGACGCCCAATTTGGAAAATTTTATGCACAAAGTGATCACAGATTTTATGTGGTATAGATGCTGGCATAACGGTTTTTGCCTAGGTACGCGTCTATAGTTTTGAAATGGACTGTAAAGACCACCGTGACTAGCGACCAGCCTGGTACAGTAAAACCTGCAACTAAAGACCACCGTGACTAGCGACCAGCCTGGTACTACCGACCACTTCGCCAGGCACGGACGGTCTCACATTCAAAATGCACTGTGACTAGCGACTACCTGCTGAACGCGACCAGCGACCGCCTATTCTTGCCCCAAAGACGAATATTGACCCGTAACTAGCGACCGCGATGTACGAAATCAAATGTTGCTCGAAGCTCCTTCTTGAAAATTTGCTGATTTTCCATGGTCCTGAAAGGACTCTTTCGATACTACAGCTGAACAAATGGACACAGGTCATTTTGACTGTGGAATCGGTGTGGACTGCACTACACCTGTCCAAATTTCAAGCTCTGTCAAGAATAAACACGATTGGAAACGTCTTGGAGAGCGCATCGAAAGCGCTCTCTGATCGATGTTAACAAAGACAGAGCAGCTCTGACACCCCAGTCATACAGACGAATCGACGAAGGCATCAAGGAATCCAGAAACAAGCAGCACCGCAAGGTCCTGATGCTGAAGGACCGCGTTCAAGCAATCGAGAAGTTACAACAAGGACAGTCGGTACGATTGATCACTTGAACAAATTTGAAGCCCAGCGTAAAATGAAACTAGTTACTTCTACACTCCTGGTTTCAGAGGTAGCAGCTGAATTTGATGTCTGCAAAAAGTAGTCTTCTCCCTCTGTCTCTCTCCGTCTCTCTCTCTCCAAGTGTTGTTTGACCTGAAAGAAGAATGGCATTGCGCAAGTCCTGGGGAATCGTATTACATGTAGCTGCATTTTGACATACATATCATATACGGGATCCATATATGGTCGCGCAGTGCAAACCTCTAACTAAAGACCACCTGCCACTAAAGACCGCTTTTGCTGGCACCAGGGGGTGGTCGTTAGTTACAGGTTTTACTGTATATTGTTCTCATCAAGCAGGGAAGCGCTGTACGATGATGGTGATGATGATGATGATGATGTCTGCTGTTCATCTGGCGTTGATTGACGTTGCAGGACGGCGCAACATCTACCGGTCCCCAGCCGCATGCCTTGCAGCAGATGCAGCACCGCAGTTTGGATGGTGCCGGTGATGCACTCCATCTCACTGATCTTACGTCGCGTCTCAATGCAGTCCTCGGTCTGGATGTGCCCAGAGTCACGGCCGGGCAATCAACGTCCGCCGGACCTACTTCTGTGCCTCTAGCTGCACAACGCCACCCTGCTACCATTCCGGGACAACAGCAACAACAGCAACAGTATCACCACCCACACCAGCAACAGCACCAGCACAATCCCCAACAGCAGCAGCAGCAGCAGCAGCAGCATCTTTCAAACCAAGCCGCTCTGCCAGGACCCATTCAAGCGACGCTCACACAGTCAGTTGTCGCTCAGCCAACTCTCACTCAGCAGCTTGTTCATGGATCAATGTCCTCGCAACACATAAACGTAACACCTAGCAGTACTGTTAACCAATTGGCTACTCAAACGTTACCTTCCTCTATGGCTCCAGTCAAAATTCCGTTTCCCCCTAGTCACGCTACTACTCACAGAGGCGATGATGGTGGTGGTCCCGGTGATAAGCCCTCTAATCTTGCAAAGCCTCACAGACCCGGCAAAGCAGACAAACTTCCGGCAGGTGTCCACATTCAGCCAGCGGTGGAGCGAGGCAGCAACACATCCCATCGCCGCTCATCCGCTCCCGGTCAAGCCTCAGCACAAGTTCGCCTGAGGTCCAACACAGCACCGATCCCCATGGGCACGCGCATGGTGAGAGCGGTTGATGAGACGACGGGTGGTCCTCGTGTGGTGCGGATGAAGAGTGTCGGTGTGGATGAGGCCTCTGGCAGTGCAGTGAGTCGCCACCAGCAAGCAAGTAGTGCATCCTCCTCCGACAGTACTTTTCACAACCCACTGCTCAATGAAGTGTCCACTTCCGCACCAGGCTCGGAGTATCTCATGCGCCCGTGTGAGTTTGACGGAGCTCAACTCCACCCGCAGGCCTCATTACCGGCCGGGAGCAGTGTGCAATTTGTTACTCCGCTGCAGGACAGCCGGCATACAGTGCATACTACTACATCTGCACATCAAATGAACTTAGCTCGCCCAGTGTGCCAGGATAGCCCTACTGCTCCTGCTGCTGCTGCTGTACAGCGTGACGTGGACAGCGGTTTGGATCACGCTACCGGTATTGACGGCAACCTGTCTCCGCCGTGCTTCGCTCCGCTCACTCTGGAGCAATTTCGAATCGGCCTCCTACAGCTTGCTCGTGTGAGTAGTAAATGTGCTTGCCTGTTTCGTGTTGCGTATATAATAATTGATAGCTATCAATAAAATGAGCTGTGCTGTCTCTAACACACACACGTGCACACATACACACGCACACACACGCACACACACACACACACACACGCACGCACTCACACACACACTCTCACACACACACACACACACACACACACACACACACACACACACACACACACATTCTAACGGAGTACAATATGGGTTAGCCAGAACATTTTCTCGTGGCTGTCTTCAGTGGTTGTCATCACTCAAGGGACTGAAAAAACACGAAGAAGTCGAAGAGTGGACTGGGATGGAGAGTCAAGGATTAATTTATAGAAAATAAAAAGGACCAAGGAACTAAAAGTTACGCTATAATGTCCACTAACACCACCAGTTACTAAACAATCAGCTCATGCAATAACATTGCACGACACTGACCGACGGTACTGACGTTCTACAACTAACTGGCTAACAGCTCCAGCACATCTTGAATGCACACTCCAACAGCCTTCCAACTTGGAGGTTCTAAGTTAGAGCAGAAGAGCAATTCTATGTCTCAGTACTCCTTGTCAGTTTTGTAGCATTTTGTCGCACTCGCTGACTGTATAAGATCTGGTTACGTTGGTGGACAGTTAGTGATAACTCGTAACATTTTTGTCCTTCTCCTTTTTCACAGCAATTCTATTAATTGTAGAATTAGTAGTAATGATGTATTATCCCCTAAGAGCGATGTGTCCTACGTAGAACAACACAACAAAATAGTGCATTGAGTACATTGAGTACGCACATGTACACACACACACACACACACACACACACACACACACGAGCGCGCGCGCGCCATAGGCCACAATTATCTTTCCTTGGATGCTTTCATCGCCATCTCTCCAGATGGTTTACTGGTTTTCGTATCTTCCTTTTTTCTTGTGCAGAATGATGACTTGCTGCAACCGGTGTACCAAACCTATGTGGACACTATGCACAGTCTACACACAGATAGCCATGAGCAAGGTCTGTAGAGAAAAGACATCCATCTTTAAATCAATTATAGTATTATTAATTTTCATGCTTGCTTTTTGAATATGTTTTCGAGTTTTGAATCTTTTGGTCTATATCATCACCAGGACCAAACTAGCCGGATATTCTTACCGTACTTGACTTCTCAACGTTTTCCTGCTTGTCACTGCTCTGGCTGTGTACATCGGACCATCTTCTTAATCATGATTATAGGGATGTCATGCAAACGCTCGCATCCCCCCCCCCCCCCCCACACACACACATGTGCTCTCTCTCTCTCTCTCTCTCTCTCTCTCTCTCTCTCTCACATACACACACACACACACACATGCATGCACACACGAACTTTCTCTATCTCTCTCTATCTATCTATCTCTCTCTCTATCTCTCTCTCTCTATCTATCTCTCTATCTATCTCTCTCTCTCTATCTCTCTCTATCTCTCTCTCGCTAGTAATCCCAATAGCTCATGTCTTGTCTTGCCGGTAGTCCCACGGGGCGATTATCACGGTTCACCGCAACCGCTTTCTCTCTTCTTCGGAGATATCTGTCTTTTCCACGCATATTCGTATTTTAGGCTTCCTCCCACTGGAATGCTTCACTCTGTCAACTCTCACCATACTCTGTATCTCCAACGTATTTTGTTTCACGTCAACGGCGATTCTGGTTGTTGTTGTTTTTTTAAAGATATTTTTACTTCTTCTATCATTTGTCATTTTTGTCATTGTGTCTAGTGAATATTCCTTTGTCGTTTTCCATTATTTTCCTCCCACTGGGATGCTTGGCTCTGTCAATCCTCGCCATGCTCTATCTCCAGCGTATTTCATTTTATCTTCACTGTACACTGACGTTTATTCATACTGTTCCAGTACTCTCTGCGAGGACACACGCTCTCTCCCCCCCCCCCCCCCTTCCTCTTCCCATTGTGACCCCGGTATCTCCAATAGTCCTGTGCTTGTTCCTTTTTTTAAAGGTTTATGTTTTTGCTTTTTACTCTGTCCCATGTTGCCTCGGTGTCAATGAACACCAGGCATTGTACTTTGAAGTATTTGGGCAACACATTCCTCCTTCCTTTGTACTGCAGCAGTGTTGCTGGGATGTCTGTTTGTGTGTGGCACAATGCTTGCAGTGGCGTTGATTGCTGACAGCTGGAAGACTGCCAGAGAATATTTGAGGATTGGTGGTTCTTTTTGTGGTGGTTGCCTCTCAGGCCCTCTCTGGAATGCAGCCTCAGTGCTACATTGGATTTTCTTCATTCATGCTGCATGATGTTGGTCATCAAAAACGGATCTTCCGCCCGGTAGAGCACTCAACCGCTCAGCAAATCTGCAAAATCACATCCATGAAAAGCTCCTGTACTCCCACCGTGATTATAATGAAGATGGAGCTAATTTGATAAGCTGCACATTGATAGCAGCAACGTGTAACTGCGGTGCTGCTCATATATCAATGAAATCCGACTACATGAGTCTGGTAGTGTGTGCTCTGCACCAGTTCACAGTCCAGCTAGCCCGGTGTTCGCAGGTCTAGCTAGGGCTGCACCGGTTCACAGTCCAGCTAGCTAGCCCAGTGTTTTCAGGTCTAGGGCTGCACAGCGCTCGGCGTGTACTCGCCTCACTTGATCCATTCCATCGACCAGCACCGTACATGGAAGTAACTACAGTGCTGGCAAGTGAAATCCGACCCCCTGCTCACATCGCAAAGAATGTGTACCCACCGCTCAGGGGGTCGGATTTCAGTTGCCAGCACTGTACATTGTATTTTGTGATGCGCTCCTAATCTCACCAGCGGTATACTCTCGACAGCTCGAGGCATGTCTAACCAGTTACCTCGTGGAACGTTTTAACTCGTCCTCTCACAACCGGCACTGGTACAGGCATGCATTATTCAAGATGCCAGGCACCTTCAGCCAGCACGGGCACCAGCTAGTCTGAAAGTGCACTGTTGCACAACAGCTGCGGGTTTCTACGCCCGCCATCTGCTGATGCTGAAAAAAGCAGTTGCCTAGCACCTGGCCAGCACACCTGTGCGTTCTCACACAGGATGAAGAATGGCAAAATCCCCCGACTCAGATCGTGCCAGGAAGATGAGCGGCTCTACCGCCGGACTGATTGCTGACATGCGGACTGCATTCGTTTCTGACGAGTCCATTAAACAACACGAATAAACGACCGTGGAATATAATGTTACCCGCCAGTGGCACAAATAAAAAAATAAGTCATCTGCAAAGCGTATGCGCCTGGAAGTTCAACATTGCAATTGCTTGCTATGGGGGAAATGTACAATTATTTGTAACTGAGGAGGCTGCTCAAAAAACCAAAAGGAGAACAAAGGGGCCAAAGAGGAAAAAGAGAGCTTCTATGCTGTCTCCTGCAGCAGAAACAATCAAGATTGCTGTTAAATGAGGCAGAACTGAGATAGTGGCATGTGAGACGTTGGCGACTCATCTACCTACACATGCATTTTCTCCTAGAACAGCAGAGAGGCAACATACCTGTGCGGCCACCATGCTATTCCATACCATCTAAATTGACAACAAAAAGGCCGTAAGATGATGCAGAAATATGAAACATGTGGATGAGAAACATGTGGGGGGGGGGGGCACAGGCTTATGCAGAAAATACTTCAAAATCCACTGAACCAAATTAGCATTTCATTTCTTGAGGGCAACGACAGCATCAGTCACGCATGTAATAAAGAAAATAGATAATGATTTTTCACTCATAGCGAAATCAAAGAATAGGATCAAAACTGAAAAAGTAAGTGAACGGATTGACAAAAGTAACAACTAGATACGAAGTAACAGAAAGTGCGGAAACAAGAACGCCACTGAGTCACGGACACAGCAACAGTAAATAACAGCTTCCGGTATTCGGTATTAGAGTCGCAGCACCAAGCCGGGGTACTGGATAACAGAGCTCAACTGCGCAAGGTCACCAAGCGAGGCAGGTGTTTGACATCACCCACAGGCAAGCGGATGGTGGAGGTAGTGTTCACAGCAGCGTGACTACTCACTCGGCTGAGCTTACTTCTTGTGCGCCACATTGTGAATGTACCAGTTCCAGGAGACGCTCCATGAGTTCTTCATGGCCTCTGTGAACTTTGAGCGGAATGAGTTCTGCGCCTCGGCATCACTCATACCCAGCGCTAGAGAGTTGCGCACGTACATGATGTCGTTGAGGGATTGCAGCTCGGGAATACCGCACGACAGCATCATCACAAACAGGTTGAGTAGAAGGTTGCCCTTTTTCCTCAGCAGCATGAACGCGTTCTCGCACTTCGCCTTGAACTCTTCAAACTGGCGACTCTTGTCTCCCTGGCCTTCCGAGATGACGTACACGAAATCGTCCGTCAACACGAACGGCACACGCTCGCGCTTGACGCCGAACTTGCTCTTGAAGTTGCCCAGGAAGTGGCCAAAGTCGATATGCAGCAGCTGTCCATTCTCCCGCAGCATGATGTTGTCCGAGTGGCGGTCGCCGATGCCCAGCACGTACGTGGCCACGCAGTAGCCAGCGCAGGAGTTTGTGAACGTCTGGATGGCCTTCTGCAGCTGCGCCGGGTCCTTGTTCTTCTCCTGCAGCCACATGTAGAGCGTGTTGGCCTTGAACGCACCGGACGCACCGCCGGCGATCTGGCACTGGATGTTGGCAATGGTCTCCGCGTTCAGGACCACTTCAATCAGTCCCACCTGATCACCGGATGACAGGCAGCCGTACGGCGTCATCTCAAAGTCGAGACCTTCCGCTTTCCAGATGTTGTCCATGATGCGAATGATCTGCAACGTGAGCATGTCCTGTCTCAAGTCATCGCCGTTCTTGTAGATCTGGTAGATGTTCTTGCCCATGGCGTCTTGATTCTCAAACACCAACCACAGCGGCTTCATCTTGGAGTCCATGAACTTGCACTTCTCCAGTATGATGCGATTCAGTTGGTAGATCGGGTTGAGTGGTGATGGGATCTTAGACAGGGCATCCATGTACGCAGGTTGCTGCAGGGTGTCGCGCATTGCCTTTAAGCCACGCGGCCGGTCCTTCATCGGTCGACTGCGCAGCAGTTCGGTGATGGAGCGTAGCTTCACCAGAGCTTCTTGTTGTACGGTTAACACCTGGAAAAGGTACAGCATGCAGACATGAACACACGCACGCACGCACGCGCGCGCGCGCGCGCGCGCGCGCACACACACACACACACACACACACACACACACACACACACACACACACACACACACACACACACACACACACACACACACACACACACACACACACACACACACACACACACACACACACACACACACACACACACACACACACACACACACACACACACACACACACACACACACACACACACACACACACACACACACACACACACACACACACACACACACACACACACACACACACACACACACACACACACACACACACACACACACACACACACACACACACACACACACACACACACACACACTGTCAATGGCAGAACATAATATCTTTACGATATTTTGCCGATGAAACTGTTCTATCTCAGCAGGCAGTAGTCAAGAACGCATTGTTGTATGCACAAGCAGATCTGCATTCATTGCAATGCACCAGTGCATACACTGCACTGGGAACTATATGTACATGTATGACAATTAGCTGCCTACAGCATAACTGTACAGAACACAATCTAACTCTACCTTGGTGTGAGCACGGCTTCCACGGCAGTATGCTTCCAGGAGAATGGCGAAGCGGACTGACACCTCTGCATTGTGCATTTCCGCCCGCATATGCCAAAAGAAGAAGTGCCCAATGAGCTGGTTGTTGAGAGCCCTCGTCAACAGGAACTTGCCTAAGGGGCAGTCCAGGTATGGCTCGTACTTCAATACCTGACAACACAAACAAGAACAGTCATGTACACCGGTATATAACAGGAACGTAAGCATCGTACGCGCACACACGCATTTCACAGGAGTGCTGAGACACGCCGTGAGAGCACCAGAGTAGCATGTATCTCATCAGTCACAGGCAAAGCTCCCCCCCCCCCCCCCCCCCCCCTACACACACCATTCTTCTCATATCCATGACATAAATTGTGTAACGACAACAGCCACACCCTGGGTAATTAGTAAGCCTGTTGACAGACCACAGCTGCACAACTTGTGAGCAGGACTGCTGCCTGAATAGCAGCACAATAATCTGCTAAAATACACATGTACCCCACAATACCCAAGGAATGCGGCATACAGACTACCTGCCATCATCTTCTGAACTGCTCAAAATTTCAAAAGTACTTCCCGAAACATCAAGCAAATCTTTTTTGAGCATCTTTTTAAAAAGGTGCTCGTTGTCGTATGTTGGGTATGTCCTGATCTGATGATCATCTAGGGAAACATCCCCGAGAGCTTCTGTAATGCCATCATACAACCGTAGTAAGCTGTACTCTCTCCCCTCCGTCTCCCTGTCTGTATCTCTATCTATCTCTCTCTCTCTGTCTGTCTGTCTCCCCCCCCCCCTCTCTCTCTCTCTCTCTCTCTCTCTCTCTCTCTCTCTCTCTCTCCCTGCAATGTTGCTTACCTGTACTAATTGTAGAAGGTAGTTAGAAAGCTGATCGTCAGTCATGGCCGCTTCCAAACACTCCACAGCAAATTTCCGCACGCTCGTGTCGGCATACAAGTAATCCAGCAGCTCCATTGCATCCTCTGGGTTTAGCTTTCTCCATTTGGCCAGTAACTGCACGTAGAACTGCACGTAGAATGACACCAAAGCAATGTTTACTTAAACAGGTAAATGCTATAGCAGTGGCGTAGCTTGCACATCTGTGGTGTGGTGACCATGTACCAGAGTACATAGTCTGCGGTGTGGTGACCGTGTACCAGAGTACATAGTCTGCGGTGTGGTGACCGTGTACCAGAGTACATAGTCTGCGGTGTGGTGACCATGTACCAGAGTACATAGTCTGCGGTGTGGTGACCATGTACCAGAGTACATAGTCTGCGGTGTGGTGACCGTGTACCAGAGTACATAGTCTGCGGTGTGGTGACCATGTACCAGAGTACATAGTCTGCGGTGTGGTGGCCATGTACCAGAGTACATAGTCTGCGGTGTGGTGACCATGTACCAGAGTACATAGTCTGCGGTGTGGTGACCATGTACCAGCGGCAACCTCATAGTCGCCACTTTGCCTATTCTGCCTATGTAGTACCTATGAGTATGACGGCCATTTGCTGTTGTGCTGACCGGACCACACTGACCACACTGACTATACATGAGCAACACGCCTGTACATGTATAGGCTCATTCACATACCAGGCATGTGTCAATAAACTGCATGAGCCTTTTTGTTTTGTTTTGCTATCTACACTGCGCATCGCGTGGCTCAGTCAATTCTAGCTGTGATATGAACAGACACAATACGTGCAGTTTGCGATGGGTGTGCGTCAGTTAGTGCCATGCTGCAGCTTCCAGGTAATGCATCATGCAACACACTCTTGAAGGGCTGCGATATGGTAGCTACATGAGCCTATTTCCCAATAGAACTGCTGTTAGTACATTGTAGACTATTGTTGGCAGCAGCAGCACCACCAGCAGTAGCAGTAGCAGCAGCAACCTTGACTCCATCCAACACAGCAGGAGTAGGTGAGTACACACCTGAAGCATCTGCGCCACTGCATCACGGCTGTTCCACTGGACGGAGCGCAGCAGTTTGGGCAGTGACTGGGGTATCTGTGACAGGTAGTCGCGGTGCTGCCACACAACCTTCTGGTCCTGTTCGTCCAGTTCGCCAAGCGAGTCCGTGTCCACAATGCGATGCAGTTGTTCCAGGACGGCGGGCGCTGGGTGCGTGCTCTGACTGCGACCCAATGAGTTGGCATACTGCTCGATCTGCCGCAACGATGGGTACATCACGGACCCGCCTGCGTAGCGGTCGAGCTCGAGATGAAGCGTGATGGATGTGCCGACATTCGGGTTGGCTACGGTGCCACCAATCGGATTCAGTACCTGAACACATACAGCAAGTGCATAGGCATCATAGTATCGGTAAGTTGAAGCTTAGCTGAGCAAGAACTTTTTCCAAGCTATGTGCGAGGAGTCATATTGGCAATGCCACTTTCACCTTCCGCTATAGTCCAGCATTCTTTGTAACCTCAATGTCATAGCATTCCAAAGTCTTCATGCAAAACTATCTCGACAAACTCAAACAAATCCACTCGTTTGACTTGAGTATATTACTTTTGACTTGAGTACATGTATATTACTACTGTGATAGTAAGTGCCGTGGAGTCACAGTGTTTCACTGAGGTTTCCAAGACTTGCTGGATACATAGCATTTACACTGTTACAGCATGATACTGAGGTTTCCAAAACTTGGTGGATACAGTCAACTTCACTAATAACGACTGCGGATATAACGACAATTCGCGAATAACGACAGAAGTTCCATGCCCAGAGCAAAGTCCCATACCACTGTAATACATATAATGAGACTTCGGGTATAACGACACTTCGCGAATAAGGACACCTTTTTGATGCCCCGCCGAGTGTCGTTATAAGCGAAGTTGACTGTACATAGCAGTTACACTGTTACAGCATGATGAAGTGACAGGTAAGACGGCTGTATATCATCCATCATCGCCAGCCTGTGATCCACTTACCTCTTCCAGAGCTGATTCACATGGCCAACATGCCATCGACTCTGAGCCTGTCCGCAACATGCCGTTGTAGTCAAATATGTTTATGTTCACCCAGGCAAGCGGCCCCTCTTGCGAGATCGAGTCGCTCTCTTCTCCTGTCATCCACAGCACACAATGACACATGCGAGCACATACAAACAAACAAACACACACACACACACACACACACACGGAGGAGGAGGAGGAGGAGGAAGAGGAGGAGGAGGAAGAGAGACCATTGGATGTACTTAGCATGAGGAGCACAATGTCATACACATACACTATATTCCACACACTTGCTGGAGATTTTGCACCGTTCTGCAGGGCTGACCAACCTGAATGTTTGTACGGTGCAAAATTAGGTAGAGGGCATGCGAACTGAGTCGAGACACTTGCTGTATACGAACTGAGTCGAGACACTTGCTGTATACGAACTGAGTCGAGACACTTGCTGTATACGAACTGAGTCGAGACACTTGCTGTATACGAACTGAGTCGAGACACTTGCTGTATACGAACTCCAAGGGACTTCAATGATGTAGCTAAGATTACAGCATGTACAAAGACACCATCACCCAGTCTTCCTATCGGAATAGTCTCAAGCCATAAATAGCAATAGGACGGCACTGAATTGCTACATTGTTTCCCATGTGCCACCAGCCAACTTAATTAACAAGCAATGGCAGGCTCACAGTATTCCTGGTATTCAGTGCCTTGGTCAGCTCTCAATACATACCTGCTGGAAGCCGTAAATGACAAAGCAGAGACGTGCGGAGCGGGGTAGGTCTCGAACGTCAATGTCGAACACTAGGTTCTCATTCCAGGGTGACTCGAGCTGACTGTTGGACGAGGCTGGTCGAGTGCTGACGATATCCGAGAGCGGCTCACCACCGTGGAATATCCCTGCCCGGACGAGAACACTATCAGCGTTTACATTGCTTGCCTTCACCACCTTGAGCTTGAACTTGTTGTCCACCGCCCAGAGTTGCATCATGCCCTGGTTGCCTGTCGGTGCCTGCAAGACATCATGCCGCACAAGAACACAACATGGCAATCAAGAACTGCAGAGTGCATCCTAGCAAGTAAGTAGCATATGGTAAGAAAAGAATGAGAGAGAGAGAGAGTGAGACTCGAGAAAGAGAGAGAGAGAGAGAGAGAGAGAGAGAGAGAGAGAGAGAGAGAGAGAGAGAGAGAGAGAGAGAGAGAGAGAGAGAGGTATAGAGACAGCAAGTGCCAGAAAATGCGCTTCCCTATTCAACTACCCATCGACGTCGACTTCCGCCTCCGTGCTGCGAACACCATTATACTAGAAACTACTGCAACAGGAAATCCATTTGAAGGGGAAGCTACTGCTGAAGCATGATGTCATCCAGGATTCATGCAAGATCGTACCAAACCACAAGAAGTCACGGAAACAGATGTTTCAGTGTGCCAGTAGGTGATGCATTGGGTTGATCAGCTATAAAAATCACCCATTATGCACAATCATAATTATTTGCATGATTGTACTTCGAAGGTCGCTGGACTCTGAGGACAAGGACTGGCTATCGCATGAATGATTGCAAACAGTATTGGTTGTACTACTAAGATCATTGACTGGTTTGGTGGTGGTGGGGGGGGGGGGGGGGGCGATTTAGCTACAGATTACCAGAAGCCCTCTCCCCATAAAATCCCTTCAAATGAGCATTTCAAGTTGTAGTCCAACCAGTCAATACTTTCAATCATTCATAGTAGCCAGTCCTTGTACTCAGAGTCCCCATGGGACAATGGTCAACAACTCAACAATGACATCAAACTCTGAGTTCATTTCAATGATCCATTTTCGAAAGGAGGGACTCAAACCAGTTGACCGTGGCCCCCGCTCAACACGTCACAGCAGTACTCAGTGCCTAGTGCAAACTACCGGCACAGCACTGTCCGTGTACCTGTACATGGTAGTTAGTGAACCTGCCGCCGATTGGCACATGCTCACATGTCATGGGTGGGCACTCCACGAAAGGTACTGGTCGCACTAATTTCTTTCTACAGTACCGTGCAAGTCGTACCGGCTCCCTCACCGAGTCACGGTACTAAGTTAGGATAGTGTGCAAGTCTGGCCGAGTGTGATCTATAGCGCTTTTCAAGGACCGGACCAATGATCACTGTGTAGTCACTTTTCGGGATCACGTGCGAGAATTTTTTTGAATCGCTGGTGAACATGCAAAGCACAGGTCACATCCAGTTTGTACGGGAATGGATGCGCGAAGGTGAAAAAGCACTAGGATGGCGCTCAACTTCATGTCCGACACTTGGGTTGAGTCAGAGCAGCTGCCAGGAAGCCCTTCCACGGCTTGGGCGAAAAAGAACAAGCTTCAAAATCGCTTCAAGCGCTGGTGGAGACGAACCTGTCACATTTCGTATACTTTTCAATGGGCAACCTGTTCACCACAATCTCGGGGTGAGCGCCACGTCCTTGAAACAGCTCTATTGTATTGTGCCTGGAATGACACATGGAGGGATGCACCGAGGAAGGGTTACTGCTGTATCAGGTGTATGCGTATGCTCCTCTTTGGCTAAGAACAGGGCATGAATATGGCGGTGAGCATTGTTGCTCCAAGCCAAATCTTCTTCATTCAACCACCAGCTGCAGATGGTCCCTAGCAGCAGGACCAAAGGGTGCCAGTTCCGTCAAAACTCAAAAGATCCGGGATAAGAAGACGACTACCTGTGGTGGTGTGCGAGGTTGGCATTTCAGGACTTTTCGAGCGATTGGTAGGTTTCACTGCACAGTAGGTCATGCATGTTTGTCTGTGTGCACATTCAATGTAACTTAGTGTGTTTGTGTGTGTGTGTGTGTATGTGTGTGTGTGTGTGCATGTGTGTGTGCATGTGTGTGTGCACGCACACGCACATGGGTGGTGTGTGAATCCGTCCCGAGTCACTCAAAGGCCTGTTAAACCCACGTGCACTGGGCCACGGTTCTCGTATCATACCGACTTACCACCGAGGTTCGCGCTGTCTCGCCGAGGCCGACTGGCATGTGAAATACATTATTCTCCGGCGCAAGCTTCATGACTTCGCTCTTGCGCTTGATGGTGAACTGCGGCCGCTCCTGGCGCACGATGCACGCGCGCACATACCGATACTGTGACAGCGGCACTGACTGTAGTAAGTACTCCTCGCAGCCACACACCTTCACTACGTAGTCGCGCGGGTTCTCTCGCTGTAACGTCAGCGACGCAAGCCTCTTCTGCAGCGTGCGCTCGATTAGGGTGTCCGGAGTGGAGTTGATCGGTAGCGAAATGCACGCGCTGCACTTTTGCGGCGGGTTGCTGACCGTTAGTACGTACATATCTACTTCCACCATGCCATCCTTGCGAAGGCGGCCGCTAATCGACGCCGGTAATTGTGAGTTCGGATGGACGTCGGGAGGGAAGATCCTAGTAAGGGTTTGCAGCCATCCTTCCTGGCCTCGTCTGTCCACTACTGCTTTACTATGAGCTAGCATAGTGCAGCGATAATCATGCACCTCAGCTCCCATCACCGTCAGGTCTTGCAGACGTTTACCGATCAAGTTGCCCACTTCTGCATTGAACAGTTTCTCGTCCTGGTCACCCTGTTTCTCCACCACTTGTAGTAGGGGGTGGAATAAATTCAGGTCGCAATATCGACGATGCTCGTCTATCAATTCCTCTTTCTCCGCATCCATGTTGACGCCCACAAACACGTAGAAAGCCTCGGCCTTCAGCAGATTGAACATGGGATAACTCTTCGCTTCGGACCAGACTTTCGCCTTGATGTCCTCTAGCGCCGAGTCCCACATGCATCGCACCGGTACGAGCACTCCGGTTGGTAATAGGCAATCGATATCTAGCGGTTGCGAGAGATCCGCATAGATATCCGTCAGCTCGTCGTCGTTATAGCCGTACGCCATCTTCCAACAGCTGTTTCACCTACGTCCAGTTCTGTAGTCCGCCAAAGCACTCTCGCACCCCAAGGTGCAAGGTACCCGAGCAGCGTTTCGTTGTTGGCGACTTCTCCGGTCGTCACTTCGCCGCCTCAACTCTCACGCGGACGGCGAAGCCATCTTCGCTACCAGATGCTCTCTTGCCGTTTCTTTCGTCGGGCTTCCTGCTCCACGCTGCAGAGACGCGACCCGCAGCTTCACACGTCTCCAGACCTGCTCTTTCTTCAAACGCAGGGCAAAAAGAACAAAATGTGAGTAGCAGCGTCGTGCAGAGCCAGGCCACATGCACAGCTAGCTAGCATACCATGATTACAGTCATGTATTACTATAGCATGCTCCGGTCCATCCAAGCAACAATCATCCCCTCCACTGCACTGCATACTCTCCTGAAGTAGTATCGCACCACACATTCTGCGCAGTCATGACATGGGGCGTGCATGCACGGCAGCACTAGCGGTACATGTGCTACTGTATGGTAAATAAATGTAGCACGGTAAAACTGGAGCGCGAATGGGCTGGGGAAGCTTGGACCATGTGGACAAAGGACGGCTAAAGTACCCCCGGCCCCCGGGGCCGGCCCCCGTCATAAGATCGACTACATGTACGTGTACATCACTAGCACTGTCATCACTGCATGCAGGGAGTCGGGGTTTTCACGAATCCCTGGACCCTGATTTACCAATTACCATTATGATCGATATAATTATTATAATCGATATCAAGCTTCGTTGCGCTACAAAAAATAATAAAAAGTCGTGCTAGCGCTAGCATATTTATATAGCCGCTAATGCACACAGCTAGCTGCATCCGCGCGCGCGCACTAATAGTAATAATACTACGACTCGATCGAGTCGAGTACTGTTTTTTTTTGTAAATCTGAGTTTTCATCATTTTTGTTTCGTGGCGCGAAAACGACTCGAGCTGCATGCATGCATGATCCAGCTGGAATCTGAAAAGTGAAAACAGAAAAAATAATTACAGCTCTCAACTGTTACTGTACTAATACATGACATTGTACTTGATTGACTTCTGTCTCACTCTGGCTCTTCTTGTAAAGTAACGTTAGTTGTAGTTTTGCTTCTAATCACCCTCTTCAAAATTGTCATCCGCTTCCCCATAGAAATTTCCTCTTGAGGATGATTCGAAAACCGTTGACTCGCATTGAGTTGCGCATGGAGGATGTGGAGGAGTTTTCAGTGATGAAGAATAATCTTCTCAGTAAAAAGTTGAAAGCCAAAAGTTCGATTGAGGAGCTGCAGGAAACCCGCGAAGGTCGAGCCATATTGCGGAATGAAAGAATAGGGTACACAGCGCACGTGGAGACGACGACACCTCAGGGCAATGCTGCCGCTGCTTCGGCACCCCGATGACGAGAGTAACAATGCTGTCTGATGTACTGCATGTACTGCATGCAGCCAGAACTTGCTTTGCAGAGACTACTAGTACTACTAGTGAGTACTGCATAGTGTATAGTGTTAGTACAGTAGCAAATATATGACTCCTAGATCCTAGGCTGTAGATTAGTGTAGAACGCTATAGTGGCACACGCACATGCCTGCACTCACAAACTCATACACATACTCGAGCATACGCACATGCGCGCGCACACACACACACACACACAAGGCAGAAATGCTCATGTGTATCTGATGAAGTTAAACACACTGAACAAGATATGCCCAGGTGCATTTCTCTCTCGCTCTCTCCCTCTCTCTCTCTCTCTCTCTCTCTCTCTCTCTCTCTCTCTCTCTCTCTCTCTCTCTCTCTCTCTCTCTCTCTCTCTCTCTCTCTCTCTTTCTCTCTCGCTCTCTCTCTCTCCCTCTCTCTCTTTCTCTCTCTCTCTCTCTCTCTCTCTCTCTCTCTCTCTCTCTCTCTCTCTCTCTCTCTCTCTCTCTCTCTCTCTCTCTCTCTCTCTCTCCACAGGCTCTCTTATACGCACCCCTACCCCCCCCCCCCCCCACACACCCACACATACAGCCTGATACTCTGTACATAGTGCCGCTCATGATTGGCCCTTGCATTTCATCTAAAATCCCATGGTGTTGATGTACATTTTGATTCGCTTCGCTGGTATGAAATTTATAAATAGACTGTCCTTTTCTGCCCCGCTGTAGAATGCTGAGGAATGAGTCATTTCATTCAGATTGCACATATTTCAAATTTCAATGCACTCGCATGCATTGTTTGTTGCTGTACTTCAGTACAATGTCATGTGGATGTCCCGAGTTGTATATATTCTTTGTTTATGTACATAGTGTTTAGCTTCATCATCTCTTTTATCGTGTTTGTCCTTTTTCCTAATATTACTTTACCGGTATTTCTGTTTTACTCACATGACTTTGGCTTCGCGCGGGAGTTGTGAACTTTAATGTAGCCTTGGGCTGTTGTATATTGATTGGCCACAATATCGACAAGATGGTGATCTTGTTCACATTGCACACACTCTCATTGCAATGTAATAATGCGTCTGGGGCGTGCTTTCTTGTTCACTGCACTTCATTGCGATCGGATCTGCCAATGACGACTCTGAGCTCCGCTGATGAGATCTATGGTCCTAACAGCTAGCTGTCCGCAGATTGACTTATCAGTATACGTATATTGAAGTGCTTTTGGATGAAAACATACAAGATCCCGTCAGCATGGCTAGTAGCCAGGTACATGCGTATGCGCTTTCCAAACCAGAGTGGATACAGAGAGTTGTACAATTAGTATCACCGTCCTTGGCTGTTGTGTGCATGCGCTCTTTGCGGGGCTGTGCTGACTGCTGAGTCTGTGCCAAGAGACCATTCGTGTACACATGCATGTGCGGAATCTTGGTACAGTGCTACATTTTTAAGGGGAGGTGTATTTCTCGGCCTTCTTCGTGGGGGGAGGGGGTTCGGGCTGCGGAGATTTTCCGGGGAGTTGCCCAGGTCAATAACTCGGGAGTCAGATACACGTGTACTCTCTACTGTGACGAGTCAGACACAGTGTGAGCAGGGAGTGGTATTGTACTACTCCCTGGTGTAAAGTGTAAACCCGGCGACTCCCTGGTGTAACCCCCCCCCCCCCCCCCAACGAAGAAGGTCCGGGAAAAGGCCGGATGCGGAATCCTGGTCATGTACAAGTACCCCCCCCCCCCGGCCCCGCGCCCGCGGTACATGCAGTATACAGTGTAGTCTACAAAAAAATTAATACTACGAGTAGTGATGCGCATAATTATATGCACGTAGATATATATATACGTGAGGTTTGCGCGTGCTGAAAACGTGCCCTTGCATGACAACTGTTGCTAACCATAATACAAGCACATTGCATTCATTCTTGAAAGTCTTTGTTATCAAAAGATGAGTTCTTTGTTGAGAGCTTGTTGAGTTGCTTTCAAGTTTTTCTTTTGGCAGTCGACCTACTGGTTCATGATTGTGTAGGAGTTCACCAGAAAGATGGTACTCGACTTAGATTTGTTTCGTGCAGATAAGGGTGGAAATCCCGACCTGCTTCGTGAAAACCAAAGGAAACGGTTCAAGGATCCAGGCATTGTTGACAAAGTTATCGAAGCTGATGACAAATGGAGAAAATGTACGTATTTCGTATCCAAAGAGTTCGACCTAACTGTATTCAGTGCCAGCGTTATTCACATAGGCCCTCCTTTCTTTATGTGCAGTGCGATTTCAGGCCGACAACCTGAACAAGTTGAAAAACATGTGTAACAAGCAGATCGGTGCTAGAAAGAAGGTTGGTTGTACACACGTGTATGTGCGTCTTGGTTTACAATACATGTATCAATGACACTGCATGCATAGTACAGTTAAAACTTAAATCCTAATAAATAGGTCAAATCAACGGGGACAACCTTTACATTGGATATGCCATACATGTACGCGTACAGGGGCGTCACAGGGCTGTGGGGAGTGGTATGACCCGGTACGGGGTGTCCCCCATGAAAAAATTGAATTTTTGGGCCGGCAAGGCATGTTTGGCGCTCTTTTATTGCTTTTTTGGATGATTGGGTGAACCACCCTGGACGAATAGTGGTACTGGTCGTACTGTGTGTGATGCGCCTGACGTAGCTCTAATGCACTTTCACACCATAGTCGGTTCAGCGCGTGTTGCATGACTGCTCTGTTGCAGGACCTGAGGCCTTATCAACGCATATAAAGCTGCAATTGTAGCGTTTTGCGCGTGCATGGGGAGGAGGTTCGAGCAGAGACCCTGGCTGGCCAGCATTGCAGTTATCTTTTTATCAAACGGGAGATCAATGATAATGGTCTCAAGCCTGATGATGGGTTTCTAATGTTCTATTTCTCCCCTTCTCCCCACTCAGTCCATCTTATAAAGCTACTGGGTTTGTAGTGGTTCACCTTAACCTCGGGAGGGGGAGGCAGTGCACACATAACACTCCGCAGCTGTAGTCAGTCAATGGTGTCTGTGCTGTGGTTCTAGTGGTGGAATTGGGGCAGCTGTCAAGGATGATCTTGATGACTTGTGTGTATGTACATGTATGTGTTGCTGGTATATAGAACAAGGAGGCAGATGGTGATACAGATTCTTTGACCGATGAGCTGGTCGAGAAGCTCGAATCTTTGACAGTGGAGTCGATGGCAGTGAGTCTCTTACTTGACATTAGTGTAGTAGAGCATTGCTTATGATTAGGAAGTTGCGTTATTCATCGCTTGAGCTTGCACTCTTGCACTGTTACACATTTTGTATAATATGAATGTCTGTGTGTTACTGCTTATGTACAAGGGAAGGTTTAGCAGGATTTTGAATGCTTCATATTTGTTTTCATCTTACATGCCAAACGTCTGAGTAGTAATCTTTTGTTGACACTCAGTCAATGATGACTACTGTATTCTCTCTCTCTCTCTCTCTCTCTCTCTCTCTCTCTCTCTCTCTCTCTCTCTCTCTCTCTCTCTCTCTCTCTCTCTCTCTCTCTCTCTCTCTCTCTCTCTCTCTCTCTCTCTCTCTCTCTCTTTTCTCTCTCTTTCTTGCGCTCGCTCGCTCTCACTCACTCTCCCCTCTATCTATTTTCTCTCTTTCTCTGCAGCCACTCTGTGTCAAGCAAATCAAAAGACTGAGTACCTTGCTGGACCAGGCGATCGTACGGTGTAACGAGGAGCGTATCGAGACAGAGAGAATACGTGACTCGTACGTCACCCAGGTTGGCAACTTGGTGCATCCTAGTGTCCCTGTCAGTGACAACGAGGTATGTGTACACTACTGGCTGGTAGTACTGCAGACTGCACATTCTCACTGCAGTATATCAGTCTTGTGCATGCGGTTTTGTTCATCTTTTTTCCTCACAAATTCGCAAACACAAAGTTAGAAATTTATGTATTACAAAGCGCAAGGTGTGCACAGCCTGCATCTGATATGTTCCATACAGGCTGAAACTCAGTTCCTCTCTACAACGAGGTGGTGATCTGTGTACTTCGAAGCAGCCAAGCTGCGGTGATCGCACATGTACTGTGTTTGTAGTCTACGTGAGTGAAAATTCTCTGAAATGTAATTTTGTGTTATGTCATACGTGGTGCTTTCACTGAGGTCTGTAAGATGGGTAATTGACCTTGTGGTGATTTGTGTTTTCTGGTTTCAGGATAACAATGGTATTGTACGCACCTTTGGTGATCCCCAGCCCAAGAAGTATTCCCATGTCGACTTGTCTTATATGGTCGGTGGTCTGGACACTGAGCAAGGTGCTGTTGTTTCTGGCAGCAGAGGATACTTCCTGAAGGGACCACTGGTCTCTCTGCAGCAGGCCCTGGTTCAAGTAAGCTATGCATGCATGCATTCAGGTTGTACTTATAATATATCATGTGTGTGCGTGCGTGCACGTGAATGTGTGAAGGGGGGGGGGGGGGGGGGGGTGCGTGTGTGTGTGCATACTACATACATGTATATCTACTGTGCATGTCTATCTAGTACAGTGTCTGGACCTGACTTACCATCATCGCCTGTTATTGCACTTGAAATACTAAGTATCTATGTCACTTTGCTTTGCTCTACTTCATGTGTACTTGTCCTTCTGTTGGGCTCCTCTACATTGACATGTCTCTCTCCTGTGCAGTGGCTGTTTGATCACAGCTACAGGTACATGTATTTCCTGCTTTTATGCGTACAGCTGTACTGTACTGTGTACAATTGTACTGTACTGTGTGTGCGTGTGTGTGTGTGTGTGCGTGTGCGCGCTTGGCAGTATGCTCAGCATTTGCTCATCGAAGGCGGCTATGAATTGCTGTACACACCGTTCTTCATGCGCAAGGAGGTCATGCAGGAGGTGGCGCAGCTGAGTCAGTTTGATGACGAACTCTACAAGGTAAGGTGTGCCTACATGCTGTTGCAGTCACCACTGCTTCCTGTGTGTGCAATGCTGCTGACTTTACTGGGGAGCTACTTACCGATTGTGATATGTTCAAAGTTCCGTTAGAGTATAGTGTTGGTGTATTCTTCATACTTGCACAAGTAGAACAACATAGGCGTGTAGTTTATGCTCATGCACAACATTCTTGTACAGCAGAGGACCCTGCCTTTTGGCATATATTGCTCTATTGTGCCACTGCAGCGCCACTACAGCCATCCAAATGAAATGTAGCACTTGGCAAGTCTGGCAAATCGCAGTGTACATGTATGTTTGTCTGTGTGTGGAGCACATACTAACGTCGCATGTGGTACATAATTATGCATGTTGTTGTTCAATGCTGTCTCTCTGTATGCCTTGCTCTTCACTCTATAGGTAGTTGGCAAAAGCAGTGAGATTGCAGCAGATACGGCTGTCGAGGAGAGATATCTCATCGCCACCAGTGAGCAGCCAATTGCAGCGTACCATCGCGACCAGTGGCTCGACACAAAGGAGCTGCCCATCCGGTATGCTGGCTATTCGACGTGTTTCCGCCAGGAGGTCGGCTCTCATGGTCGTGACACGAGGGGAATCTTCCGTGTCCACCAATTTGAAAAGGTATGTTTGTCCAAGTAGTTTGCTGATGCTCCGACACTTGGAATGCTGGCATTGCTTTACTTAGATGTACTTGGATTGATTTGTCAAGCTGTCAGTAGACCCAGCTCAGACACGTCGAAGCACATCGCACTGTATTTACTATTTAGTTTACATGTATGGGCTGCGTGCACTCGAATCTCACAATTTGCACCTTTTTATCTTACCCGCTGGCCGTTCTTGATATAGTGTATTAGATTATTCACATGCTGCAGTTGATGTCTGGACGATTGATGCTCTACATTGCATCCAGCACATGAAATCACAGCTTTCCTTTTGCTGAATGTGGTCTTGCTTCTATTATGTTGTTTGCCTTGGGTGTTCGCCCATACGTGCGCAGGTGGAGCAGTTTGTCCTCACCAGCCCGCACGACGATGCCAGCTGGACAGAACTCGACTCTATGATCGGCAAGGCGGAGGAGTTCTACCGCACTCTCGGTGAGTACTCCTCATGCTCACAACACCTGGCCACCACATTTTAATATTGTGTTCATTATAACGGTGGACTTCATTGTACAACGTTGAGCACCGTGGAGGCATTGCTGCGATGTACTCATTTCTTTTCTGTGTTTTGCAATGGACATCTACTGCAGGCATTCCGTATAGAGTTGTGAACATTGTCTCTGGTGAGCTGAACAATGCTGCTGCTAAGAAACTTGATCTCGAAGGTTGGTTCCCTGGCTCGCAAACATTCCGTGAGCTTGTCTCATGCTCCAACTGTACTGACTACCAATCAAGGCGTCTTCGGGTGCGATTCGGTCAAACGAAGAAGATGAATGCGACGGTAAGGTTAACCATAGTCGGTTGTGTCAGTCTTGTGGTTGTGTGGTTCTGCTAAGCCTATCTATTTATTGTTGTGTGCAGTTCTGTCGACCGGGGACAGTTTTGGTTCCGATTTTTTAAAAAATTGATCTGCAATGGTTTTTCTTCTTGCTGTCTGTTCTCTGTCCTATCTTACTAGTGTGTATTGGCATACTTGGTTGTCGTTTTGTTTAAACTGTGTGTTTACTGTTTACTGCTGCTGCTACTTCTGCTGCCACAGGCCGAGTTTGTGCACATGCTCAATGCTACCATGTGTGCCACTACTCGTGCAATCTGCACAATCTTGGAGAACTACCAGACGGAGACGGGAGTCACCATTCCGGACGTACTCAAGCCATTCATGCCTCCTAGCCTGCGCGACGAGATCAAGTTTGTCAAGCCGGCGCCCATTGACGAGGAGAAGAAGAAGAAGAAAGGAGGCAGTGCAGCGGCTACTGCAAAGTAATCCTGCTATGAACGCCGTATCGACTGTCCAGCTCTCAACTCTAGGCATCTCTTGTTCCTGGTGATGTTACATGCTCGCTGTCTCCTCTACAGCCACTAGTACACGGCATGGCTCTGCTTCATGCAGCTCAAACCGCATGTCTCTGCTACGTGCAGCTCAAACCCTTCTGCAGTTAGTGCTCACATGCTATTTTCGCTTATACTTTTAAGGCCTTTCTTTCTAACATGCACTTCAGTCATTTTGTGACGAAGTTTGATTCTGGTTGCGCTGAATTGCAACGTTCTTTCCAGGCTATTATCGCTACTAATGTGGTGCGCTGTTACTTTGTATGTCCGGTGAGAGAGAGAGAGAGAGTGTGTGTGTGTGTGTGTGTGTGTGTGTGTGTGTGTGTGTGTGTGTGTGTGTGTGTGTGTGCGTGCGTGCGTGTGTGCGTGCGTGCGTGTGTGCACTTGCATGCATATGTTTGCGCTAAATAGGAGAAGTCGCTGCAGGGGATTGTAGCACCCCCTCCCCCACACACACGTATGTGCATACGGGAGTACTTCCTGCATACTAGTACAGACTACCGGGAAGTTACTTTTGTCAGGCATTTTTGTGTTTGCAAATGTGCTTACGACTTTAATACAGACTCCACACTCTATCTCAAACAAGACTCGAGCCTTGTCTTGTCCACTGGCCTACACAGTCCTGTCAGTAGGTCTACACTGCACAAGTAAAGTGCACAGTCTGTCTTTGCATGATCATTGTCATTGATGCATGACTGTGCAATTGTGCATGCGCCAGGCCCAGAGTGCCCCAGACTCCAGACCATGTACATCTACCTAGTATAGTACCAGGGAGTAGTACAATACAAGTACAACTCCCTGGCCTGGTAGTATGCATGGTATACCTGCTCCCGATCTACAGACTACAGACAGTGGCTACAGAGCACAATTGCACCAGTCATGCATCAATGACAATGATATGCAAAGGACCAGCTGTTTCAATTGTGCATGGCCAGGCCCAGAGTGCCACCTAGACCCAGTTACCATGTACATCTAAATAGTATAGTACAGGGAGTTGCTACATGTATTGACTTTGTCAAAGTGAAATGACTGTGTTGGTTCACTTTTGACTTTGGGAATGCTTCCACCAATTTGATGTCCCGGAGTGTTTAGCCTTTCGTTGCGCCGCACGTAGTTTGTGGATTCGGATGTGAGATCGTCGCCCTGCAACTGGAGAAATGTCTGCCAGGTAAAAACTTTCTCTACCACACTCAGCGATATAATAATAAATAACTTTACTAAAGTATTAGGATGACCCAAAGGCTGACTGCCTATCGTGTGTATATGCATAACAGATTGTTAACATGATGGCTAGCTTAGTTCATATCACACTGCGGTGGCCCCGTTGTGGAATGGCGCAATACATGTACAGGGCGTATCGGTTATAGCGTGGCCGTGTAAAAGAATATACTGCCTACAAGAATGAACTCTCATGTTTTCATAATCATAATTATTATCATAACATGGGTTTCAAGTGCACATTTATTCTTACAAGCAATTTTATCGGACAGTAGAATATATCGGTCCTAAGAATGGACATTGTGTAGGAAAACATACCAGATTAGTACAAAGAATATCGCCTGTAGTAATAACATCTGTCCAATGCAGTTCTGATCCGACTCGCGTTGGGTCGTAGACTACGTAGTGCTGCAGGTTTAACTGTTGTGGTCATGTAACTCATGTTGCATAGCCACAATGGTAAGCCTATGAGGCTATGGGACTATGACCAGCCGCATGCACAGTAGCACTACATTGCATGTACGATGATCTTCCTGACTCTGCGCACATGCACATGATATGTCACACTTGATTTATCGTGTGTAAGAAGTATCGGAAATAAGAATAGAAAGTCGTTTTTCAAACACCCATGCTATAACCGATACCTACTGTATAAATAACTTGATAGATAGCATTTCTTACACATGGACAGAGAATGCATAACAGTGTAGACATCTCCAGCGAGTAACTGACATCTAGTGCGATATGCAGGGCACTCACAAGACTTAGTACTCGTTGTACATGTACATGTCTTTGTAATGCAGGATAATGTAAGGCGCCATGCGATGATGAGTAAAGCATGCATCACGATTACGATACAGCTGAATCTTGACCTTCGCCTGTATGGCTGGTAGGGAGCTTGTCTCTATGGCTGGAATGAGAATGGGTCGACCGGGGACGGTGCATTGGGCAAGGGCTATAACAAGCCAATCTTGAGGCGTGCATGCTCTTGATGTTGCCGGAGCAGGGTTGTCGTTGATAACAAAATAATGTCCAGAGTGCTGTGCTTGCTGTGTTGGATCTGTCCGGCAAACACTCCCATCAGCTGGAGCTTCTGGTAACCCAAAGGGCTGAGGGCACATGGTAGCTCCTGTAACAAATATTCCCACGGCACTTCGGTGTGAGGAAGAACTGACAGCATACAGTACTACCATGCGCATCTTCAGCTGCTGCTGCATGCTTTCTAGCTTGGCTGTGCATGCTACCTAGCTTGGCTGTGCATGCTACCTAGCTTGGCTGTGCATGCTACCTAGCTTGGCTGTGCATGCTATCTAGCTTGGCTGTGCATGCTACCTAGCTTGGCTGTGCATGCTTTCTAGCTTGGCTGTGCATGCTACCTAGCTTGGCTGTGCATGCTTTCTAGCTTGGCTGTGCATGCTATCTAGCTTGGCTGTGCATGCTTTCTAGCTTGGCTGTGCATGCTACCTAGCTTGGCTGTGCATGCTTTCTAGCTTGGCTGTGCATGCTACCTAGCTTGGCTGTGCATGCTTTCTAGCTTGGCTGTGCATGCTACCTAGCTTGGCTGTGCATGCTATCTAGCTTGGCTGTGCATGCTACCTAGCTTGGCTGTGCATGCTACCTAGCTTGGCTGTGCATGCTTTCTAGCTTGGCTGTGCATGCTACCTAGCTTGGCTGTGCATGCTATCTAGCTTGGCTGTGCATGCTATCTAGCTTGGCTGTGCATGCTACCTAGCTTGGCTGTGCATGCTATCTAGCTTGGCTGTGCATGCTACCTAGCTTGGCTGTGCATGCTATCTAGCTTGGCTGTGCATGCTATCTAGCTTGGCTGCGCATGCTACCTAGCTTGGCTGTGCATGCTACCTAGCTTGGCTGTGCATGCTATCTAGCTTGGCTGTGCATGCTACCTAGCTTGGCTGTGCATGCTACCTAGCTTGGCTGTGCATGCTATCTAGCTTGGCTGTGCATGGGAGAAACTGAAAGCCAGGTGAACTGGACCAGACAATGAAAGTTATTCTTTGGAGTGCCCACAGTGAAGCGTGGCATAGGCTCAATACTCTTGTATGGAGCATGCACAATTTGTGAATTCTCACCATCCAAATCCCTTTTTGACCAAGACCATTTATTTTGGAGCCCAGAAGACTGCAAGTTCTGACATTTGTTTGTAGTGGTTTAGAACTTTTGCCACACAGATTTGCAACAAGCATGACTGATCTAAATCCGGCACCTGGCGCATGACACCTTTTGGTGGGCAGCAAGTCCCACAGAATATCATACAAGAAATTCACACTCAGGTTTAATTCATTGTCTATTGTCATCACCATGCATATCATGCTGATCACACCTCTTCACACATACATCACTACGATGCATGCCTCTAGGATTTCTCATGTTTCTATGTGTGTGAGAATCAGCGCTTTACTCCTTATTCTGTTTGTTCTCGCTAATGCACCTACTGCTCCTGCTTGTATCGCCTATACGTTGTTTAAATGTTGTTGTACTGACTAGCTTCTTCTTCTTCTTCTTCTTCTTCTTCTTCTTCTTCTTCTTCTTCTTCTTCTTCTTCTTCTTCTTCTTCTTCTTCTTCTTCTTCTTCTTCTTCTTCTTCTTCTTCTTCTTCTTCTTCTTCTTCGAGAGAGAGAGAGAGAGAGAGAGAGAGAGAGAGAGAGAGAGAGAGAGAGAGAGAGAGAGAGAGAGAGAGAGAGAGAGAGAGAGAGAGAGAGAGAGAGAGAGAGAGAGAGAGAGAGAGAGAGAGAGAGAGAGAGAGAGAGAGAGAGAGAGAGAGAGAGAGGGATCTTCATAAAGTTTGGAGAAATACTCAAAGCAGGCCTGTTCCGAGAAAGTTGGTGTTACACGTGATCTGCTTTGGGACATGCGTTTTGCAAACCCGTAAGGGTCCTTAAGAAAGGCCGTCCGCTGTTTCTGCGCTTCACGGTCTTGCTCTTGTATTTGGATGATCTTTCTCAGTTTCTTGATGTCTTTTTGCACACGGTTGTAGTCTGATCTGATGGTCTCAACCTCATGGACGGCAAGCCTATCTCTCCTTCGATATTGCTTACGCAGTGCACGGCGTTTGATGTAGAGCTCAGTTAGGCATTTTTCTCGGATCCAGATTTCTGTCCAGCTACGAGTAAACCGTCCACACCACTATCTGATAACAGCCCCAGTTGGAAAGCCTTCCAGAACACTCTGAAAAAATGTAGAAACAAATCTGCAGCCGGTCCAAACGGTATTCCATACATAGTGTGGAAAAAGTGCAAATGTCTGCACGGCATTCTTTTCAATATCTTCGAGAAAGTCTGGAAGACAGGATCCATTCCGCTGTCTTGGCAGTGCGCCTCAGTAACGCTTCTCGCAAAAAGTGACAATGACTCTGACCCGGCGAAATTTCGCCCAATTGCCCTATCCAACTGTGACGGCAAGATTTTCTTCGCCATGTTGTCAAAAGTTCTGACTCGCCACATGCTGACGAATGGGTATTTTGACGGCATGACCCAGAAAGGCTTCTTGCCGGGTATGTCCGGTTGTATTGAACACGCCACTCTTTGTCACGAGGCCATGAAAGACGCCAAACGCCACAAGCGTTCGATTGCCATGGTATGGATCGATTTGAAGAACGCCTTTGGCTCAGTAAAACACAATCTGATCCAGAGGGCACTGCAACGCTACCACATCCCGCTGAAAATCAGGAACCTTGTTTACTCTTACTATGAGCGTCTGACAGCATGCATTAAAAGACCACTCACTCAGACCTTCCGGTACAGCATCGGCGTATTTCAAGGTTGCCCACTTTCCCCTATTCTCTTCAACATCTGTTTCCAAATTCTACTTGATTCTCTTCAGACCAAACCGATCCAAGCCCTTTCGTACAGTTTCCGTGACACAACTGTCACTGCTTCGAACACTGGATTCGCCGACGATTTAGCAGTCTTCAGCAATCGAACTCATGGTGCGCAGAAGAAGTTAGATCTGGTTGATAGTTTCCTTGCCTGGTCAAAAATGCAGGCGGCCCCTCACAAATGCAGGTCGTACGCAGCCAAATTGACCAACAACAAATACACCTGCTTTGACCCCGCACTCAGAATATCGGAAACTCCAATACCAGCTCTAAACGGCCAACAATTCAAGTTTCTAGGCAGGATGCTAACAGATACAGTAGGTGAGATAACGCAACGCGAAGACCTCATAAACTCCACAAGATGCCTACTAAAGACAGTTGCCGAGACCAGACTGTACGGACACCAGAAGTTGTGGCTCTACCAGCATCAAATCATCCCCAAAATAGCATGGCAGCTCGAGATACTTGATCTCAGCCA